TACAGTAGATGTTCTCCTGTGAGCTTCATGTCATGTTTTAATGTGACCTCCTTAAAAACAAACCTGGAGTTGTGTTCGTTTCTTTCACACATGTTACTCTTTATTATGAGTCTGTCTGCATCTCCAAAGCTCCAAATGCTCTCTGCCACCTTGTGACTGTATTTTGATTTTATTGTTTTTAATATAGTTTTCAAGTTCAGTATCTTGTACATTTTGTTTAGTAGAAACTGACAGCTCCAGGTCTAAAATGATTCAAACGATTCTAGTGAATGTGTATATAATGTAAACAAAGACCAGAGCTCAAGGGCCAATACATCTATGTTCAAATGAAAACTAATGAAATGTTTATTTATTTATGTGTGCATCTATTTATATTACTGCAACATTTCTGTAAATATTTAAGAAGGAAGTATATTTTTCATCTGTAGTTCTGTGATAAATGTTAATATCGTCTTAAAAAACACACATTTTTAAAAAGTCTGTCAAATGATTATTTCAATTGTCAAAAAATGTCTTTCCTTGTGCATAAAGTTCTGTGTATTTTGGATGGAGTTTTCCGTTAATGACATAGGCAGACAGATTCTGTTCAGTGTTACTTCCTGTATTTTTGTACTTTCCTTCTCAACTTTTCTCCACAAACTTTAGTCTTTAAGACGTACAGTTGATTTGAGACAGTCTGAGTTTGAACTGAAGGAGTGTGCAAAGGCAGAGGAGTGTTTCACGGTTGTGTTCTTTCACTCTGAGAGCAGCTTTGAGGTTTCGGAGAGGAGTGGAGCAGAAGGAGATGTGTTTAAAGGGTGTGTGGTGAGCAGAGGGAGACCATGGCAGGGTGTGATCACAGAGCGGAGGAGCAGGGTGTGGTGGGCCTGTGGTGGGCATAATCGCATGTTCTGAGGAGGCCAGTGGGCAGCAGCTGGGTGGAGCTCACTGCACAAGGGAACAGGCTCATCTAATCCTGTGCTGGGAGAAGTACTCTGTTTTGTTACTTAAGTAAAAGCACAGATACCGGAGACAAAAGTACCAGTATCATAGTACTTGTTTAAAAAATGTACTTAAGGAGTAAAAAGTAAAAGTATTTCTTGCAGATTTTGAGATCTAATAAAGCTTTAAACATAGAGATTTTAATAAAAGACTGAATCAATAACTTTTTTTTTAGCTGTTTTTATTTGTATATTTGTGTTTGCTCAAACACAAATATACTACAAATGTGTTAAAAATAAACTCCTCAGCTTTTTCAGCAGGTCTCAAACTATCATACAAAACACTTTTACTTTTCAGTCCAATTCAAGGTAGTAGTGGAATAAAAAGTACAGATACCTGCTCTCAGATGTACTGAAGTCAAAGTAAAAAGTATCCACTTCAAAATATACTTATGCAAATTACAGACACCTAAAACTCTCAAATTCTCACAGGAGGTGAGGAGGTCCAGAGGAGGTGAGGAGGTCCAGAGGAGGTGACGGGTCCAGGGGAGGTGACGGGTCCAGAGGAGGTGAGGAGGTCTAGAGGAGGTGAGGAGGTCTAGAGGAGGTGAGGAGGTCCAGAGGAGGTGAGGAGGTCCAGAGGAGGTGACGGGTCCAGGGGAGGTGAGGAGGTCCAGAGGAGGTGACGGGTCCAGGGGAGGTGAGGAGGTCTAGAGGAGGTGAGGAGGTCTAGAGGAGGTGAGGAGGTCCAGAGGAGGTGAGGAGGTCCAGAGGAGGTCCAGAGGAGGTGAGGAGGAGGTGAGGAGGTCCAGAGGAGGTGAGGAGGAGTGGGAGGAGAGAGCAGCAGAGATGAAGTGGACTGGGTGGAACATAACAGGATAATGACAGAGCTCCTGACCTTCCATCACCACAGTGAAACAGCAAACCCAACTGAAGCTTTGGTCTATTTTAGTCCTGGTTGAGTTCTGCTCCAGTCTTATATTAATCCAGGTTTAGTTCTGGTTGGTCCTGTTGGTTTGGCCTGTTTAACTGTTTCATGTTATTTGTTTGCTTGTTCTGCCCATTCCCATCCACTCTGTGTGAGGCACCATCAAACACTTCCTCTCCTCCTCCCTCTCCTCTCCTCCTTTTCTAGCTCCTCTCCTCCTCCATCTCCTCTCCTCCTCCCTCTCCTCTCTCCACTCATCTCTCCTCCTCTTCAAGCTCCTCTCCTTCCCTCTCTCCTTCCCTCTCTCATGTTGAGGTGTGTGGGTCCCAGGGCTCCACACCCTGCAAACAGCTCCTGTGTTCTTCTGCTGTCATCCTCCACTCCACAAATAGAGATGGGCACAAAACAGAGCCGTGGTGGAGGGGAGAGCGGGCACATTGGAGGGGAGAGCGGGCACACTGGAGGGGAGAACGGGCACACTGGCACACAGAGCCGTGGTGTGGGTGAGAGCGGGCACGCTGGAGGGGAGAACGGGCACACTGTACAAACACCCGCTCTTCTCCTCCTCACACACGCACACACACACGCAGACACACACACACATGCACACACACACACAAGCACACACACAAAAAGTTTTCAATTTCACAAAAAATAAAATTACATGTGCACAATAATTTTTTTAAATAATTTTCATTTAATTTTCTGTATTACAAAATGACTTAGGCTACTACAACTAATATTTTCCATAAAATTATTTGTTATACAAATGTATCATTTTAAAATAAACCTCTGTGATTTTATTGTTCACTAAATATTCATTGTTATAAACTCAAAAGTTATTCCAGTCAATATGTGAAAAAATTTTATCCCATATATCCCATATTTCATCCGAACGGTTTTATTTGTTAGTATTTATGTCAGAAATGTGTATTTACACGTGATTACATTACGTGTGATTGAACTGGACTGACATCACTGAGATGTGAACAGACTGGATCAAGGATTTTAGAATACGAGAAGGTCTGTTTTCATCTATTCATGGTAAAACTTTTTTTTTTTTTGACCCACTTGTCACTTTTTACAAGTGTTTTATTCTTATATTTAAGGTTCGTACTGTTCAAACTGTCAACATGAACCAGACTCAGGTTCAAGCATTACATGATTATTAACGCTGTGCTTAAATTAGTGTAATAATTAGATTAACTCTTATATCGGCCCCGCGTGGCTCTGCGTGACCCACCCCACGCGAACAGCTCCAGGAGAGTTTTAAACAGTCACAGGGCTGTTTGCAGTGAGGGGCCGGTGCGCTGACACGTCACACTCTGTCCTTCGATCCTGTGATTCCCTCTAGTGGCCACATCGAGAAATGCTTTTGGATAACGAATAAAAGGTTAGAGCTACTGAACTCACTGTGTGTAGAATTATTTAACTGCACCGAGTCTGCTCCTTCACTGTCCCATTCCACGTTCTGATAAATGATTGTGTTTTTTACATCAACATTATAAGTCTCCACTTGTTCACGAGTGAGGGAAGGACGGAACGTGAGATTGACAGGCGGATCGGCGCAGCTTCGGCAGTGATGCGGTCGCTGTATCAGACCGTTGTGGTGAAGAGGGAGCTGAGTCGAAAGGCGAAGCTCTCGATTTACCGGTCAGTCTTCGTTCCTACTCTCACCTATGGTCATGAGCTCTGGGTAGTGACCGAAAGGACGAGATCGCGGATACAAGCGCTCGAAATGAGTTTCCTCCGCAGGGTGGCTGGGCGCTCCCTTAGAGATAGGGTGAGGAGCTCAGTCACACGGGAGGAGCTCGGAGTAGAGCCGCTGCTCCTCCACGTCGAGAGGAGCCAGTTGAGGTGGCTCGGGCATCTGTTCCGGATGCCTCCTGGGCGCCTCCCTCGGGAGGTGTTCCGGGTATGTCCCGCCGGGAGGAGGCCCCGGGGAAGACCCAGGACACGCTGGAGGGACTATGTCTCTCGGCTGGCCTGGGAACGCCTCGGGGTCCCCCCGGAGGAGCTAGAGGACGTGTCTGGGGTGAAGGAAGTCTGGGAGTCCCTGCTTAGGCTGCTCCCCCCGCGACCCGGCCCCGGATAAGCGGACGAAAATGGATGGATGGATGGCATTATAAGCCTGCTGTCCTGTGTTCTAATTATTATTTTATTATTTTATTTATTTAATGAGACAGAGACAGCACAAAATGTTGACATTAATCTTAACAGGAGAGATCCATGATCATAATGATGATGACAGTTAGTCTACTGTCCTGTGTTCTAATGCAATGGACCCCAACCCTTTTTTGCGCCACAAACCGATTTAATGTCATACAATATTTTCACGGACCAGCCTTTAAGGTATGGCACCAAAATACGACAAAATAAAATGATACAACCAACACAAAAATTGTGGAATTTTGTAAATATAACAATAAATGTTTCTAAAGACGTCTGTTTTTACTCATTTTGCAGCTTGTGGGTTTAATATTAGCGCTAATAACCGAGACAAGTATCTTGACTTGGGTCAATTGAGTGAATAGTGAGTCTCAGACGGATGTAACAGAGAGAATTCGCCATTTTTCAAAATAAAAATGTGTTCAGACTCGGATAATAAATAAAATGGAAATAATGTAAGTCATACCAAACGAAACAATGGACTGGTACCGGTACCTGACCCGGGGGCGCTCTTCTATTGAGCTCACTGTACTGTGTTCTAATGACACTGTGGTCTGATGCTGCAGATGCTCATGGGACAGGTCTGATCTGACAGAACCACTGGAGCAGAACTTTGGTTGAGACAAGCAGCGTATGTAATTGACTCATGTTATGTAGCCTGCATGTATTCAGTATTCAGATAAGAAAAACTAAAGTATGTCTATAAACTACGAGTCAAAAGTTATTTTAACATCTCTCGCTTTCTCTCTTGTCCACGTCATGGGGCTGAATATTATTTATTTTTGATTTTAAACGGTTGATCTTATTTAAATATGTTGATCTTATTGTAAGACGTACACAATTTTCATATTTTAGCAAACTAGCCCCGCAGACCCCCCAGACCCCCCTGGCCCCGCAGCGCGTGAACCGGCCGTGCTCTGACACAAACAAAGCGCGCTCCAGTCCTGCTCGCAACAGTGACGTCAGCGCGCAGCCGCGGTGCGTGGTCGCTGAGCGCGCAGGACCATTGGGCGAGCGCGCAGTGCGCACGGAGCTGAAGTGTTTTGTGGAGCGATCATAGACCGTCACAGACCGTCACACACCGATAGAGCAAACAACAACAAGCTCCGCGGCGCATGAGGCGAGCGGCGCACGCACAGCCGCTTTGGGGACGGACACTCGGACATTTGGGGTAAGATCTGAGTCACATCCTCTTTGTTTACGCCTGTCGCAGCGGGAATAGCTCCGCACCGCTTCCGCCTTTAGGAAGTTTCTTTTGTCTTCAGTCAACAACACAACAGCTCAGTGCTGTTCGCCTCTCTGCGTATACGCACACGGGGAATCATCTGCTCTGGGTCAAGTTTCTTCTGTGTCAAGTTGTCCCGTAGAGTGCTGTCCCGGTACGTGTGTCTCCGCTCTTCTGCCTGCGCTGCTACGTGTGAATACCTTTGGACTGGCCGTAGGAATAACATGATGTTATCTGCGCTGCCGGAGCTGATGGGCGCGGACTGAGACGGGCACAGACCTGGACACGCTCCTTCCACTTTATGACCGCACCATTCTCGTTAGCTCTAGAGTTAGCACTAAAGTTAGCATTGTGGACTCGTGTTGTTTTCTACACGCGCTTTAAACGTGTGCCCAGTGCCATGTCCTGTTTCTGTCAGCGTTGTACATCCCGCTACGTGTCTGACGAACTGCAGGTTAACAACTCAGTGGTGGAAAGATTACTGAGAATTTGTACTCAATTAAAAGTCCACTGTGAGTTACATGGCTAATAATGTAACAAGTTCTGCTGGTAAATTAATACTTAAGTGCATTTTTTTAACTCTTTTATACAACACTTGATCAATGAACCTGTCTAAATCACAAGTTTCATATTTGCACTTGCATAAGTACAAGTAAAAAAATACACCAAAAATAAACTCAATTACAGTAACATGAGTGAAATGCTCATAGCCTGATTTTGTGTGTTTGTGCAGGTGGTACGATGGCCGCACACTTCACCATCTCTGACAGTGAGTCGGAGGAGGTGGACGGAGTGGAGAAGGAGATCAGACCTGCTCCAGGCTGTGAGAAGCACGGTGCCACAGAGCAGACCCAGAAGAAACACAAGCTAAAGTTAGAGCTACGAGAGACAGGTGAGGTCGGCAGGTGCAGACCAACACTCAAGAGAATGAACAAAGCATTCAGTCATTTGGTTTGAGTGACTTTGACCATTGAGTATATAAGTAGTATAAGTAGTAGTAAAATAGTAATAACAAGTGTTATACTGTGGCTAATCTCACAGTCATTTCACTCTTGCCTGATACTTAAACTTCAACTATATTTAAAGTTACAGTATGTAACTTTCTGGAGGTGGCAGCTCCCTGTCTCTGCTGTTTGTGAAATCTATAACCACACTTTTCACCACAACATTTTCCATGAAGATCAATGCAATCCTCTGGAATGTTATAGCCAAAGGACCAACATTTCCATGGAAACAAGCAGGAGGAGGCCCTCCTCCAGGTCAAATACGAGTCAGGTTTGTGGACATGCACACCGGCTCGCAGTAAGGACACATGATTTTCCCAGCAATAAACCCAACCAAAATGAAAAATCATGATTCTATTGTAGTCAGTTTTTTGGCAAAATAGTTCCATACTGTGGTTTTAAAGACATGCTGTGGTATATTGGATTGGCATATCATCAGAATATTATTTTCAGAATGCAGGAAAAGCCCTGCATTCATACAAAATATGAATTTGGTCAGTATGGACCATGCTTACTTTAATTTCTTAGCAGTTTCCACACTTTGTCATGGGAGATACAGCACTGTGATAACCATTCCTGAGTGTAAATATGATTATACGAAAATCATTAAATTAAAGGTGAACTGTGTCACTTTTGTGGTGGAAGGTTCAACACCTGCTTGTCTCCATATACATGTGATTTCTTTGCCTGGAATGATCTACATTACAGTATGATGTTAAACTTACTTGCATACTTAAAATGATCTCTGTGGAGACAAGCTGCCTGTGTCAGTTAAAGGACTCATATTATGCTGTTTTTTCATCTTTATTATAATGTTGTTTCCTCGTCACAAACATACCTGGAGTTTTGTTTCATTTACACATGTTTAACACACAAACCTTCCATATTTAGGCTAAGTTCTTCTCTCAAATGGAAAACACTGTTCCACCTTGTGATGTTGTACAGGAAGTGCTCCACTGTGTTATTTAAACTCCACACACCTTCACTAGAATCATTTGGAATTGTTATTCTTGATTGAACTAAAGGTAAAAGGGTGCTGTGAACTTAAACTACCACTACATGACATCACAAGGTGGAACAGAGTATTTTGAGCTTTGAAGATGTAGACAAAGTCATAAATAAAGGATTACTCAAATGAACTGGAGTTGTGAATGAAACAAGTCACAACACCAGGTCTGTTTTTGAGGAGGTACCAACATTATAATATGGCTAAAAGCTCATAACAGTCAGTTTGGTGTAATATAAGACCTTTAAATATGTTTAATGCCATGCTGTGAACCTTCTGTGAGAATGACTAACATCTCTACGGAGACAACAGATGGCTTGCCCACCACTGAAAAAGTCTGTGTGTGTTTACTGTGATAACTGTTCGCCGACTATGCACAATTACACAATTTACAGATCAAATATAAAATCAATCAAGTTATAATTTCGCTTCCTGGTTGAACATCAGATATGGCACACACAGAGGTAGGCTATAGCTGTTACCTAGCAACCATTCTGTAAACAAGGGCCAAAACTTGTCTGCACAATAGTTATAAAGTTTTATAAGTTAGACTTATAAAAATAAATGACAACCTCTTCCTTGTAGTAAACTGCCTGTGCATTTTGGATGGAGATTTCCGTGTTAATGACATAGGCAGAGGGATTCTGTTACTGTCCTACTAAACCAAGCCAGAATAAGAGATAAACATGTATATGCACAATCACATTTCTAAAGACGTTTACTCCCTCAGGCAGTGGCAGGATCCGGCTCAGCTCAGAGTCCCATGTGTCGGAGGACAGCAGGGCAGAGGAGGAGCTGGGCACCCCCACAGAGGGCTTCCCTTTCCGGGGACGCTCCAAGTCTGCACCCCCTGCTCTGTGGGCCGCCAAGAAGTATGGCCAGCAGCTGCGCCGCATGAGTGACGAGTTTGACAGCCTGCTGGACAGAGGGGTGAGCCACCACCAACTACACCACACATAATTATTCACGCTGGAGATTCTCACGATAAAAAAATTCACTCAAAATAACTCAAAACTTGATTTAGATTGAAAATGTATATCAACCCTTTGCTTTGAACTCTGGTTTGGACTCTTGACGTTTCTCGACCCTGAGGCGGCGCAGCTGTGAAAACCTTTACAGGAGACTTCATTATGAAGGTCACTGAGAGAAGATCAGGGGTTTACAGATCTGTGAACACTCTGAGGATTTGAACATAAAATATAAAAAATATTTAGTTGAGTTATTTTCACTTTGTTTTCCATAATTCCAGAGATCTTGTTTAATATTTGTGATATCTTCTGTGTGTTTATAAAATGTAAAAAGTCTTAAAGCAAACACTGAAAGAGAGGGTGTATCCCAGTACATCACAACTGGTACTGACTAAACACACTGGCATAGTTTTAGCATCAGTTTATAAAGACAAGATGGAGATGTCATTGCTTTGCCTGGAATGTTCCATAGTATGACATTAAACTTATCTGTCTCCATGGAGACAAGCAGGCGCTGCCACCAAGCCAAGTGGCTGGTCAGATCTGTGGAGAGGAGATCCTGATCTCCTGATGCATTCCTTGTCATAAAATCCCTGTAACTGATTAAATGTGAGATGGATACATGTAAAGTCATACTGTGGAACATTTCAGAGAAAGCAATAAAGTATGAAGACAAGCAGTGGCAGATATCTCACCAAAAAGTGACATAGTGTTCCTTTAACCTTGAAATTCAATTTGTCAGCTGAACAAAAATAAAGTTTGGTCCAGCTGACAAATTGAATTTCTTCTTTTGCCATGGATTCTACCTGGACGACAGGGATTGTACACACAGTCTTTCCAATGATAATTGATAATCATGCCATGTGATTGGAAAATACTATATTTTAGTCATTATGGTTGATACTTTACAGTGGCATCATGCTGGGGGTGCTCTACACATATCCTTATGGTGGAATGTTCAGCAGTTACTGTGGAGTTCAGTGTACACAAATACAGCCAAAAAAGTTTTTAAAAACTCAATAAAAACACATTTTCAGGAGTCTGTGATCAATCCGAGTGTTCATGGTCCTGTTTAGGATTTCTCAATAAAAAGATGAGTGACTAACTGAGTAACTGTTGGCTTACTAGCTTGTGACTGTAATGTTATATGAGAGGGACTTGTTTAACAGTATAAATCATCTTACCTGTTGTTCGGGCGAATTCAATTCCTTCTAGTCAGACTGTGTTAAAATTAAGATAAAATTTAAGTTTCACTGAGTATCAAGCTGCAGTGTTTACCCTTAGCTTCACAGTAGTGAACACATGGAGGACGTGGATTGTTGTGCATAAGCCTCCTAGATTTGATTACAACAGCTCCAGGTCTGCTCTGTCCTGCCCACATGACCACACACCTGCTAATGGCACAGACAGCTGCTCATGCATGGTGTGTTTCATTTACACATACCTCACTGAATCAGTTCACTCTAAAGAATTGAAACAAGACTAAACCAAGGTGGGAGATACAGGTCCGATCAAACATAAGGGCAGCTGACAGTTGCTCTGTAATCTTCTAAACAATTCATGTCATATTTCTGCACTTTTGTGGTTCATTTACAAGTCTGTTCAAGTTTTGTATGATGAAATGAAATCTCACACATGTGCAGGCACTTTGGAGCGCATTTCTGAATGAATGTCATAACATCCACATATTCATTTTTGTCAATATTGACCAGACTCAAGACTCAATAGGATTAATATGTAATAAGAGGCTACTAGAGGAGAAATGTTATTCTAGTTGCTTGAATGTCAGCATCTGTCTATTTATTCAATTACAGTGCTTGAAAAACACATCTTAAAACATGCATTCTGTGTGTCATGGAGATAAATTTAATGCCATACTGTGGAACATTCCAGGCCTCCACTGGAAAAGTTCCCTAGAGCAGCTCTGAGTTAGAATGACCCAAGTGAATGTAACTGTAAGTGACTGCTGCCCCTCTGTAACCACAGGAGATGAAGAAGACCAGACCCATCCACCATTCCAAAACTTGGTGGAGCTACCTGTTCAGCCACCAGGAGAGCGAGGGGGAGAGCAACCACCACGAGTCCCACCGCACCGAGTAGAGCTGCCCTGGAGTCTGGACCCCGGAGCCTGGACCCTGCCCTGCCCAGTGCCCGGAGTATGCCTGCTCTGGGTGCGCCCACAGGGGACTTAAAGATCATGAGGGGGGCCCTGATCCAAACACGTGATGATATTGACACACTATAGCTGAATCTTTTGTATTGGTGTTGCTCACGCTGTGGGTTCTTTTGGGCAGCCACTGTGAAGTAGTGAAAGTGAGACTGGCATGACGCTAGACTGTTGTGGTTCAGATGTATTCAGATCAGATCCATGGACAGTCACACCCTCATCCACACTATGCACTGTGCCGGAGAGGAGAGGGACACGTATCAGGAGGCTGTATTTAACACTGGGAATTAGCTTTTCTTTCAAATCATCTCTGCTAAACTGATCCTGAACTCATGCACTACGCTAACATGCACGCAGAGAAAACCAAATCTCCACCCTGCTCCGATTACAACAGCATTTCTAGTGCTAAGTCATTTAATTTTTTTAGTAGCACAACTGGAGAATTCTGTTGGTGTTCCCCTATTGAGTATTGCTGCATTTTTACCATAGACTGTGTATATAGTGGACTTAGCTAGCCTGCTAACCACAGTGTTCCAAACAGGAAGTGAGCATAAGACTCTGGCTCCAGTTCACTCTCTACTGAAAAATGGAGTCCCATCTCTCTGCGCCTGCTGCTGTCAGGTTAATCACTTTGCTCTTAAAATGTTCATATTAACCCACTCTACCTGATCCTGGTGTTCTTATGTCACTATTTAAAACAAGACATGAACATTAATATCGGACCAATCAGGTGCCTTCTTTCGCTAAGGTTGGATCCAGCTAGCGTTTGCAGCAGGTTTGATTGACAGCTATAATGCCTCATTGCCAAGCCCCTTTCAAAGCAGCGGTGCGGGTGCGGTGGAGCAAGTACCTTCAACAACCTCGCTCCTTATTGGCTCTTTGGTTGCTATGAAACGCACACTCATATCTCCAGATATGGAACTCTTCTCCGCGCGAGTGGCCTCAGTCGGCCGGAGCCTAAATCCACTATATACTGTACACTCATACAGCATACAGCCTAATCTGGACAGGGCCAGAAACCGTGTAGACAATCTTACTTGAGGTTTACTCATTTTAGATTCAAATCATGGTCCCTCCAGCCCAGAAAAGATCAGTTCTCTGGAGAAGTCTGGCTATAACCAAACAACAGCAAATCTTAGTACTCTTGTGCATGTAAACGTAGAGTTGGAGTGTGCCAAAGTGGTCATAGGCCTTAAGCAAAAATGAGGTGGAGAAAACAGAAAAAGCTATTCCTAGTTTTTAAAGATGCACTATGTCATTTTTTCTGATAGAGAGTCATCTGTTTCCTTGTAAACACAGAGATGGTATTGCTTTCCACAGCATAAATCTGTGGAGAGACAAATATACTCAGGTACTATGCATCTTATTCAAATGAAAAGGTCTGTGAAATGGACTCTTAGAGAACAGCAATTCCAGGGCTGAAATTATCAAATGATTCTATTGAAGATGTATGAAGTTTAAAAACACAGGGAAGCACTTCCTGTATTACCGCATGACATCACAAGGTGGAACAGAACACAACAGAACAAAACACAAATCCAAGTGTGTTTTTGATGAGAAAAGTAGCCTAATATGGGCCCTTTAATTGCCATACTGTGGAACATTGTAGGTAAAGCAACATCATCTCCACTGAGACAAGCAGGTGGTGAATTCCCCACTGAAAAAGCTTCATAGTGCACCTTTAACCTTTAGTCTTCTACTCTGCTTCCAATTCACCTGCAAAACCGAACCAGCTAACTGTATCCGCCGCCATTACTACTACTGCTTTATATCAAATTTATATAAACGGATGAACAATCTTGTACAAGGACAATCTCTGATGCAGAAATAACTTTTGTACTAATTCAGGGTTAAATGATATATGAGGAAATGACAGATAACTAAAAGCACATCTTTTTAAAGCTATGTCGAAAAAAACAACAACTGTGGAATCTATGTGTTTTGTAAATATTGTGTTATATTTGAAATGACAGGGATGTGGGGGTTAGAAGTTTATTTTAGCAGTTCCTCTATGGCGAAGTCAGTGCGCCGAGTTAGCAATAGGCTAAGTACAATCCACCTCTGGGTTAGGTACTGAAGGATGGACGGGGACTGGAGTCTTTGAGCCCATTTCACCAGCCAATGAGAATGCAAGGACGTCACGTGATGTCATAACACTCCAAACAGGTTTGAAGATGTTATCATTTCTGATGGAGGGCAGGGACCTGTAAGACTCTATGGCAGATTCACCGTTTTGCAAAGAACTCTCCAAACTTGTTGAACATGTTGAACCTTCTCATTATTTGTTTGGGATTGGCTCCACACACGTGCCGTATTCATTTTATGGTTATAAATCATAAGATAAATGACACCACTTTCTGAAGCTATTGTAAAGTATAATTACAATTTATTTATTCATTTCAACAGAGAAGACGCTGAACTTTGTGCCAGTTTTGGTTTCATGTGGATAGGCAGAGTAATTGCAGATATATGAATCATAAACCAGATCAACAAATCTGCAATCTGAGAGTTACACAGCAAATACAACCTGACAATTCTGACCTATTCAGTGGTTTCAATGTCGTGTTCTAGGTTTTGAGGACACATTCAAAAGATATAATGTTTAGTTTTGAGCTGGTATAAAGTTTTATATGCCCCCACCCTCCATCTGAAATGATGACATCAAATTTTACAATGCTGTAAGCGCAATTTACTATCAAAATATGTACAGAATTTTTTATAGTCTGTAGTTTCTAAGTGGTTTGGACAAAACCAGCTCTCAAAGTAAGCTGTGTGGGTGCTCTATGAGTTCTGGTTGTACCTGTGTTTTGAGTACAATCACTTGCAGCTTGTGGAGTCGTGTTGTGCTGTGATCACGTGATCGTGAAAGTGGTGCAGATCTGTGAACAGTGTCTTACTGGAGTCTATGGGCCATGGAGCTGTGCACGGCAAACGCTGTCGTATCTAGATGAGTTTAAATAACTAGAGTTCTCAATTATGATATCTTTATTTCTGTAATTCTGGAAAAAAGTACAGATATATTAACAAGTGCTTGAATTAAAGGCGCTGTGGCAGATTTTTACTGTCTAAAAATGTGAAACAGTTCATCCTAAGTGGTTTGCAGTGGTCCAAAGTTATTCCTCACTTACTTTATGTATTCAGAGCATTCTGTTTATTCCCCACTAAGAGTATACACACTTTTCACAACTTTCCTGACCAGGGAGTAGTTTTGCCATCACTGTAAGCCTAATAACTAGCAACAGCATACTAACGTGCACTTCCTGATTATCGGACAAAAAAATACTCTCTAATTAGATGTAGACAGCAGACTTATTTTAACCTTGTGAGCTGCTAATACCATATGTGTACTGGGGCACACACATTTTGCTCAAATACATGGGGGGAAATCAGGTGCAGGGCCTTTAATTGAGAATTTGATGACAGGATTTTATATTTCGAGCCATATTTTGGTTCAATTCTGACTTCATCATTTGGACTCAGACTAGATATTGTGTTTTTGCCGCATTGTCTTTGCCTTTGTGTTAGAATGTGGGGCTCTTGTGACAATCTGCACTCCACCACTGTTAGCTAGTGTTGAAAAGTGAAATGTGTCTTTTGATTTGAAAATGCAGTTGCCTAAAAGTTGTAGCTACACTTTTATACAATAGCACATTTTCTTAATTTTGTAACCACTTTTTCTAATGCTAACTTTTCTACTCTTGTGACAAGCTAATCCTAGATGTTGAAGTTTTTGTACGACCTCTGACCTGTTCTGTGCTCACATGCTGTACCCAACTACAAGCTTCAGTAGGATTTAGTTAAAGGAGCTCTAAGAAGACCCTCCATCTAAAAATCTTCAACGGTGCTCCTTTAATATTAGGGAGAAGGGATGCACAATATTTTGCAAAATTGATAAAGCAATATATGTTAATGCAGTAATCCATTCATCCACAATTTCACAGCTAATATTAAAGTTTTTCAGTTGAGATTCACATTTAGAATTTTATTTTATTTTTTATTTTTTGGCCAGAGGTGGGTAGTTACATTTACTCAGTTATTTGAGTAACTTTTTAAAGGATTTGGACTTCTTTAGCAGCATATTTTACTCCTACTTGAGTAATATTTTTATTGCAGTAACAGTACTCTTACTTACTTAGTAAAAGTTTTTGCTCCTCTTCCCACTGTGAGTAAGTCTACAAGTGACAAAAAGCTTTATGTTTACAATATGAAATTATCTGAACATCTGTTTCTTGCAGCTCCTTCAGATGATATAGTTTGTCTCTTTCTGATTACTAGTTCTGTCTCTTTTCAGATTAATTTTGCTTTAAATTATACATATCTTGACAGTTACTCTTTAAATTACTCTTAGTAGTACGTTTCTTGACTCTTACTGTAGTCATTTCTTAGACCATCACTTTGTACTTCTACTTGAGTAATATTATTTTGATGTAACGGTACTCTTACTTGAGTAAAATGTATGGCTACTCTCCCCACATCTGCCTTTTCAGTCATCGTCTCACATTTATCATGTATCAGATATCATATTTTTCTCATATTGTGCATCCCTAATTTGTATAATATTGTTTCTGAATGCCTTCTACAAATCAAGATTGTTTTTAGAATTTTTTAGACATTTTTTCTTTTGTATTTTATGACCAACCCACATTATTTTGTGATACAATTTGTCAAAACCTTAAACAGCTCAGAACTCCCCGGAGCCTCATTTGAACGACTACCGTGACTCATGCTTTACTAGCCCAGACCTCGTCACAGCAGAAGGCTCTCAGTCTGCCTTCAGCACGTCTGAACTTGTTCTTATCACCAGCCTTAACTCGCCATGGCTGCATTCACTCTTGTCCTGGTTGGACCCTGGTTTAGTCCTGATATAGACTTGGTTTGGTCCTGGTTTAGTCCACATTTTGTTGTGCAAGTGTGAAGCAGCCTTGTACAGTCTTGACAAGCACAAGTGTGTGGGCTCTGATGCAGTAGAGAAACCTGTTGTAGTGGAAAGACCTGCCGGGCACCTGCCTGGCATCTGCTGGGCATCAGCCTCTGCTAACTAACTTGGGATTACTTGAATATGGAATTGTGAGAGAGGAGCTCAGATTTGAACATGACTTTGTTGATGGCTTTTGTTTTGTTCAACTTTTGTAAATGTATTTTCTACAGCTGTGAAACATCTGATTGTGCTGTCTTGAATAAATAATTTTAAGAGTGCAAGTTGTATGTATGTTTCTGTGCCCTCACCCATTGTCCTGGTTTAGTCCGGATTTAGTCCTAGTTTAGATCTCTGTTCTTACCCTACGGTCATGAGCTTTGGGTAATGACCGAAATTACAAGATGCCCGATACAAGTTAAATGAGTTGCTCACACAGATATGAAAATGCAGGGCTGTTGTCATAGTGATGAACATTTATATTTACCGATCTATTCAAAGGTCAAAAGTCCTCAAAATGAGATGCTCATACCTGAAGGTTGTCAGTGTGTGCTGCAGTTGTGTCTTTGGGCAATGCACTTCACCCACCTTGCATCCACTATTTATAGCTTTGGCATTTTATTATTAGTGTAACTTGTATTTTAAGATGCATTTCTGCCAGTCTGGCCCAGAGCAGCATTGACAGCTTCAAACCATCTTTACTAAAACCTTAAAGGCACAATACCAGATGTTGCTGTCTTAAAACATGAAAAATAAAACTAGTTCATTTGTTTGCAGTAATTCCTCACTAAAAAAAAGGAGGCACCAGGGCATGCTGGAGGGACAGTTTTTGTTGCATTTAGTTAAATAAATGTTTAAACTGTCAAGAATTTTTTTTTTCTACATTACTACTTTATTGGTGATATAGAGGGATTCCAATTTAGAACTATATATATATTTCCATTAGTCAACTTCTTCACAAATTATCCCACCAAACCAAGTTAGAAGTAGGAAAACATGGAAACCAGTTACATGTTCTAACCCTAACCCATGTTCTTTAAGCTTTATTACAGATGAAAGATTATATATATATATATATATATATATATATATATATATATATATATATATATATATATATATATATATATAAAATCTTTATAGTGAAAAAAATACTTACTTCATTCAGTATAAAAGAACACTCATTTATTAGGCAGTGTGAGTAGTATTACCTGGGATCCAGAATACACACTTCCTCAGTACTGGTGAATCTCCCTCTTTGCAGATGGCCATGATTGACAGGTGGATAAGCCAATCAGAGACATGCATAGGGCGTTTGTAGCAGAAAAAAATATCCCAGGGGACTAAAAAACAAGGTGTACTTCTGTAGAATTAGGGAGAGACACATTTGGACAGGCTTGAGACACAGTGGAGGGAGTGGAGACCAGATGTCCATATAAAATTTTAAGATAGCACTGTTGATTTACCAGGCAAGTAGTACACTTGTGTGGAAAACCAAAATCATAACCAATTTCCAGTTTCAGCATAGCTGGAGAAGAGGTCATTTACAGTCATGGACAAAATAGTTGGTTCCCTCTGGCAATGAAAGAAAAATCAACAATCATCACTGAAATAATTTGATACTGATAAAAGCAATAATAAATAAAAAATTACTGAAAATTGTCCAACAAAAATCAAACATTGTTTTTCACCTGTGGTTCAACAGAATAATCTGAAAAAAACTAAATAATGAAACTGGCCTGGACAAAAATTATGGTTCCCTTAACTTAATATTTTGTTACACAACCTTTTGATGCAAACTCTGTAAACAAATGATTTCTGTAACTGTCAATGACACTTCTGCCCTGGTCAACTGGTATTTTGACCCATTTCTCATGAGCAAACTGTTCTAGTTGTCTCAGGTTTGAAGGGTTCCTTCTTCAGACAGCATGTTTCAGCTCCTTTCACACATGTTCAATAGAATTGAGATCTGGGCCCACAGAAGAACACTCCAGAACAGTCCAGTGTTTTGTTCTTAGCCATTCTTGGGTGTTTTTAGCTGTGTGTTTTGGGTCATTATCCTGTTGAAAGACCTATGACCTACAACCAAGACCAAGCTTTCTGACACTAGGCAACACATTTTGTTCCAAAATATCTTGATAGTTTTGAGATTCTGTTGTATTTTGCACAGATTCAAGACACTCTGTGCCAGATGCAGCAAAACAGCCCCAGAACAAAACCAAACCTCCTCCATGTTTCACAGTAGGGACAGTGTTCCTTTCTTGGTCTGCTTCATTTTTGTGTCTGTGAACACAGAGCTGATGTGTTTTGCCAGAGAGCTCCAGTTTTGTCTCATCTGTCCAAAGGACATTCTCCCAGAAGCTTAGTGGCTTATCAATCTGCATTGTGACAAATTCCAGTCTCACTTTTTTATGATTTTCTCTCAACAGTGGTGCCCTCACATGAAGTCCACTTTGGTTCAAACACTGATGGATGGTGTGATCTGACACTCATGTACCTGCCCCTTGGACTCTTTGGTTCCATTTGTATGATCCAATCTGTTCAGTTTCTCATAAATTTGCAGCCGCGTCCAGGGAGTTTGTCTTCAGTCCTGTGGACCTTAAACTTCTGAAGAACATGTGTAACTGTAATCACAGGAACATCAAACTACTTGAAGATGGTCTTATGGCCTTTATCTTTAACCTGCTTGTCTCTCATTTTCTTTCTAGTCTCCTGACACAGTTCTCTTCTTATCTTTCTCTGGTCCATGTTCAGTGTTGTGTCCATCATGTCTCCAAACAGCACAATGACACATGTCCCCTTTAAACAGACAGACTGACTGAGGACAAGTTTGAAGAACCTGTGATGCAGATTAGAGACACTCCTAAGTTTAACATGTCCCTATTGTTCAGTTACTTACAATCTTTTCTTAGAGGTACCATCATTTTTGTACAGGCCAGTTTCATTAGTTTGTTTTTTTAATAATTATTCTATTGAACAACAATTCAAAAACAGTGTCTGATTTTCATTGGTTATTTTTCAGGATTTTTTAAATTTATTATTGCTTTTCTTAGTTTCAAGTTATTTCAGTACAAATTTTAGATTTTTTTTCATTACCAGAGGGGTACCAACAACATTAACCACGACTGTATAACAGAAATAGGTGAGCAGAGTGTAAAACAGACTGTAACTCATGTTGGTCCCAGTCCAAGTGCAGTGGAGGTCAGAGCACATGTGAGGGGTTCCAGCAGAAGTGCTGTCCACAGTCCAGAGCACTCAGCTTGGACATGTCCTCATCACTCAGGGAAAAGTCAAAGATGGCAGCGTTGGTCTTTATTCGCTCAGGGCTGGACGACTTGGGTAGAACACCAATGTTTTGCTGCACAGCCCAGCGCAAGAGGACCTGAGTGGAAACAGGAACTGTCAGATACCCTAACCATTGGGAGAGGAGCAAAGTAATGTACCAAAGCCACGTTCTAATACTGTTACCTCATCATAACACACACCTGGAGTTGTATTTAGTTTTATTTACACATGTTTGAGAAATCCTGAGCTCAAAATGTTCTGTTGTACCTTGTGATGTCATGAAGTGGTAGTTTTCAGATTATCAGATCCTTTTACCTTTAGTTCAATAGAGTTTGGCAATTCCAGGGCTGAAATCACCCAAATGATTGAAATGGTGTATGGAGTTTAAAAACACAGTGGAGCACTTCTTATATTACAACATGACATCACAAGGTGGAACAGAATGTTTTCTGTTTGAGAGAACTCAGCCTAAATACACAGGCTTTGTGTCTTAAATAACTCCAGGTATGTTTGTGACGAGGAAACTTTTTTTTATTGATGTATTTATGCCTTATTTCACACCAGTTTTTATTGCTACTCATTTAGAATTTATTATTACTATTTATATTTTTTTCTATTTATCTCTTTATTATTATAATATATTGTGATGTGTGAACTGCTGTGACCAAGTTATTTCCCTTGTGGATCAATAAAGTTTGTCTAAGTCTAAGCATTATAACAGATCAGAAAACAGCATAATAACTTCAAGGTAAGAATAACTGTAAGAGTGGTTTATAATATGACTTTAGTGTAACTGGAAGAACAACACAATAATAAATAAACAAATGTAGTAAAAGATCACAAATCTGAGCAGAGTAAGGTTATGTTACAATAGCTAAATTTAGTGTTAAAGTTATTATCAGGAGAAACATCACGATTTACAAATATTCACAATAATGGTGAAAACCTGAACTATCTTTCATTTACACTGTTTAACAGAAAGCCAGTCCTAGTTCCTCTGTGTACTTAAAGGTGCACTGTGTAACTTTTCTGGTAGAAGGTCCGTCCTGTTTTTTTTTGTGAAGATTATATTGCTTTGCCTTGAGTGTTCCACAGTGTGGTGTTAAACCCATCTCATTTGCATTTATCCCATTTACTCAATTACAGGTGTTATTGCTCAAAAGTACCACAGACAACATGCATTTGCTTTGCAATGTAAATTCTGTACTGTGAGCAGGGTCACCTTTCCACAGATCTGACATGTATAACTTGGGCTAGCAGTGTTACTTGCTTGTTTCCTTGGAAATAGGAATATGTAATGCCATGCTGAGAAGCATGCCAGGCAAAGCAATAGCTTCTTTATGGTAACAACTGGGTGACCGACTCTCCACCAGTAACATTACATACACTTACCACACTGTTATGTGAACACATGGTAGAACTTTCTTTTTCTATTCCCATGTGGTCTTATACTGTATGTGTGTGATCCTCAGTGGTCCAGTAGGTTCATAGTGTCCATGTGTGTATACTAGTCTATGTGCTTTTATACTTGTTCTTGATACAGCTCACGATCATTCTAAAGCTTCAGGAAAGGCTCATTTCTGTCCAGTCAATGGGACTGTTTTGTATAGATACCTGCTAAAACCTTGTATCAATACCTGATACCTGCTAAAACCTTAAATATGGATCAGCACCACATCAGCTCAAATGTGGTCTAAGGTTGACCGGCCCACCAGGCATTTTCCCAGTAGTATAGATTACCAGTCTGAGCCTGTGGATCAGTATCTGATTTTCGATACTTTTGACAGCCCTAGTTACAACAAAGTGCGGCTGGGTGAAGAGTACCTGTGCGGGGGTCCGACTGCAGGTCTTGGCCACCTCCAACACCACAGGGTCAGTAAGCAGCTCCCCCTGCCCCAGAGAAGAGTACGCCTGGAAGAACACCCCAAACTCAGAACACAGCGCCCGGAGCTCAGGCTGAGCCAAGCGTGGGTGGAACTCAACCTGCATACAACGTCAAGAAAAGAAAAAAAACACAAGGATTCTAATACCTTACAGTTTAACCTTACAGAGAGTAGCAATACTCTTACTTGAGTAAAAGTTGTCCTTACTCCTCTAACTGAGTAAGTCTACAAGTGACAAAAGATTAATGTTGACAATATGAAATGAAGTGATTTATTCTCCACTCATTCATTTTTGTGTCTATTCTTTGAAAATACCAGATGTTGTGCATTCTATCACATTTTGTTCTTACAGTTACAATGTCAAGTCTAAACAGTTCTTCATACGTTTAGTTTAACTTGAGTACCGGTAGTAGTTTCACCAAATACATTTTCACTCTTACTTGGGTTATTTATTTATTTATTTATTTATTTATTATTATTATTATTATTATTATTTTATTTCGGTCACAGGTATATTTTGACATTAATTCATAAACAGTCATATTTAACATATACAGACCGAAAAGGTGCAGGCTGAAGCTTAAGCTTATTATGCCTACCCTTTATTCCTTTATCAGAGCGTCATCTTGACACCAGTTCATCTTCAAAAATACAGCAGGAAGAAACAAGCTAATCAGTAACAGAACAACAAAGTTCTACAGCACAAACTAAGTCTCATATTTCATGTATCTGTCCAGAGTTAAACATTTAAACTTCTTTATGAAGTGAAAAAAAGTGGTGCACAATTTTAGGTTTTCTGTACAGTTGTTCCAGAGCTCCACCCCTTTAACAGATATACAAAATTTCATAATGTTTGTTCTGATTTTCTTTTTAATAAACATGGTCGTGCCTCTGAGCTCATATTGGCTATCTCGGATTTTGAACATGTTCTGTAACGGATTTCGATTGTTGTTTACTTTGAACATAAAGAGTGTAAATCAAAATCGACTTTCATAAATAATGCATTGGTTATTGTTATATAAGTTGTTAATGCGATTGCTAATTGCTTTTTTTTATAAAGTTTTATAATTGCCCCAAATCTCACCTAGGTTTATTATTAGACTTTTATGGCTATATATAGCGATCACTTTATAATTTCCTAATTGTATTTATGTGTGATTTCCAGTTTAAATTATGATCTATATAAAAATTTATTTTTGAAAGACTTTTCTAGTGGTGTATATTTAGCATAATTTTGTACATGATTTTGTACTTTTCGCTTTGCAAATATCATAAATTTAGTTTTTTCTATGTTTAGCAATAATTTATTAACAATAAACCAGACTTTTATTTTCTGCAGCTCCCTCTCCACCATTTGAAAAAGCTGCCTTTGGTTTTCACCTGAGCAGTAGAGGGTGGTATCATCTGCGAAGAGCACATAATTGAAAATTTTTGATGCCGAACATAAATCATTTATATACATAATAAATAGTTTTGGCCCAAGCGTCGAGCCCTGTGGAATTCCAAAATTTACTTTCAACAATACAGATTTTTCATTATTTATTTCAACATACTGGTATCGGTTTTGTAGATAGCTTTGTAGCCAGGCATGCACAGGTCCTCGCAGTCCATATCTTTCTAATTTTTGCAATAATATATTATGATCGAGGGTATCAAAAGCCTTCTTAAGGTCAATAAAGATACCCACACTGTATTTCTTTGAATCAATTGCTGTAGATAAATTTTCTACCAATTCCATAACAGCCATTGAGGTAGAGCGATTTTTCCTGAATCCATATTGATGGTCACTTAAGAGCTCATATTTTTCTATGAATTTATCTAATCGATGAACAAATATTTTTTCTATTATTTTTGAGAATTGAGAGAGTATTGAAATTGGTCTATAGTTTGAAAATATTTTTTTTCCCCATTTCTGTATACTGGAAACACTCTTGCTATTTTCATTTTATCTGGAAATTTGCCCATTTTAAATGACTGATTACATATATGTGTCAGTGGATCTGCTATGAGCTCTATTGTATTCTTGATTAGGTTCATGTCTAGGCCAGCTGCATCTTTGGATGTTTTTGGTTTGAATTGTTTTACTATTTTAACTATCTCATTTTCATTTGTAGGATTCATATAGAAGGAGTTTGGGTTTCTACAGACTGTGTTACATGGAAGAGAGTTCCTGTGCATTTCTATAGATTTTGCCAAGTTATTACCCACATTAACAAAATAGTGATTGAACCCATCTACAATCTCTTTTATAGTTTCGAGTCTGGTATTATTATGTGTAAAGTGGTTTGGGATATCATGTTTCTTGTCTCTTATTTCCATAATACTGTTTATCACTTTCCATGTTCCTTTTATATTTTCCCTTTGCTCTTGAAGTAATTTGTGAAAGTAGTTCTTTTTACAACTTCTCAGGATGCTTATCAATTTATTTTTTTATACTTTTTATATTTTTAATTTCAGATTTCTTTGTTCTGAGTTGGATAAATCTTTTATATAGTAAATTTTTTTTCTTGCATGCATTTTCTAGTCCTTTCGTTATCAAAGGCTTTCTAACACAGTTTTGATTTTCATTTACTTTTTGCAATGGGCAGTTTTTTTCATATAGTTTGATATATTTACACAAGAAGGTTTCATAGGCATCATTGGGATCAGTCTGATTGTACACATCATTCCAGCTAAGTTTGTTTAAGTCCTCCTTAAAATTATTTAAAGACTGGGGTGTTAATCGTCTTATGAATTTGTATGATTTTGATTTGGAATCATTATTCAGTTCATTACAGTTCTGAAAAACTGCAAAAACTGGAAGGTGATCACTTATGTCACTAATCAGGAGTCCTCCAATTGTTTTACCTTCAATTTTACTGGAGAATATATTGTCTATCAGTGTAGTAGTGTCAAAGGTAATCCTACTTGGTTTATCTATGATTGGGATGAGCATATTACAGTACATCATGTTTATGAAGTCTGCTGTTTTCTCGTGGGCAGAAGCATTCATAAGATTAATATTAAAATCCCCACATATAATTTGTTCTTTTCCTTTGGACCCATTTGTGTTGAGCCAATCATGCATTTTTTCATTAAATATATCTATGGGGGATCCTGGGGTTCTGTATATACACGTGACTTGCACATTTCTGGATTTTTTAAATTCGATCTCAATAGTGACACATTCTAATATATTTTCCACAGTTATTGATTTGTTTTCAACAAGTTTACAAGTTATGTCTTCGACCTCTATTTTGCAGCCAACTTCTAGCTTACTTAAATAATATTGTAATTAGCCTTAATAAAGCATAAACAAAGACTTACTACGAGTAATTACTGAGGAGTTAACTGTTAGGCCCGAGCACCAGAAGCTGCTGAGGGGTCTATTAGTGCCACAAAGTGATGCTTCTAGTGGCCGGGAAGTGAACTGATGCAAAGAGTTGTCCGTAGTGACCAGGGAGCCTCTGATCCACTTTTTGATGTCACTGTAATGTGTTAACATAGGAAGTGCTCCACTGTGTTTTTAAACTCTATAAACATGAACTCATGAACTATAAGAATCACATGTTTTTCAGAACATTGTGTGAAGAGGTCGACATCAAGCAATTTGATAGCAATATATTGCATAGCTCTACTCATAGCAAGAAGTGTGTGGAGTTTGAATATTCTCTCTGTGCCTGCTTGGGTTCCACTGGGTGCTCTTTTCTCCTACCACTAAACACCTGTGACATCAGCTTCCATCACCTATAATCTTTGTCATTCTGATAAAAGTAGATTCATAAGAAGATATGACTAGATGATTGTAGGTAGTCCCATATCTGGTGGATTCAATTGTTTGTTAAAGCTTTAATTATAAACATTCTAAAACAGCTATCGATCTGTAACAGTGCAGAAGAGTGAGGATTCTAAAAGGCTTTCTAAACTTTGGGGTCCATTTAAAGTCATTGGTTTAATCATGTGCTGCTCTCACTGTAAATTTAGCAGAAACATAAAGGGCATCATGTGCCCAGAGCTATACATACTAAAAAAAATTTACTTAATATATTATACTAAATCTGTTAGTGTTGTGAAGTTTGTGTGTTCATTCATGTTTCTCCACAGTTATCCTTGTCTTCTAATAGTAAAGCCATGGTTTCTCTAAAATCTACAAACCATACATTCAGGCTGTACTGAGATTCTGTGCTCACCTGTAGCACAGCAGGGGGCACTTTGCTGCTCTTCATGAGCTCCCTCATGTGGGTGGGGGTGTAGTTGGACACTCCAATAGCCTTGAGCTTCCCCTGGGAGTGCAGCTCCTCCAGTGCAGCCCAGCTGGCTGCTCTGTTGCCTGCACATACACACAGACACATACATACACATTACACTCATGGACATGGATACTACAGAATGGCTCTTGCAGGTCCACTCACTAGGGTTCCTCTGGTCCGTCACATCCAGCCCCTGTGTGCCAGGCCAGTGGATCAGGTACAGGTCAATCCATCCCACATCCAATTCTGACAGGCTCCGCAGAGCCCTCTCCATGGCCCCCGCACCCTGGTCTTTAGGTCCCAATTTACTGGACACAAATATCATACAGGACCCATAACAGGACTGCACGTGTCATGTTCACTAATTAACCATGCCAATAATAAAGATTTAGAACAAATAAATTTAGATTATGGTGTTTTAATCCTGATTTAATCTGACTGGTGAATTATGAATTGGGTGGACTGTTTTTTACTACACTTTCACATTTTTTGTGTTTTGAGTTTTTATAGAAGAAAAAGTATTTACATAACAATGACACTCACTAATAAAGTTCCAAAGATTGTGATGTCACCTGCATAATCTCTGATCATTGACTGATAGAATATAGAACATATGATGCTATATGACTGATCATATAGATACATTGACATGGCATTACCTGGTTATAAACACGTCCTCTCTGGTGAGCGCATACTTGGGCAGCAACTCCTTCAGAGCTCGTCCTAAATCGGCCTCATTGCGGTAGACAGCAGCACTGTCGAAGGAGCGGTACCCAGCAGCCAGCGCCGCATCCACAGCCTGGAACACGCTCTCTGCCCCCACCAGCTTGTATGTACCCAGGCCCAGGAGGGGGATGTGGGTTCCAGTGTTCAGGGACACGCACGGGCCCGAGGACATGACTGTGGACCGTAGGAGAGGCTCGTCTGTGAACATGAAGACAAACAACAACAGGCTTTTATTCTTTTGACAGTGGGGAGGAGTCACAGTCCCCTGCTTCTCTCATGATGTGCCTATACTCAGAGCTGTATCCAAACATAAATTATGGTGAAGACTTTTTACACTAATACTATTTTTAAAGGACGGTGAATTGGAGTGAAACATATGAGCTACTTACGTTCCTTCCTAAACTAGTAAAGACAAACACAAAAACAGTCGAATAAAAGTGAAACGTGAGCTGCAGTCAGACTGTGTGGATCCACGCTGCGGCGAGGGCTCAGTGTGGGTTTGAGTCACGTGATTTTGAGTTGGTCATGTGACGTTTTCTTTGCTTTCATTGGAGGAAAGACAGCCAATGAAAACGGCCCAAACAAACCTTTGCGTTCCCCAGCGGCGGGAAAACTGAGAGCATGCTAGAACCGGCACACCAAGCACCAGTAGAGCACCAGTACACCGAGCACCAGTAGAGCACCAGTAGAGCCCCATAGAGCACCAGTAGAGCACCGGTACACCGGAGCAGCGTGCCCCAGCCCCGGCAACGACACAGAGCAGGGCAGCCCCCCAGCCCGGGCACCGACAGAGGGCAGTGTAGCAGCAACACTCCAACAGCTGAGAAGTGAAGGGAGCCTCCCCTCATCCCGCTTTCAGCTGTTTAAACCTCGGCTGAAACCATAGCTGTTTATTTCGCGGTAAAAGGGACTTAAAATGTTGATAAAAGACAACATACCGTCTAATCTGTAAATGTTGAAAGCTAATGCTTCAATTTAACTTTGACCCATACAACATTTTTTCCAAAAAGTGTAATTGTGTAATGTACTGCACATACACTAGTCTACAGCGATTGCTTTCATTGCATTTTTGTTTTGCCACTAGCTTCAAAATAAGAAAGAATAGGCTAATATGATCAAAGTTTATATAACACACATGTAATATGTAGAATATAGACACATTTCTGCCAGTAAGAGTAACCAGTTGAAGTATGCTTTATCTGTATGTTATTGTCTGCTTACAAAAGCAAAAAATCTAATCAAAAATCTAAATGATAAACTCAGAAGCCTAGTTTACAGTACTGAACTGGCTTTCTGTTTGGGTGTGTTTAGGAGAGCCATGCCACTGCATCCCTTCTCGTTCCCCTTCCCTCAGACGCGCTTCTTTAAGGCTGGGACTAACATCTACAAGTTGAAGATCCGAGGAGGCAGCTCGTACAGGCAAGAGCACATACATCTCTCTAGATCCAGTGCTTTACATCACAGATGAGAATATAAGAAAAACATCTTTTAATAAAATAGCACACAAAAAAGACTTACAGACCATATTCTATAAAATCTGAATATCATGAAAAAGTTAAATATTTTATTTATCACTTGTTTCAGAAAGCCCATATATTATATACACCGATAGAGTGAAGCTGTCAAGCGTTTATTTTTTATGGCTTACAAATAATGAAAACCAAAAATTTTGTGTCTCAGAAAATTTGAATATTGTGCATAGGATCAATTTAAAATGTATTATATATTTTAAACAGATGTGTCAGGCTATCGAAAAGTTTGTTCATGTTCTGTGCACTCTTGGCTGGGCTTCCTTTGGTATGAATTACTGCATCAGTTTGCCATGGCATGGAAGAGATCACCCTGTGGCACTGCTCAGATGGAATGGAAGCCTAGGCTGCTCTGACAGTGGCAGGTCATCTGCACTGGTGTCTCTGGTGTCTCTGATCTTCCTCTTGACAAAACCCCAGAGATTTTCTATGGGTTTCAGGTTAGGCGAGTTTGCAGGACAATCAAGCAGAGTAACACTATGCTCACTGAACCATCTGTTGGTACCTTTGACTGTGTCCTGCTGGAAAATGCAATCAGCATCTCCATAAAGCTTGTCAGCAGAAGGAAGCATGAAGTGCTGTAAAATGTCCTTGTAGGTGGCTTCACTGACTGTGAAGCCACACACAGTGGACCAACACCAGCAGATGACAAATCATCACTGACTGTGGAAACTTCACTCTTAACATCAAGCAACATAGATTCTGTGCTCGCCCATTCTTGGACCTTGATTTCCGGGTTTGGGTCCAGTAAACAGAAAAAATTAATAAAAATTATTTATTCAATATTTTACCAGGTAAGTCAATTGAGAACACCTCATTTGCAATGACGACTTGGCCAAGAGGCAGTATAAAACAGAAGCACAAACAGAACACACTCACATCAACCATAACATGAGACAGTGAAACATTTGCAGATTAAAGATATAAAAGTGTTAAAAGCATGCACATTGATCCTGTAAAACACTCTGGATGGAGTTTTTAGTTGACAGAGGTAAAAATGAACTAAGTTTTAAAGTCTGTTGCTTTGTTTGGATAAAAAGTTACAAACTGTAGCTTTAAGAATGTGTCTGAACATGTTGGGCATTAAATTAAGAAAGTATGAAGTAAACCTGTGCTCTTAGAGTGAGAAAGAATGTGGCATATCCAAAACAAAGAATGATGGAAAGAAACCACCATACAGTACCGTGTTTTCTTTATGTTGGCTGAAGTTAGCAGTCAGGTTGTCAAACAAACAGTTTCAACTGGACTAAGCCAATGATGTTCATTTTGTCTTCTTATATACTTTAACTTCTTGGGTTCTTTTTAAAGACAATGCAGTAAAGTGTATTTACCTTGTTGACATGTTTCGTCTGCTAGCTGTAAGCCAGTTCTGAAGATGGCTTGCAGTTAGCAGCCGAAACATGTCAACAAGGTAAATACACTTTACTGCATTGTCTTTAAAAAGAACCCAAGAAGTTAAAGTTTCAGCTGGAGCTGTAAGGTTGATACATCAGTCAACCAGTATATTGGTCTATCTCTAATGACTAGTCATGCTAATGCTAATCACATTCTCTATCCACAGTGGAGTGGAGGCAACAGGAGGACACTTGTACAACCTTGAGCATGAAATGGAGGTAAACTTTACATTTACTTTAAGTACTGAAGCAGGATTCCTTCATACTTGTAATAATAATAAATGTCTCTCACTGTGCTGTTAGGACATCATCAGGACTGTGCTGGGAAACCTGGAGAGTCTGCAGCCCTTCACCAGCACACACTTCCACATCTACCCCTGTATCCTTTATCTTAGCACAAGCTTTTCAATGTGCACTTTGAACAGAATACTACTATTAAAACTTAAACTATATTTACATATTTTTCTGAAGTGGTTCAGCTCTATAGTACATATTTTCAGAGTTGTTGATGATATTTCCTTAAACTATGGCTCCCAGACAAAAAGCCTTGGGAAAGAGTGTCTCAAGTCATGTGTAAACACGGAGAGGAGGCTCTGAAGGCTTACCCCTTCACTCTGCTGCTGTACCTGGAGAAAAACACGCACAGGGGTGAGTAAGGCCAGCTTTACGAATAGTGTGCAATATGGACCATATGTGAATTCATCTACACTATTCATTTCTTCTTTTGTGTATTGTTACAGATTCATTTACAAGAGACACAGTAGACAGAAGACAAGTGAGTTACCAGGGCTTTATGCAAAGAACTGTATGATTATTTAATATGGGGTTATTTTTGTCTCATTAATATTCACAAATGCACAGATGGTGATCTACAAATTGATTTGATGTGGTTTGATATCCACAAATGCAAATTTAATATTTGTAACTTGTATTTTGGTATTTACAAATAGATGTGTATTTGTAAATATATCTTTTTTCATTTGCAAAAAATGATTTCATTTGTAAAACTAAAAATTCTGTTTGTAAAATGTGATTCGCATTTGTTGATCACAGTTACACGAATCCTCCGATTTCCGATAGACGTAATTTTGAGGCACTCATTTTGAGAAATCCACAGACAGATCCACAAATACAGACACGTACTTGACCAGCAGGGGGCAGCAGCTGCACACGAAACATTTGACACTGCCGAAATGGAAGCGTCTCTTGCTAACTTAACGTCACTTAGGCTAATGTTTACCTTTATCAAACGCCTCAACAGCTAAGGACTAAACCAGAACTGAACCAGGACTAAAACAGGACTAAACCAGAACTGAACCAGGACTGAATTCGGATTAAAACGGAACCGAGTGTCTGAACGGCCCGGAGTTGTACCCGCGCAGACCGCCAGGTGACGGCGGGTCAAAGACCTCCGCGCCGCGCGGGCTAAATGCAGCCGTCACCCGAACGCGCTTAAGGACACCGTGCTCCACGGCTCTGGGTCCTCCCTCTCTCTCTCTCAAGTCAAAGGCTGTGTCCCAATTCAAAGGGCTGCAGCCTCCGAAGGCTGCGAAGGCTGCAGCCCTTGAACTGGCCTCCGCGGACTGCCAGGCCATTGCGGAAATGGGACAGGTCTAGCCCTCGGAGCCGCTCCCCCGTCGCCTAGCAACCGAGGGCCGCTGCTAGCACTTCCTCCGCGTAGATTACGTACACGGATCAGTAAAAAGAATACGGACAGGTCATCAAACTGTCGGATTTTGTGACCAAATTATTTTAATAATTTGCATCCAAATCTTATGGCCAAAAACAAAAATGTATGTTTAACTTTTGCTAAAAGAAACAGCTATATTTAAGGGATACATTTTAATAGACTAAATTATCTTAAAGTTTAAAAAAACTGTGAGATATGCATTACTAAATATTATCATTAAGGATTTGTAAAGAAAGAAAGACATCTCTCCTGAGAAAAGCTGGTTTATTAAACAATCCAAGGAACTTCTGGAAATACTTTATCATAATATGAAGTCAAATATTAAACCCATTACACACACTCTGCATAACAGGTTAGTACAAACAGCTGTATGTCAGTAAATCTCATTGTGTTCCCTTTTTGCTGAAGCAAGTGACAATCAAAAATGAACAAATTATCTTTGCCAAATATGATCATGTGGAATACCACAGCTTATCTGCAGTAGAATAGTACATTCTTATAGTACATGTAATTAGTTACTATCAAAAGAGACACCAAATAAACGGCACATTTCACCATAAATCAAATGTCAGTACAGACTGAAAAACATTCAGAAAAACCTATGAGCAGATGTTTTCATTTGTCTCACACACTTGTTCAGATCATATAAGACTCTGGACCTCCTCCTCAGAGACTCTAGGCATGAACATTGGAGACATGGACAGTGGACTTGGACCACTCAGTCTGATGTGTCTCTCGTCTTCTGGAGGAGGAAGAGCAGAATGGGTGTTAGGTCTGATTGATTCAAAGTTCTGTCCTGCAGAGTGAAAACCTGTAATGACACACACATTAAGAAAACTACAAAACTATTAGAGGAAAATAAGTTTCACAGAGCATGCAGCCCCAAAGAACACCTGGACTCCCCCCGCACTATTTACATTTATTATTATTTATTTATACACAAGGAAGTGAGAAAAACAATTTTGATTCTTTATATGTTTTTCGTATGAAGAATTGACAATAAACGATTTTAACGTTGAACTTAAACTCTGATGTACATTCAGATTCAAAGCCAGTTTATATCTGAAACAGCTAAGTGAATAGAGGAATCCCACACATTTGAGAAATGCATATGTTCACAATTTAAATCATAATTTCAACATGAGCATGATTCATTTGCAGCTCTTATTATTAGTAGAGTTTTCAATGTAACATGCCCCATACCTAATCGTTGGCAGGAATCTGGGTCAGCACCTCCAGCTCAGTGTTGGCTATACTTTGTCACCTGCATTTGACCCATTTTATGAATCACAAGCATCTTGTCAGCCAACAGTTCTGTGGCCCCTGCAGTGTGCCGTGTCCACATACTGGAGGCTGCAGATGAGAAAAGAAAATTCATGTAAAACAGATTTCTCATTGTTATAACATTAGATGTGACAGACCTAACAGACACAGTCAGGTCATATCTACACCAGTGTCTGCACAAATCTGTTAAACGAGCCTCATGTCCATCATAAATCTGACCTGTCCAGGCAGGATTATCTACTTTTCACGTTACAAGACACAGATTGTTAAAAGCAGATAATGTATTCTCTGAATGAAATGCACACGTTGGAGGTTTATATTATGTGATTTACAAGTAAATATGAGCTTTGATGGAGTCAAACTGAGTCTTTTCAGTTGAATGTATGAAATAATGTGTTTTCATCTTAACTCCGAGCTACACTGACCAACTGTTTACATGTTTACACTGTCCGTGAAAACGTGGAGTTTTCTCCTCGTAGCTTCTTTAAATCAGTCTGTGGGCTTCTTTTCCCCGAACAGTAAAAACATGATTAGTGTTTGACGGAAATATGTCCAAATATGAAAGTTTGAGCGGACTTTTCATCGCATTAGCTGCACATTACTAGGCAAACTTTAGCTCAAAACTCTGCGGTTCACGCAGTTAAAAACAAACCTATTTGACAGTTTTGTGGGAGTTATGGTCGTATTTTACGTTTACAGTTGTGTTAGTAATGATTTCCTAAAGTTAAAAGTTACTCAAATGTTTTTCTCCGCTCTCCGTACGGGCTTTTTGCTCCGTGTTTTCGAACATGTGACTGCCGCCGCGCAGTGCATGCTGGGATACTGAAGGTTGCGAAGGATACCATTTTAATAGATCCATGAAGGATACTCGGATGTGTTCTCCGTTCGCGGCCTCCTCTCCATGTAAACGAGGCCGGTTTTAGGGCTGCATGACATAAAAATGAAATGGGACATGCCTTGTTTCACCGGAAGTGACGTATGCGGCCTTAAAACCAGCCTTCGGAGGCTGCAGCCCTTGAATTGGGACACAGCCACAGATTAGTCCTGGTTTAGACCTGGACTGAACCAGAACTGAGCCAGGACTAAAATAGGTCTAAACTAGAACTGAACCAGGACTAGCCTAATCTTTGACTTGAGGGAGGACCCAGAGCGTGGAGCACGGTGTCCTTAAGCACGTTCGGGTGACGGCTGCGTTTTGACCTGCGGTCACCCAGTGGTCTGCGCGGGCTCAACTCCGGGCCGTTCAGACACTCGGTTCCGGTTTAGTCCTGTTTTAGTCCTGGTTCAGTTCTGGTTTAGTCCTGTTTTAGTCCTGGTTCAAACATTAGCCTAAGTGACGTTAAGTTAGCAAGAGACGCTTCCATTTCGGCAGTGTCAAATGTTTCGTGTGCAGCTGCTGCCCCCTGCTGGTCAAGTACGTGTCTGTATTTGTAGATTTCTCAAAATGAGCGCCTCAAAATTACGTCTTATCGGGAATCGGTGGATTCGTGTAACTGTTATGAACAAATGTGAATCACATTTTACAAACAGAATTTTTAGTTTTACAAATGAAATTATTTTTTGCAAATGAAAAAAGATATATTTACAAATACACATCTATTTGTAAATACCAAAATACAAGTTACAAATACTATATTTGCATTTGTGGATATCAAAACACATCAAATCAATTTGTAGATCACCATCTGTGCGTTTGTGAATATTATCCATCCATCCATCCATTTTCGTCCGCTTATCCGGGGCCGGGTCGCGGGGGCAGCAGCCTAAGCAGGGACTCCCAGACTTCCTTCACCCCAGACACGTCCTCCAGCTCCTCCGGGGGGACCCCGAGGCGTTCCCAGGCCAGCCGAGAGACATAGTCCCTCCAGCGTGTCCTGGGTCTTCCCCGGGGCCTCCTCCCGGTGGGACATGCCCGGAACACCTCCCGAGGGAGGCGCCTAGGAGGCATCCGGAACAGATGCCCGAGCCACCTCAACTGGCTCCTCTCGACGTGGTGGAGCAGCGGCTCTACTCCGAGCTCCTCCCGTGTGACTGAGCTCCTCACCCTATCTCTAAGGGGGCGCCCAGCCACCCTGCGGAGGAAACCCATTTCGAGCGCTTGTATCCGCGATCTCATCCTTTCAGTCACTACCCAGAGCTCATGACCATAGGTGAGAGTAGGAACGAAGACTGACCGGTAAATCGAGAGCTTCGCCTTTCGGCTCAGCTCCCTCTTCACCACAACGGTCCGATACAGCGACTGCATCACTGCTGAAGCTGCACCGATCCGCCTGTCAATCTCACGTTCCGTCCTTCCCTCACTCGTGAACAAGACCCCGAGATACTTGAACTCCTCTACTTGAGGCAAAGACTCCCCACCCACCCGGAGAGGGCAAGCCACCTTTTTCTGGTCGAGAACCATGGCCTCAGACTTAGAAGAGCTGATCTTCATCCCAGCCGCCCCAGTGCACATTGCAGGTCCTGGTTCGATGAAGCCAACAGGACACATCATCCGCAAACAGCAGAGATGAGATCCTGTGGTCCCCAAACCGGACCCCCTCCGGCCCCTGACTGCGCCTAGAAATTCTGTCCATAAACACAATGAACAGAACCGGTGACAAAGGGCAGCCCTGGCGGAGTCCAACATGCACCGGGAACAGGTCTGACTTACTGCCGGCAATGCGAACACAGCTCCTGCTCCGGTCATACAGGGACCGGACAGCCCTTAGCAAAGGGCCCCGGACCCCATACTCCCAGAGCACCCCCCACAGGACACCACGAGGGACACGGTCGAATGCCTTCTCCAAGTCCACAAAGCACATGTGGACTGGTTGGGCAAACTCCCATGAACCCTTGAGCACCCGATGGAGAGTGTAGAGCTGGTCCAGTGTTCCACGGCCAGGACGAAAACCACATTGCTCTTCCTGGATCTGAGGTTCGACTATCGGCCGGATTCTCCTCTCCAGTGCCCTGGCATAGACCTTACCGGGAAGGCTGAGGAGTGTGATCGCCCTATAGTTGGAGCACACCCTCCGGTCCCCCTTCTTATACAGAGGGGCCACCACCCCGGTTTGCCAGTCCAAGGGTACTGTCCACGACTGCCATGCGATGTTGAAGAGGCGTGTCAGCCAAGACAGCCCCACAACATCCAGAGACTTAAGGTACTCAGGACGGATCTCATCCAACCACCAAGGAGCTTTCCAACCACCTCAGTGACTTCAGCCAGGGTGATGGATGAGTCCGCCTCCGAGTCCCCAGCCTCGGCCTCCTCCTCGGAAGACGTGACGGTGGGATTGAGGAGATCCTCAAAGTATTCCTTCCTGGGCCGGACAACGTCCCCAGTCGAGGTCAGCAGGTCTCCCCCCACACTGTAAACAGTGTTGGCGAAGAACTGCTTCCCCCTCCTGAGGCGCCGGACGGTTTGCCAGAATCTCTTTGAGGCCGTCCGATAGTCCTTCTCCATGGCCTCCCCGAACTCCTCCCAGCTCCGAGTTTTTGCCTCCACAACCGCACGGGCTGCAGCACGCTTGGCCTGCCGATACCCGTCAGCTGCTTCAGGAGTCCCCCGAGCCAGCAAGGCCCGATAGGACTCCTTCTTCAGCTTGACGGCATCCCTTACTTCCGGTGTCCACCACCGGGTTCGGGGATTGCCGCCGCGACAGGCACCACAGACCTTACGCCCACAGCTCCGAGCAGCCGCATCGACAATAGAGGCCGAGAATGAAGCCCACTCGGACTCCATATCTCCAGCCTCCCCCGGAATCCGGAAGAAGTCCTCCCAGAGGTGCGAGTTGAAAGTCCCTCTGACAGAGGGCTCCGCCAGACGTTCCCAACAGACGCTCACTACACACTTGGGCCTGCCAGGTCTTTCCGGCTTCCTCCTCCACCAGGGAACCCAACTCACAACCAGGTGGTGATCAGTTGACAGCTCAACCCCTCTCTTCACCCGAGTGTGCAAGACACGCGGCCAGAGATCAGATGACACGACTACAAAGTCGATCATTGACCTCCAGCCTAGGGTGTCCTGGTGCCACCTGCACTTATGGGCACCCTTGTGCTCGAACATGGTGTTTGTTATGGACAAACCGTGACTAGCACAGAAGTCCAATAACAAAACACCGCTCGGGTTCAGATCGGGGAGGCCGTTCCTCCCAATCACCCCTCTCCAATTGTCACTGTCGTTGCCCACGTGGGCATTGAAGTCCCCCAGGAGAACAACGGAGTCCCCGGTCGGTGCACTGTCTAGTACCCCTCCCAAGGACTCCAAGAAGGCCGGGTACTCAGCACTGCTGTTTGGCCCGTAGGCCGACACCACAGTGAGAGACCTGTCCCCGACCCGAAGGCGCAGGGACGCGACCCTCTCGTTCACCGGGGTGAACTCCAACACGCAGCGGCTGAGCTGTGGGGCGATGAGCAGGCCCACACCAGCCCGCCGCCGCTCCCCGCGGCCAACGCTAGAGAAATGGAGAGTCCAGCCCCTCTCAAGGAGTTGGGTTCCAGAGCCCAAACTGTGCGTGGAGGTGAGGCCGACTATGTCTAGTCGGTAACGCTCAACCTCCCGCACAAGCTCAGGCTCCTTCCCCCCCCAGCGAGGTGACATTCCATGTCCCCAGAGCTAGTCTCCATGTCCGGAGATCCGGTCGTTGAGGCTCCCGCCGTCGACTGCCGCCCAGTTCTCTCTGCACCGGCCCCATATGGCTCCTCCCGCGGGTGGTGGGCCCACGTGAGGACGGCCCCACGTCACTCCTTCGGGCTAAGCCCGGCCGGGCCCCGTGGGGGAAGGCCCGGCCACCAGGCGCTCGCTGACAAGCACCCACCCCAGGCCTGGCTCCAGGGTGAGGCCCCGGTGACGCCAATCCGGGCGACGTAACTGGCCTCTGAGTGGACATCATCATATGGGACTTCTGAACCGTTCTTCGTCTGACCTGTCCCCCCAGACCTGTTTGCCTTGGGTGACCCTACCAGGGGCATGAAGCCCCCGACAACATAGCTCCCGGGATCATTCGGGCACTCAAACCCCTCCACCACGATAAGGTGACAGTTCAAGGAGGGGTTTGTGAATATTAATGAGACAAAATAACCCCATAATTTAAAAGTGCAATGTGTAACTTTTGTGATGGCAGTTACACTACCTACTTGTGTCCATGAGATGTTACGTTGATTCATGTGGATAGTTCCCTTTTTAGAGATATACTGATCATAAACCAGGTCAACAAATTCTGGAATGTGCCTATGCAGCCTGTTTATAAACCACAGAGACTTCTGTTGGGCAAATTCTATTTATAAAAATAGTGCTAATCTATTCTACAATACATTCCATCTTTGCAGGTTTGAAGGTCAAATGCCATCTATTTAATTTGTGAGATATATAACAGAGTATAACATTACATGTACGTTACATTACTTAAAGGGCCCGTACTTTTTACTCTAATTGTTACTGTTTTCTGATCTTTGTTATAATGTTGTGTTCTCATCACAAATATCCATGGAGTTGTGTTGTATTCATACATATTTAAAACACAGATCCTGTATATCTAGGCTCAAACAGAATGTGGTAATACATGAAATGCTCCACTGTGTTTTTCAACTCCATACACCTTCACTAGAATTATTCATGAAAATTATTCAAATTGCAAACTCTTTACTAAACAAAAGCTAAATAGTAACATGAAAACTACCATGACATCACAAGATGGAACAAAGCATTTTGAACATTGGACATGTAAACAGGTACAAGTCCAATTATGTTTTTGATGAGAGAACATTATAACAGAACATTATAACATGGCTCACAAGAATACATTTTGTATAATACAGGACCTTGTAAAAGGAAAAAAAAAATTCTCTTTTTACCACCCTCTTGGTTATTAGCTGTGGTGCATACTGAGCGGGTCGAGTTTGTGTTACAGGAGGCATCTGAAGAGCCACAGCAGGACCTGTATGAGCACTCATCTAAACGGCAGATGACAGACTCACCACTAGAGGATGCTATTCTACAGGACATGGTGGAGGACATGGAGGCTGAGACTGTAGTGTCTGTGCTCAGGTCAGTGGCCACGATCATAAGCAGGCATTTCATTGTCATTCAACATAAACAGACACAAATGTACTGTTTTTAATCCATTGAAGTTACAAATCTGGTAATTTATGTGAACAGCTGAATAAGGGACTTCAGAAATGTCAAATTCAACCTTTTTTGTTATTTATGAATTAATTTATGTTTTTTATTATTTAATATTTTCCTATAAAAATAAGTGTTGGGTATTAAAGTGCCCTAAATTGATTCTTGGGGGCTGAAAAACATGTGTTAGGGAAAAACACATCTGATTGGATGATCACATTTGGCCAGGGTTGAAACACAACAGAGGGAGTGATGACCAGACTAATATTCATATAAAAAATACAGAGATATCAGTACATGCCAGGCAACATATAGAACAGACTTTTTATTGTTGGAAATGTTGAATTCAGATACATTTTTTAAATATGTATATGTATTTTTTTTAATGAACACTCTTACTAAATCAGTATATTTTAGTGACAGAGCCGAGCGAGCCGTGCGTTCTGTAGTTATAAAAGAGCTGAGGCGCCAGTTCACTCAGCTGACAGTCAGAGCAGTGAGGCGCACATGATCATTTCAAACACTAATACAGTGAGTGTGAGTGCGCAGCCTGTGTAAACATCCTGTCCACACAACCCCCAGGTGATGGCAAGTTATATACAATACAACTTTTAATAGGGACTCAAGAAATAAAGCCTTAAAGAGGGGGTATTAAGCAAAATCATCTTCTGGGAGCTTTCTACCATCACTATTATATCACATTTATCAAATGCTCAGGCGTAAGCCTGCGACATCCATGCTCCCACACAACAATTCTCCATAAATATACAAAAGCAGGATACAAAATAATACACTACAACTTCACAAATCAGATGCGATGTGTCATCGTTTTATTCATGGAACGCACACAGGTTTAAATCTAGTAAATAGCAGAGTGCTTTTCTGTTGCAGCCCATATGAAACAAAGCTACTTTTGAGGCACTCTTCTGACGAGGACGCCAAAGACAAGGTGAACAGTCATGCATTTCTTCTGTGAGGCTTCATCATTTTAAATGAGCACACTCATTACAATCAGTGGCCCAAGCTCCTGGTTAGAGAGCTGTGTGCTCAGCCCCTGTGCTGTGTGCCTGGGGCTGGCATGAGCACACACAGGTACAGGGTCAGACACATGAGCTCACCTCACTTCCTCACTGCTGCGGCTGCTCTCATTAGTCTGGTTTATGACTACAGGAAAAAGTGTCCAGCATGTATGATTTAGAGCTGCACATTTCACATGACATGCTCCAAATGAGATGATAGGGTGAGCTCATGTAAAGATGATGTATTCCCTGTCCCCAGAGGCTCCTCCTGCTCTCACAAAAACACAAGCACAACAAACCATTCGTGTTTGGGTGTCATGTACTGCTACATTCTGCATGTTCACAGGGGAGAAACACTTCACAATATCTGTAACTCTTCCAAATAGAATGGAATACACCTAAGGACTACACCATGCAGTGTCGACAGTGTTGCAGAGTAATGCTTTACGGTCTTCTTCTCCATGGAGACTAGCAATTCAAAATGACTATTTTAGCAATTTAACACCTCAGAGTGGTTATGTATAGATAAAAATGAGTTGAATGATTTGGAATATTCCAGGCATAGTAATAACATCTTACAAAAGGTCTAATAATTCCACTGTCTTTGTTATTAAAAGGGGTCAGTCCATATGAAATCAGCCGCCCTCCCCTATGAGCCATCTCAGATTTGGCTGAAAAAAAAAAAAAATCTAAAATTACCAAATGAAAGAATTTTACCTCAGTCCCTTGAGTCGTTCCTGAGTTATAGCCTGTTGAAATTTTGGGGCCATGCCCAATTTTTCTGAAGCCTTAATTTATAAGCATGTTTGAGAGACCATAACTTCATAAAAAATAGATAAAATTTGTATTATTGTAGATTCTTGTTCACAGAGTCTGAATCTGTTGTCAAATATTGGGTATCTTTATTAAGGGGGTGCTGTGGGCTTCCAAAATCTCACATTTGGTTGCCACTCATTTATTTTTTTATTTTTTTGAGGTCCAAGATCTATTTACTCCAAGCAGATATTTACAAACTAACTGCTGAACCTGAATATTTGAGAGAATGACAATTTCTGACAACAATCTCACACTTTTCTGAGCTTTCATGTGGATGGTGTAGAGTCCCAAATATGTTCACAGACCAAACGTGATCCTTGAAAACGGCTGATTTCATACGGACTGACCCAATGGTGTTTCAGACTCAATGATTACGATGATCAAAATACAACATATTATACGGCAGGTATTGTTTTATAGTCAGCTGTCACGATTAGTCAATTAATCATTCCAGTTGAGTTTGAATTTTGTTTATTTGGTGACAGTTTAGATCCCCTTCCTTATGTAGGCATTAGACTTTGAGAGAAACTTCAGTCTCCAAGGCAAAAAGATGGTGTGGGAATTCAACCCCACAATCTCCTGTAATAGGCTAGCCTGGCTTATGTCAGATTGATATATATGTGTGTGTGTGTGTGTGTGTGTGTGTATACACACACACACACACATACACTCGCACACACATCTCACGCACACGCAGACGTGTTCAAAATTGTTGATACCCCTCTGGTAATGAAAGGCAATGGTCACTGAAATAACTGAGAAAAGCAATAATAAATAAAAACAAAAATGAAAAATAACCAATGAAAATCAGACACTGTTTTTGAATTGTTGATCAATAGAATAATTTAAAAAACAAACTAAAGATACTGGTCTGGACAAAAATTATGGTACCTCTAGAAAAGACTGTAAGTAACTGGACAACAGGGACATGTTAAACTTAAGTGTGTCCTTTAATTGGCATCATAGGTGTCATTAAACTTGTCCTCAGTCAGTCTGCCTGTTTAAAGGGGACATGTGTCATTGTGCTGTTTGGAGACATGATGGACACAACACTGAACATGGAGCAGAAAAAGAGAAGAAGAGAACTGTGTCAGGAGACTAGAAAGGAAATGAGAGACAAGCAGGATAAAGATAAAGGCCATAAGACCATCTCCAAGCAGCTTGATGTTCCTGTGATTACACAGGAACATTACACAATTACACATGTTCTAGAAAAATTTATGACAAATTGAAGAGATAGATCATACAAATGGAACCGAAGAGCCCAGAACAATCAACAAAGAAATTAAACGTGAACACGAAGGGCCAAGTACATCCGTGTCAGATCACACCATCTGTTACTCTTTTAACCAAAGTGGACTTCATGTGAGGACACCACTGTTGAGAGAAAATCATAAAAAAGTGAGACTGGAATTTGTCACGATGCAGACTGACAAGCCACTAAGCTTCTGGGAGAATGTCCTTTGGACAGATGAGACAAAACTGGAGCTCTCTGGCAAAACACATCAGCTCTATGTTCACAGACACAAAAATGAAACACACCAAGAAAGGAACACTGTCCCTACTGTGAAACATGGAGGAGACTTGGTTTTCTTCTTGGGCTGTTTTGCTGCATCTGGCACAGAGTGTCTTAAATCTGTGCAAGGTACAACAAAATTTCAAAACTCTCAAGGTATTTTGGAACAAAATGTGTTACCTAGTGTCAGAAAGCTTGGTCTTCGTTGTAGGTCATGGGTCTTCCATCTGGATAATGACCCAAAACACACAGCTAAAAACACCCAAGAATGGCTAAGAACAAAACACTGGACTGTTCTGGAGTGTTCTTCTGTGAGCCCAGATCTCAATCCTATTGAAAAGGTGAAATGAGCTGAAACATGCTGTCTGGAGAAGGCACCCTTCAAACCTGAGACAACTAGAACAGTTTGCTCACGTTAAGTGGGTCAAAATACCAGTTGACCAGTGCAGAAGTGTCACTGACACAGAAATCATTTGTTTGCAGAGTTTGCTTCAAAAGGTTGTGCAACAAAATATTAAGTTAAGGGAACCATCATTTTTGTCCAGGCCAGTTTCATTATTTTGTTTTTTTCTAATGATTCTGTTGAACCACAGGTGAAAACAATTTTTGATTTATGTAGGACTATTTTCAGTAAATTTTTATTTAATATTGAATGAATCACAGCATGTGTTTTTTTTCCTTTGCAGTTTGCTGATGTGGATTCAGTCTCAGATGAAGAAGAAGGTGATGAGAAGGAGGATGAAGAGGCTGGTGGTGAAGACTCTTCGATGAGGCCGGGCATGCTGTCCACACTGGCAAGGTTAGTTCTGTATTGCACATGTTTGTGGAGGTTAGTTCTGTACTGCACAAGTTTGATAGAGGTTAGTTCTGTACTGCACATGTTTGTGGATATTAGTTCTGTACATGTTTGATGGAGGCAGTCAGACAGGTGGAAGTGATGGTGTCTGAGTCTGACAGTGCAGCGGATACTGAAGCTGACAGGGGAAATCCAAGCTTGGACCAGTCCCAGCCTTTCACAACTATTACCAATTATTACAATATCAACTTGTATTTCATGGTATTCTTTGGAAGTATCATTTAGATGCACTGGCCGCGGAACTTTTGTTGCTGTTGTACACTGGAGTTTTAGACTGTTAATTCAATTGAATGGGACATATTATGTGAAAATTACTTTGAAGAGCTTTTAACAATATTCCCTTTTCATTAGCCCACTCAGACTTTTCAGTGGATTCAATCATGTTTGTAATCCTGTATTGTATTTGAGTCATGCACCTTCAACATATTTATGATTTAACTTCTAAGTGTTTGTGCTAGTTTTAGCAAGTTCAAATACATTATTAAATAAATGGTTAAAGGTCCTATATTAAGCAAAATTGACTTGTGCTGTTCTCTCCTCAAAAGCACACCTGGAGTTTTGTTTCATTCACACATGTTTGAGCAACCCCACATATTAGTCTGTCTACATCTCCAAAGCTCAAAATGCCTGTTCCACTTTGTGATGTCATGTAGTAGTAGTTTTCACATTAACACCTCCTTTTACCTTTTGTTCCAGGGCTGAAATGATCCAAATTATTGTAGTGAAGGTATATGGAGTTTAAAAACACAGAGCAGTGGAGCACTTCCTGTATTACCACATGACATCACAAGGTGGAACATAGTGTTTTCAGTTTGAGAGAAGAACTCAGCCTAAATGTGCATGTGTTAAACATGCTTGAAACTCAACTCCAGGTCTGTTTTTGTTGAGACATTGTAACAAAAGGTATGATATGCACCCTTTGAAAAAATTGAGGTTAGGGTTTAGGTGAAGGTTTGGCAAGAAGTGACTATGTTTAGGGTTAGAGTCAGTCTCCAGGACATGAATGAAAGTGGAAATATTTGTCCTCAAAAGCACTGAACCAGAATGTGTGTCTATGTGTTTGTTTCAGGCGCATCTACCCCTTCTCCCTGTTCTTCAGATCCTCTTCACACTCATGAGTCCCTGACCAGCCTCTGCTGCACCGCTACTGCTGCTACACTCTCATCAGACTGCACGTATTATTATTGTATGCAAAACAACAAAATCCCACAGATCAGGTGGGTGCTTAGTTCTGTCTTTATGTGTGAGTTGTATGTATTTCATTGTGTTATCTGTTATAAACACATGGTTGTATTTACTGTAATCTATGTATTCATGTTAAAATGTATTACTTGTTCTTAACAATAAGTACATTTTAGGAAGTTACTCCTGTATTGATTTGATTCTGCTGAAGTAGAGCACAGATGTGATCTGCACACAGTCACTGGCTTTCCTAAAATGTGACTTGCTAAAGTACCTAAAACTCCATGTTTCCCCCAAAAATTGCTCCAAACAATCTGGGCACACAACATCCAGCAAGGATCCATAGCAAGGACCACAAATGTATGTTACGTTCACAAAGTAACATTTCACTTAAATATAAAATAATTTGTTATAAACAGTACTAACAAAATGTGTTTATCTGGGATGTAAATGATTTGTTCTAATTGCATATATAAAGCCATATTTTTACTGTATTCATTAGTGAAAAAGACAAATGTGATGCAGACTGGGGCAGGGTGCACAAATATTGGCCAAATTTCCCATTCCTCTATACCAATATATGTGAGAAATTGTCAGATATCACTGATGACCCTTCCCTACAGTGAACACAGTAACACACTCAGCTTTGTGATCACTTAGGCAACAGGCAGTTGGGTTTGTGTCAATATCTTAGCTTTAGTCCAAGAACAAACCCTAATGTGTGTTCCCCAGTGCACAGGAGATGGGCTGAGTATTTTGGAGGAGAGTGTCCATTCCTGATCACAGATGTTCTTGTGTTAATTGCCCTAACTGCTCCAGAACTGCTCTGTAATGGACTGAGGCGGTGAGAGTGCAGAGAGTGCCTGTTGACAGGACAGAGCAGAGCTGAGCTTTCTTCAGGTAATTGTTTCACACAAAGCTCCAGTCTTTCCACTTGGCTATATACCTCCAGTTCTTTTGTGGAAACTCCTCCCCCAGCCTGTCACTCACTGCACACCTGCAGGGACAGAGCACGCCACAGGGCAAGGGAACAGCACCTATTTGCCTCCTTGGATTCATTCTATTTAGGCCTGTCACTGTAATTACTAATAATAATTACTAATTGACTTATTGTTCAATATATTCAAGCTGGAACAATAAATATTTCAGCTATTTTTTTATGTAATTTGTTAAGATTTGAGCTGTAGAGGACTTCCAGTAACTTTCAGGACTAACTGTTCATACTCATACTGCCATTTGCTGTAGCTCAGGCCTTTAATGATACTGTTTGGTTTTTTTTAAACTAGGCTTACTGGGAGTATCCTACTTTATTTGTATTGTGTCAGTGGTATAAAGTAGTTTGAGTATTATCATTTATTCTGATATTCCTCTGTAATAATTTATTCTGTGACAGATTGTGCTATCATCACATCCTCATTGTGTTGATGTTGAGTTTTTCATGTGCTTTTATTTAGAGTTGTGCTTGTGTCTGCCCTATAGGTAGAATTTTTGACACCTGTGGATCATTATGCTATAATTTGGGCTAGATTGGAGTAATGAATACAGGGGAATAAAGATGACTTAAACATGCATGAATCACTCAAAATACAAATTCAGAGAAAACAATTATACCATTGTTAAAAGCTCTAAAAAAAATAAATTTTGCAGGATAGGTCTGCTGTAAATATCTCCTTTGCCACTCGTACATTTCTCTTTATTTCTAGAAAGTCAGAACTGAGCTCCACATAATTGCTTTTACTGGAAAAGATTATCTGGTGCACTGCAAAAACAACACAGTTGAACATATCTATCTATCTTGCGTTTATTTAGTTACCAGTGTTTGTATTTACTACAGAAAATCTGCAACTGCTTACTGTGAGAGGACTCGCCTTTCCTCAGAGCTTACCTGGTGGCGCCACGTGCTTGTCTACATGGATGTTTAATGCCATACCGTGGAACATTCCAGGCCAAGCAATAATGTCTTCATAGAGATGAACAGAAACGTTACTTCATGAACCTGTTTGTGCAGTACAAATAAGAATCTTGATTAAAAAACCTAAGCTATTGGGGATTTGAAAATATTTGATCTCTATTTGATTAAAATGGGATTAATTGCAGCTCTCCTTAATACAGCACTTTAGTGAAATGTGCGTTTGTGTGAGTTTACGCAGAGGATAAACGGGTCAGGCAGAGTGGCACCTCACCTCATGTCATAGAGGAGCAGGAAAAGTTTGCCTAATCCGCTCTCAGATTGTCTTAGAGCCCAAAATAACACAGCCCACGCCCCACACGCTGATCTTAAAATAACAGGACGCCACAAGTGGAAGCGGACACATTAATGATATTGTAGGCCGTCTCCACGGCAACGTGGCGCATAGGAGCCACGCTGCCACACAAACAGCTTGAGTCACTGCACTAGAGTGGGGCTAATGCGCTCCCCTGTGGTGAGAGCACATTTACAGTCAACAGCCTAATGGGAATGAGGGTGGGAGGGGCCAGGCTGAGCTCACACATTCCATTTTCCATTGACATAACTGTTTGATGACAATTGTGTTTTCCTTAGGAGCAGAGTGTGTTCAGAGGAAGCCCCTCACTCATAAATATGGGCTCATAAAACCTGGAGCAAAGCCACTCGCTGAATCTATTTAAAAAAAACATCACTAATAAAAGTGTATACATACTCAGGTTAACTTTTCACTCTCCATAATTAACTGGTTAAGTAACGGCCCTTTACCTGATGTTTTTCCTCAGGCATTTAATCAAAATGTGTGCTGTCCCAGTTTAGATCCCCAGGCATTTAATCAAAATGTGTGCTGTCCCAGTTTAGATATATTATTTAAGAGGATATTGTCTCAAAATAAGTCTGCTATACTGTCTGCATCAAATTTTTATAGCGTTTTATGATCTGATAGTCAGGAAGGGCTTATAAACTCTTCACAGTGAATAAATAAGGTAAGTGCGGAATAACTTTGGACCACTGTAAACTGTTCTGCTATTTTTCACATTTTTAAGTCAGTAAAATCAGGTACAGCACCTTTATTGTTCCCACAGGGAAATTTGACCCATCCTTCAATGTTACTGTGGGGCAATGGGTGTAGGGACCCATTTCCAGATCTTGAGCCAGGCTTGGTCATCAGGTCTGACATTTTGGGTTGATGGGGGAAACCGGAGTGCCCAAAGGAAACCATCCAGACCCAGGGAGAAACATACAAACCCCACACAGAAAACCCTGCGAGTCAAACCCAGAACCTTCTTACTGTGAGACATCTGGTAGTTCAGTCGTCTTAAATAATCTTGATTTGAATTATGGCCATTATGAACCAGATCAAGTTGATTATGATATTTACCCTAATGAACTTGAAAGAATTAATACTTCTGCGAGTTTCTTTTTTTCTTTTTTTTTCCTTAGATGGGGTTAGACTATTTTGATGAGTGGATTTTTGGCAGCATTCTCCATTTTCTGATTGTCAGGCAGGAAGAAATCGATGAGCTCATTATTAAAGACCTTACAATGAACACAAAGAGGCCGCTTGAATTTTGATTAAGTAATTATACCCTGCAAGTTACAACAAACCAAGTCCTTACAGTAGTTCTATTGCTTTATTTTAGCTCTGTCTCTACGTCAGCTTCATCCAAAGACATTGACCTCAGATGGACTTGTGGATGCTGAAATGGCTAAAACAGTTGCTAAGTGACTTGCCCTGGTGAAATCCTCAGTACTAAATTTGTCTTGTATTTAGTAATGTTTGAATGCAGTAACTCATAACCCTCTTGCTACTCAATCTCCCCACAGAGACCAGTAAAGCTATCAGCTTCTGCACACAGTGACCCACGGCAGCACGGACCCACGGCAGCACGGACCCGCACCAGCACTGACCCATACCAGCACGGACCCACAGCAGCACGGCCCCACAGCTGTCACACCATGGCAACACCATGAATGATTTATGATTTTATAAAGTGATTGAATATTCTGCAGCATGTGATTATGACTTTACGGTGTGTAGGGGGAGTGTGTTCATTCATAAAGCTGCTGCACACACTGTCTCTGACCCAGACACACATGACGACCACAAGTGCCCCACCAACCACAGGCACCAGATGACAGAAACACGCAGACAGGAAATGGAACTTCAACATCCACCTCTGTTATGGTTTGTGTCCTGACCTGGAGTCTAGTACTGTTTTATAGTCCCTGCACATTACTGTAATTGACTGGATCATTTGGAAACTTGTAACTTTGAGGAGATTCTTAAACTTGTACTTGTACTTGTAATTGAGTATAATTCTAGGGCTGCATGATTGCAGTTAGATTTGTGATGTTAAAAAAAAGAAAAAATAATGTTCAGTGCACATTGTAAAGAGACATGAACCCTCCAAACACCGATAGTGTTGTCCAGTCCAGTCTAGTGCAGTCCAGTCTGGCTATGCAGCTGTTCTAGTGAGTATTATACCTTTGATGACGTAGGCCAAGATAGCAAGGACAGAGCTGGCAGAGCGGGGAAATTCACTCTCTCTATTCTTGTGTGGAGAGGTTTAAACTACAGGTCCAAGGTTTTTCTAGATATTTTGCTCTTTGCAGAGAACATTCTGTTATCAAAATAATTGCTGCTTTTGCAATTTGATAATTGTGCCAACTGAAATTGTGATTTGATTTTGATATATTGTGCAGCCTTACTAGCCAACTGTGATGAGTCACATTTAAATATCAAAAGAATTACTGAGCACAGTAAAAGTCCCACTTGTCCAAATTTAAGTTTAAACTATTTCATTATTAATATTATGCATAAAAGACTGATGTCAAATGCTACAACTATTGTGAAAATGAGTGCTTTGAATAGGCCATTCTCATTCCACCACTGCTTAGGTTAGGCTCTAAAATGTTTCCTGTCTTTAGCCTCTCAGCCTCAGCTAAGCTACAGAAAACCTCCATCTACCACTGAGGAGCAACAACTCTACTCAGAGCTTGTTACACAGGCAACACTCCTCTTCTAGATGTTGAAGACCTCTGCACATCTTTATAAGCTGGTGACGCCAGTAAGCCATGTCACTGATCAGATCTGCGGAGAGAGGCGCACCCTTCCCGGCAAAATGCCAACTATAACATTGTTTTATTGAAATGTCATGAGGATTTTAAAAAGGCCCAAACTTTCAGCATGATAAGTAAACAAATGTAACTGAATTCAACCAATGGGCAGTCTAGTCTCTGGTCGACTCGTGTGTTTGGGCTGCAGTATGAGACCCCTCCTCCTCTGCACATGGAAAGCCCACTCTCTGCTCTTGGATTCACTCGGGTCCTGACATATTAACCAGCTTTGCCTCATCGTTTGTGGAACTAACCACTTTTCCCTGTTTTCCTGAGCAGGTTCCCACATGGAGATGGAGGGACATGAGTGTCTGGTGCCAGTGCCCTTTTCGAGACTCCAGCAGGTCAAAGTGGCGCCTTCATTGGATTACACTGTAAATGCAAGTGTGCCTTGAAAAAGAATGAAGGAGAAGGAGTTAATATATGTAAATTAAGATATACAGCATTAGAATATATCAGAAATATGCTGTCTGCATTTCTAAATGATGGTACAAGGTGAAGGTTTGCAACTAACGATTGTTTTGGTAATGGATTAATCTGGTTGTTATCTCAATTAATTACTGACTTTTTAGATCACAAAAAAGATTTTCACACATTTTCAATGGACTGTTAAAATATAACGTGATTATAGACTTTCATTACATTATCATCACCATCAGCGGACAGGAGCGCACCTTTAGGGCCAGCCTTTTGTCCCTGTCCTACTCCACAGACACACTCTGGAAGTGGTTAATTCCATTTGCGGCATGGTGGATGAGTGGCTAGCACTCATGCCTCACAGCAAGAAGGTTCTGGGTTCAATCACCCGGGCCTTTCTGTGTGGAGTTTGCATGTTTCTCTCCGTGTCTGGATGGGTTTCCTCCAGGCTCTCCAGTTTCCCCCATCAACCCAAAACATGCTACAGGTCTCCAGGAACAACAGTTAAATCAGTTAAATACAATCAATCAATGAACCTGTCCAGGGATGACGGTGGAAATTAGCACTGATGCTACAACCTGGTACAATGCACCTCTCCTGTTAAGGTGAAAGTAAAAATTGTGTGCTGTCCTTGTCTCAAATAAATAAACAAATAAGTTCGTCTGTACAACACTTCACTATAAATGATGAATGCAGATAATGGACTGCTGTATTATTACTTTGTTTCATTGTTGAAAATTCTCAATGATCTATCGATCCATCTATCTATTTTTCAGTAACCTTAGAAGTACAAATGACAATGTGCTGGTAGAATGAGAAAATTGTGCAAATTTAAAGTTGCACTACGTAACTGTTCTGGTGAAGCGTACATCACCTGCATCTCCCTGGAGATGTGATTTCTTTGCATGTTAATCAAAGTATTTTTGAGAAAAAACATACCTGTCATTTTATAGATGCAAGGTAAAACTGTTTAATGCCAGTCTCAGCAAACTTATGACATCTCTGTGGTATATCCTCCAGGTCACACAGTGCACCTGAATTATGACATTCACAAAGCAAGAAAAATCTTTGTTTTGTTTCATTCACTCATGTTTGAGTGACCCTTTATTAGTGTGTCTCTGGCTCAAAATTATCTATTCTATCTTGCCATGTCATGTAGTGGCAGTTTAAATGTTAACTTTTACTTCATGTTCAGTAAAGACTGGTCATTTCATCCAAATAATTTAAGTGAAGGTGTTTGGAGTTTAAAAACAGAGTGGAGCACCTCCTGTATTACCACATGACATCATCAAGGTGGAACAGAGTGTTTTCTATTTAAGAGAAGAAGCCTAAATGTGCAGGGTTGGTGTGTTAAACGTGTGATTGAAACAAAACACAACTCCAGGTCTGTTTGTGATGAGGAAATGACATTAGATCCAAAGTAGCTTCATACAGGCCCTTTAATTCACTGTTGTGTCATATATGTTTAAACAGATGATCGAGGGAGTATTCTAAGCGGCTCGAGGTGTTGTGTGGTACAGCCTTTTGTGTTGTAATGATGGTGGAAAACCTCTCTATTTTTCCTTTGTGTCACAGCAGCGGTGCCCCTGAGTGGAGGGGGTGGAGGGGGCTGGAGGAGGGTGGAGGGGTAGGAGGCTGAGAAGGACCCAGGCAGAGGCTTCACTACAGGTCTAGAGGAGTCCCCAGCACTAGCTCCAACCCCAGCCGTGCGTCTGCAGATTGGGGGTGTGTCCCAGGTATAAAGGCTGCTGCTCGACCTCCGGCTCACCTGTTACAGCCTTTAACTGCTCCTCAGCACATCTCCTCAGCACAGCTCTGGTTCTCCTCTGGCTCCTCACGGTTCCTCACCTGCTCCTCTCCACACTCAGGTAGGACTTGTCTGCATGCATGTCTAGTCTGGGAAACACAGCGTGTCTCTCTGTTGTTTTACATGTAACCAAACTTAAGGCACTAGCTTGATGTCACTTGCAGTGTTCAAGAGTTCCGCAGACTTTGGGGAAACACTGGCTCACAAAAATATAATAATTCAAACAGTATGTGAATGAAAAAATTGCATTTAGAGTTTTATTATTTTATTAAATGTAATACATTTCTATTAATTAGTTTTTTCCATGGTACCAAAACATTTGTAATACAGTCATTTTATTTGTATATAATTATTTTGTTTTTAATTCTATTATTTGCACTTAGAAAGATCCAGACATTTTGAATCAAACGTGAATTCATTAATGAAATAAGTTTGCACTATGAGTCATAATATTTTTTTTTGGAATCTAAGGACAAAAAAAATCTAAGTTAGACTACCATGTTGGATCCAGAGGGGAGATGAGAGCACTGCAGCTCATCGTGCTACAAACAAATCACATTTGCAGTACATGGCTCTATATGTATATATATGTATGTATATATGTACTTTAATGAGTGGTCCATGTGTATGTGGATGCACTCACCAGCACCAGCCTGCTGTCACTGGGACAGTTAAAGGGCCACACTATTTTCTGATCTCTTTGATCAGGTTTGGGTTGTTTTTTTGTTTTGTTTTTTTGGATGAGGAATGATCAGGAGTTGTGTTTTATTTTAGTCACTGCATGTTTTTGCCCACTTTGTTGTAATACAAGAAGTACTCCACTATGTTTTTAAAATCCATACACCTGCACTAGAATCATTGGGATGATTTCAGGAATTGCTCATCTCTACTGAACAAAAGGTCATGACATCACAAAGTGGAACACAGCATTGTGAGCTTACTCTAACATGTGAATGAACCAAGCCACAAGTATCAGGTCTGTTTTTGATGAGGAAACAACATTCTAATAAGACTTAAAGCTCACAAGAATCAATGTTGTTTAATATAAGCCCTTAAATTGTATTGAACCTTTGAATTGTCTTGAGTGGTACATGAAACAGACTGTAGTAGGTGTTGTACACAGAGGACACAGCACCTGAAGGTCTCTGTGAGTCGGTCTCTGTGGAGGTGCTCCCTCAGACAGGGACATTACAGCCCATTTCCTCCAGGACAAAGGCGAGCCTGAGGGGAGGAAAAAGCCGGGCACTTCCCCTGTTAATGTGCACACTCTTGACCCACAGTAATGAAGTCCCCCGGGTCCTGCCATCACAACACACAGACCCACTGCTCCTCTGCTCCTCTCTCTTCTCTGCTCCTCTCTCTCATCTCTCTTCTCTACTCCTCTCTTTCCTCTCTCTCCTCTACTCCTCTCTGTCCTCTGCTTCTCTCCTCCCTAATCTCTGTTCTCCTCTGCTCCCTCTCCTCTGCTCCTCTCCTGCTCTCCTTTCCTCTCTCTGACCCCCCTCTCCTCCACTCTACTCCCCTCTGCTCTCCTTTCCTGTGCTCCTCTCCTCTCTCTGCTCCTCTTTCTCTGCTCTTTGCCTCTTCTCTTCCCTCTCCTCCCTTTGCTCCTCTCTCCTGCCTCTTTTCTCCTATCCACTTCTCCTCCATCTCCTCTCATCAGCTCCCCTCTCTTCACCTTTCCTCTGCTCTCTGAGTGCAGAGCCCCTGGAAAGAGCTGCCTGTCTGGGGCCAAAGGTCAGGAGGGATCCCCACAGTCTGAGGAAAAGCTGACTGTGTTTACACACGTGTGCTGTTCAGAGGAGAGAGGATGGCCACAGATGGGCTATGTACAAGTGCAGGTATAGTACAGATCTAGAAGTGCACAGTACAGTACAGTACAGTACAGTACAGTACAGTGTACAGTGTAATGTGTACACAGTGCATAGTACAGGTATAAGAGTGCAGAGTACAGTAGAGTATCATGAATGTACATGGTGCAGTATAGTGCAGGCTTTGTCTGTGTCCACAGGAGCTGCTACACATCTGAATGACAGCAGGGGAAAGCACCGTGCTGCAGTACAGGGGCCGCTCAGGGCCATTTACAACATTTAGCATTTAGCACAGGTCACAGTCAGGTGCATTACTGTCTCACAGGGACATAGTGTTACACACAGGTGCATTACTGTCTCACAGGGACATAGTGTTACACACAGGTGCATTACTGTCTCACAGGGACATAGTGTTACACACAGGTGCATTACTGTCTCACAGGGACATAGTGTTACACACAGGTACATTACTGTCTCACAGGGACATAGTGTTACACACAGGTACATTACTGTCTGGCCTGTGTACAGTGTGCAGAGTGTGTGAGAGAGCCACACACAGGGCACTGCTCTAAAATCTTTTGTTACACCAGCTTCTGTGTAGAAGTGAGTAGTCTGTCATCAGCCTGAGGCTAAATGTATGTACCTAGTTGGTCTCTTTCCAGTACTACCACATAAGAATATAGTAGCCAAGTGTACGCCACTGAACATGGGCCTAGACCTGTGACTGTATGTAGGGGAGAGCACATGCGTCTAAAGAAGTGTTTTGATTCATTTCACAGCAGCAGTCACCTCACAGGACTTGATTTCATCAACAGAAAATTAAACTGTGAAACAATAACAGACAGGCAGATTAACCAATAGGAAACAAGCAAATGGAGAACTGTCCCAGACCGCCCCCTGTCCTTAGAACTAACCCTGTAGGAACAACTCCAAACCCCAGTGGAAAAAAGACACTCAGACACTCTTGGAGACACAGTAGTCCAGCATTTTGAGAGCAGAGTGCTGTGTGGTTGATTGATAGGATGGGAAGAGGTTCCAGACGTTGGAGACTGTGCCCACATCGTATCTATCTTGTATCTTTGTTTGATTCTCTGGTCACATAGAGTCTCGTGGGCCTTTGGGGCCTAGCAAATAAATAAGTGTCATCCAGGTTTTGAAGCCTGTCTTCTGTCAGTCTGAACTGGTTTCATTGAGAAGTACAGCTGTGTGTCATCACAGTGAAAGTTAATGCCATGGTTTCTGACATTCGCACCTAACGGAAGCATAGAAATGTGAACAGGACTGGACCAAGTACACCTTGAACCAAGAACCTTGGGGCACGCCACAGGCTACCTTAGAACACTGCATGGAGCTCTGGTTTACTCTTTCCCCCATGAAGACTACATTTGACGACCCTCCCTTGTTTCCTTAATGATGTCTTTTTACACCTCCGCTGTATCACTAAAGACGTGATTTGACGACCATTACAAATGGCTCGGTTTTTCACATGTAAACAGAGGCTGTGATAGGTGGGGGCCACTACAACCCACACATACTAATATATGTATGGATTGTTCCAAGTAGGCGTCCAAGGTGGAAAGCGTTAACAGGGTGGTACATATCTGCTAAACAGGATTTAAAGCAGCAGAATGCAGTAGAATGTTCTATTTCACTCTAACCTCTGCAGTAGAATGTTGTATGTAATTATGTAGGTTTTTTAAATCTGTTTTTTTTTTTAGTTTCTAACTGCAGGCACTTTCTCTTACTGGTTGGTGGTATTTACCAGGCTCTGCACATTTGTTTCCTAAACCAAAAGCCCATTGTGACTAGTGTAGATATCCTGACAGCAGTGCTCCTTGTGGTGTGTTCCAGGACTGTCCCAGATGTCCCGCACCTCCCTCCCACTGTACCTGCTGCTGCTGCCGCTTGTGTCCCTGCTTCTGCTCTCTCCTCTGGGCTGGAGTCATGAAGGTCTGGCCCCTGGCTGCCACCTTTATCGTGAGTAACACAAAGCACCAGAGCTACCATCCCACAGCCCCACTCTTAACATGTGTGACTTCCACAAACCTCTGATACAAAAACCCGTCTACTGTAACGCACCACCACCGTATCCCTAGGACTCATATAATGCCTCCACAGATTTAAAATAAAATTCAATAAAGTGTCCTCGCTACTCAAGTGTCAGATAGCCAAAAATCCTGTACTATTAATAACCAAAACAAATCCAAACATCAGCAGCTCTAATATACCGTCATTCACCACAGCTTCTGCCACTACGCTCACTCCACCTCCCATCCATCTCTACAGAACACACATATTCACACTCACACACACACACACAATCACCAGTAGCGTCATCTCCTTTACATTACAGTCATTCAACTTACAGTAATGATTCATTTTTTGTATCTTTTGGGCAGCGTTCAACGTGACCATCCGCAGTGACCGGCGCAGCACGTGCCGGGGGACCCACCTGGTGTACGCCTGTGTAGGCTACTGCGAGTCCAGCGCCTTCCCCTCCAGGTACTCTGTGCTGGTGGCCTCCAACTTCACCCACAACATCACATCTGCCTCACGCTGCTGCACCATCAGCAAGGAGGCCAAGGTATGATGCTCTCAGACCACCTGTGAACTTACAGGCTTACTATGTGAATGCTCCATCACTGTGTCAACATCATGTTATTCAGGCAGTATTCAGGCTTTACTAAGACTAACCAGTGGATTTGATTTTCTCTGTACAGGAATCAGGACTGAATAGCTTTGCTGGTTTCCTGTATATACACACAGCAGACAATGCAATGAAACAGATGCTACTAATTAAACTAGCTGTGATCTCTTTGTGGTTACTGGTTAGAGCTGTGGTGTAGCAGTGGAAGTTAATGCCGTGTTTTCTGAAATCGCCACTTAAAGGCAGCTTTGGTTAGAGCTTCAGCCTTCTGTGTAGAGTTCTGCCTGTTTTTGCGTGGTTTCAACTACCACTAAAAACATACATAGAGCTGGTCTCCGCTCTGGGGCCAGTACTCCCCTGAAAATGACATTACAAGAACTGGGCTTTTTAGTCCAGAGAAGGTGTTCAGACAAGCACCACCTGATGACATCAGCAGCATCAGTGGAACAGAAGGATGGCACAGGCTCTGGGATGGATGCCATGGCTGCCCAGGTCTTTCTGTGTGTAGTCTGCATATAGTTTGCATGTTCTCTCTGTACCTGGGTGGGTTTCCTCCAGGACCTCTGCAGAACGTAAATCCTTTATTATTAGAACAGATAAAAACTCAGATTTGTGTTCAGATTAATGTTACTGTTTAGATTAAGATTACTCAAATAGTAGACTACGGTTAAGGTTAGGATCAATCTCCAGTAATGTAATGTAATGTGTGTGTGTATGTGTGTGTGTGTGTGTGTGCGTATGTGTGTGTGTGTGTGTGGGTGTGTGGGTGTGTGGGTGTGTGTGTGTGTGTGTGTGTGTGTGTGGGTGTGTGCGGGTGTGGGTGTGTGGGTGTGGTGTGTGTGTGTGTGTGTGTGTGTGGGTGTATGTGTGTGTGTGTGTGTGTGTGTGTGTGTGTGGGTGTGGGTGTGGGGTGTGTGGGTGTGTGGTGTGTGTGTGTGTGTGTGTGTGTGTGTGTGTGGGTGTGTGCGGGTGTGGGTGTGTGGGTGTGGGTGTGTGTGTGTGTGTGCAGGTGAAGGTTCGTCTCGACTGCCCCCGTGGCCGACATCATGATGAGATTGAGATCCTGACGGCCCGAGCGTGTCGATGTGACATGTGCCGCAAATCCCGCTACTGACCCACCTCCTGACCCCGCCCCCCAGCTCCTGACTCCGCCCCCCAGCTCCTGCCTCTCCTGACCCTGCCCCCCAGAGGACAGAATAAGGAGCAGAGAGCAGACAGAGACCGATTCTATCCTCATGCAGCACAAACCACTAGGACAGACCAAGCACTAGAGAATGTACCCATATTTATATTTATGAATCTGAGCTAAAAGGACTTTTGTAAATGTCTATTTTATTAAGATGTTCCAATGTCTCTGACGTGAACATTCAAATGCACTGTTTTGATAAAGTGTTGAATAAATGACTCTTGTGCAAAACCACGTGTGTCTGTGTGGCATTTCAGCAGATTAAACCTCAAGTATCCCCATCACTTCCCTAGTCTTTAGTCTCGGTACAGTCCTGATTAAATCCTTGTTTAGTCCTGATTCAGTCCTGGTTTTAGACCTGGATCTGTCCTGGTTTAGAGGTTCTATGTGAGATTTAAAGACACAGGTGGACGGGAGGGCATCTGAATAGTGTTAATTTATGTTCACACAGAAGGTCAGAGGAGCAGAGGATGACGTGAAGGGGTCAGAGGATGAAGAAGAGAGGGTCAGAATGCCATATCTGCGACACCCGATATGATCGGATACCAGTGTAGTATCTCGTAAGTCTTATCAGTCAAAGGCCCAACCAGGATATCGACTGAACCCATATCATGGAACCGATACCTGATCTAGCTCATTTTTAAGTGTTCTACATGTATCTCTATGGTGGAATGTTCAGTAGTTCCCATGGAGACACATTGAACACATTAGATAGATAGAGACTTTATTGATCCCAAAGGAAATTCAAATTTCAACAGCAATAATGAAACAAACATAAGGACATAAGAGTCCATCCTGTGAGTGGAAGTGTAACAGTCTGATCACAGATCCATGCTCCTCATCCACTAAACACGTGTGTGCGTAGGACATTAGCAAACGCTGTCCAACATTTTTAAGATAGTCTGAAAACTTAAGTAAAAATACAAAATGGATGTAAATACATTTTCAGGAGCCTGTGATCAGTGATCTTGGTCCTGTTTAGAGTTACATTTTACACAAAAAGGTGAGAGTGACTAAAAAACTGTTGGATAATGTTTGTTCCTGTAATTTTCTTTTACAATTCAAGATTACAATCTAACAAAGCCTCAGACAGAGCAGAGCCTCCAGAGAATGTTGATGACATCAGCTGCAGTTGGCGCTGATATTCAGTACCAGCATTCGGTTTATCCCTCGATATAATGTACATAGGTTCTGGCTCTTAGAGGAACGACAGAAAGAACACAGCCCTGGACTTTGACATCATCAGACTGCAGAAGATGAGCACCACCCACAGAGACAAAGAAGTGTGACGTCACCCTCAGCATTCAGCTTCACTCAAATGAAGATTACGATACTAGCCAGGTTCTCTGTTAGGAATAGGAAAAAGCACCCCCTGGATCATGAAGAGCAGACATACATTTTAAGACCAAAATGACAAGACTCACAGCAGCAGGTGCAGAGAGAAGAGCCTCAATGTGATTTATGAACTTAAGCGTATGACGTATGAGATATACAGAGTGATCTAAGAGCTTTATGAAATACACAGAGTGACTTAGTGTGTGGTGTGCAGCCTCAGAAGGTCTCACACTCAGTGTCCAGTGTGGAGCAGACGGCGCAGTGGCAGGACATGGCCAGTGGGTAGTAGTAGAGAGGTGAGACGTTTGGCAGGCAGCCGGGCAGGCGGGCGGTCATGGGGCGGGAGCGGCTGTAGGTGCACACCCGGTGGTGCACGTGGGTGTAGGGCGGCTCCAGCACAGGCTTCTGTCAGGACACAAGGGGGCGCTGTCAGACACATTACAGCTCATATAGTACTGTATAGGACTGTGAGTCTTTTCACTACATCACTGTAGTTTGGATCCAAATCCTGCTCAACTTCACTTAAACTTCACTTAAACTTCACTTTGGTTGTTCTGTACATGTTTGGACTGTGGTGAAACAGAGTTAGAAAGCACCTGAACGTGTATGTATGTACGTGTTAGAGATGTGCGGATGGTGGTTACAACAGGGGACTCCTCAGCTAAACCTCAGGTCGGCCGGATGACGTGACAAAAAATAATATTTTCATTCAATTCTGGCGGGTGACAGCTTAACTAAACAATGCAGACAGCAGGGAAAGCTGAACCGCAGAAGGTGCAGAAGCTTCTGTCAGGCCTAAAAAGGACGCGGTGGAATATACATGTTCTTTCTGTGACAGTTCTGCTCATGGTGAGTCTGTTGTTTGCTTCTATCGTGTTGGAGATGGTTTGTGTTAAACTTTTTCAGAAATGATATGTCTGTAGGTCATACGTATAGACTGTATATATGAATGGACATAAATCCTTGCCTCCTAGTGTTGTGGTGGTGAATTACTTTGCGGCGCGTAGACCTCGCCGTAGATCCATAAATCAAAAACGATGGTGATAAGGAGATGGCGACAGTGTGCGGCGCAGAGTCAACGCAAAACTATACTTCACCCTTATCTACTCAAATAAACAACTTGGAACTCGGTGATCAATTGGCGGATGGTGGACGGCTGCGGTTTTGAAAATTGGTCAAAAACCATTTGTGCAAATAAATGGATGATGAGTTTTGTGATGCGGTTGTGCATGAAAAAATAGCCTATCCGCACATCTCTAGTACCTGTGTATGTAGTCTGCACTCTATGTTTTTAAAAAGGTATTACAATCACAACTTAACCTGCAGATAGAGACAAATCCAAGTTTGGCCAGAATTCCCTCCCTGAGCTGCACTAACACTGGCTCAGGACTGGTGCAGGTGCTGGGATTTATGGAGTGACTGTTCAGATCAGACAGAGACATTTGAGGTTTAAACACACTGGATTTTAGCATTGGAACTGGCAACGCAAATGAGGGAGTCATGTGACGTAAAGGTTCAATCCCAGCCCAGGCTACTGCATGCTGTCACTGTGCCCTGAGGCAAGACACTTCACCTACATTACCAATGGGTGTATTTGATAAATAATGAAGACTGAACACCATCCATCCATCCATTTTCGTCCGCTTATCCGGGGCCGGGTCGCGGGGGCAGCAGCATAAGCAGGGACTCCCAGACTTCCTTCACCCCAGACACGTCCTCCCGGAACACCTCCCGAGGGAGGCGCCCAGGAGGCATCCGGAACAGATGCCCGAGCCACTTCAACTGGCTCCTCTCGACGTGGAGGAGCAGCAGCTCTACTCCGAGCTCCTCCCGTGTGACTGAGCTCCTCACCCTATCTCTAAGGGAGCGCCCAGCCACCCTGCGGAGGAAACCCATTTCGAGCGCTTGTATCCGCAATCTCGTCCTTTCGGTCACTACCCAGAGCTCATGACCATAGGTGAGAGTAGGAACGAAGACTGACCGGTAAATCGAGAGCTTCGCCTTTCGGCTAAGCTCCCTCTTCACCACAACGGTCCGATACAGTGACTGCATCACTGCCGAAGCTGCACCGATCTACCCACTCGGAGAGGGCAAGCCACCTTTTTCCGGTTGAGAACCATGGCCTCAGACTTAGCAGAGCTGATCTTCATCCCAGCCGCTTCACACTTGGCTTCAAACCGCCCCAGTGCACATTGCAGGTCCTGGTTCGATGAAGCCAACAGGACAACATCATCCGCAAACAGCAGAGATGAGATCCTGTGGTCCCCAAACCGGACCCCCTCCGGCCCCTGACTGCACCTAGAAATTCTGTCCATAAACACAATGAACAGAACCGGTGACAAAGGGCAGCCCTGGCGGAGTCCAACATGCACCGGGAACAGGTCTGACTTACTGCCGGCAATGTGAACACAGCTCCTGCTCCGGTCATACAGGGACTGGACAGCCCTTAGCAAAGGGCCCCGGACCCCATACTCCCAGAGCACCCCCCACAGGACACCACGAGGGACACGGTCGAATGCCTTCTCCAAGTCCACAAAGCACATGTGGACTGGTTGGGCAAACTCCCATGAACCCTCGAGCACCCTATGGAGAGTGTAGAGCTGGTCCAGTGTTCCACGGCCAGGACGAAAACCACACTGCTCTTCCTGGATCTGAGGTTCGACTATCGGCCGGATTCTCCTCTCCAGTACCCTGGCATAGACCTTACCGGGAAAGCTGAGGAGTGTGATCGCCCTATAGTTGGAGCACACCCTCCGGTCCCCCTTCTTATACAGAGGGACCACCACCCCGGTTTGCCAGTCCAGAGGTACTGTCCCCGACCGCCACGCGATGTTGAAGAGGCGTGTCAGCCAAGACAGCCCCACAACATCCAGAGACTTAAGGTACTCAGGATGGATCTCATCCAACCCCGGAGCCTTGCCACCAAGGAGCTTTCCAACCACCTCAGTGACTTCAGCCAGGGTGATAGATGAGTCCGCCTCCGAGTCCTCAGCCTCGGCCTCCTCCTCGGAAGACGTGACGGTGGGATTGATAGATCCTCAAAGTATTCCTTCCACCGCCGGACAACGTCCCCAGTCGAGGTCAGCAGCTCTCCCCCCGCACTGTAAACAGTGTTGGCGAAGAACTGCTTCCCCCTCCGGAGGTGCCGGACGGTTTGCCAGAATCTCTTTGAGGCCGTCCGATAGTCCTCCTCCATGGCCTCCCCGAACTCCTCCCAGCTCCGAGTTTTTGCCTCCGCAACCGCACGGGCTGCAGCACACTTGGCCCGCCGGTACCTGTCAGCTGCTTCAGGAGTCCCCCGAGCCAGCAAGTCCCGATAGGACTCCTTCTTCAGCTTGACGGCATCCCTTACTTCCGGTGTCCACCACCGGGTTCAGGGATTGCCGCCGCTACAGGCACCACAGACCTTACGCCCGCAGATCCGAGCAGCCGCATCGACAATAGAGACCGAGAATGAAGCCCACTCGGACTCCATATCTCCAGCCTCCCCCGGAATCTGGGAGAAGTCCTCCCGGAGGTGTGAGTTGAAAGTCCCTCTGACAGAGGCTCCACCAGACGTTCCCAACAGACCCTCACTACACGCTTGGGCCTGCCAGGTCTTTCCGGCTTCCTCCTCCGCCAGCGAACCCAACTCACAACCAGGTGGTGATCAGTTGACAGCTCAGCCCCTCTCTTCACCCGAGTGTCCAAGACACGCGGCCGGAGATCAGATGACACGACTACAAAGGCGATCATCGACTTCCGGCCTAGGGTGTCCTGGTGCCACGTGCACTTATGGACACCCTTGTGCTCGAACATGGTGTTCGTTATGGACAAACCGTGACTAGCACAGAAGTCCAATAACAAAACACCGCTCAGGTTCAGATCGGGGAGGCCGTTCCTCCCAATCACCCCAATCCAAGTGTTACTGTCGTTGCCCACGTGGGCGTTGAAGTCCCCCAGGAGAACAACGGAGTCCCCAGTCGGTGCACTGTCTAGTACCCCTCCCAAGGACTCCAAGAAGGCCGGGTACTCAGCACTGCTGTTCGGCCCGTAGGCCGACACCACAGTGAGAGACCTGTCCCCGACCCGAAGGCGCAGGGACGCGACCCTCTCGTTCACCGGGGTGAACTCCAACACACAGCGGCTGAGCTGTGGGGCAATGAGCAGGCCCACACCAGCCCGCCGCCGCTCCCCGCGGCCAACGCCAGAGAAATGGAGAGTCCAGCCCCTCTCAAGGAGTTGGGTTCCAGAGCCCAAACTGTGCGTGGAGGTGAGGCCGACTATGTCTAGTCGGTAACGCTCAACCTCCCACACAAGCTCAGGCTCCTTCCCCCCCAGCGAGGTGACATTCCATGTCCCCAGAGCTAGTCTCCATGTCCGGAGATCCGGTCGTTGAGGCCCCCGCCTTCGACTGCCGCACAGATCTCTCTGCCCCGGCCCCATATGGCTCCTCCCGCGGGTGGTGGGCCCACGTGAGGACGGCCCCACGTCGCTCCTTCGGGCTAAGCCCGGCCGGGCCCCGTGGGGGAAGGCCCGGCCACCAGGAGCTCGCTGACGAGCACCCACCCCAGGCCTGGCTCCAGGGTGAGGCCCCGGTGACGCCAGACTGAACACCACACTGAGCAATAGTGTACAGTTATGATTAAAGATGGGACTGGGAGGGCATCTGACACACAGAGGTACAGAGGATGGGAGGGCATCTGACACACAGAGGTACAGAGGATGGGAGGGCATCTGACACACAGAGGTACAGAGGATGGGAGGGCATCTGACACACAGAGGTTCAGAGGATGGGAGGGCATCTGACACACAGAGGTACAGAGGATGAGAGGGCATCTGACACACAGGTGAGTAGTACCTCCCAGGTGTGGCAGCGCCCCCAGCAGGCCTCGGTGCTGATGCGCAGGCTCTTACATCCGGGTTTGTGTGCAACGAAGGAGAACTCTCTCACCGCACAACCTCGCACACCATGCAGTGTGGTCGTCACGGCAACACATCCTACAGCTGCCCCAGCAACTAGCAGGAGCAGAACGGGAGAGAGGTGCATGCTGAGAGAGAAAGCACAGGCAGGTCATCAGTGGCTCTACTAAAGTACGCTAAAGCTGTACTGTGGAATTTTTCTGGTGGAGGGTCTGCCTTGTGCTAGAATGTTACAAAGTAAATGCATGAACCATCTCTTTTCCTATAACTGATGTCTGTTTTTGTCTAAAAAGTGACATACTGTGACTTTAAGTAATGAGATTAACATGAGCAGTTTGTGGAGCTGATCCCAAACACATGAGGAAAAGACAGTGAAGAGAAAAGACTTTAGGCCCCGCCCTCCCTCTGAAACTATGACATCATCACATTTTAGACCATGGCCACTAAGGGATATGAGGAGGCCTGTGCAAAAATATTGAAATATTGATATATCATATAGTTTAATGCGATGATCATTGAATGCGTATTTTTGGTATATTTTACAAATTTATTGTGTTACAGCTACAGTTTTGTTGCTTGTTTAGAGGAAGCAAACTCCTTTATGTGATACATTTGACATTTTCACTGTTCTGATGATTCAAATGTTTGTGTTTCATATTCACTTTGCACAAGAAATGGTTCAACAAAGACTTTCAGGCTATGTTCAGTCTGCAGCCTGAAGTGACCCAAATCTGATTTCTTTGCCCCTCTTCTCCTGTTTCTGATCTTTTAATGACTAAACAACACAGATCCTATTTTTCCAAATGTGACCCTTGGATATGTGCTCCTAAAACCAATACATATCTGACCTTTTGACATGTGACTTCAGTCTGAACGACCAGGTCACACTCATCCCACCTTACACGTCAGGCTCCGAGTCTCGTCAGTGAAGGGAAAGTGAGGTTAGTGAGTTCATTCACATTTGGGGGGATCTCTATATTCAGACCAAATTGGAGGGGTCTTATTGTAACCGGCAGACAGACGGTCCTGGCTCTAATGTCAATTAAGAAAAATAAAGGCGAGCCAAATACAAGGAGACTAAAGGCTCAAACAAACGAAGCAGCCTGTCCATTTTACCAACAAATGGACCAGATTTTGGGAGACAAGCCCAGCGTTTAGGCGACTTCCGTAAACACTGAGCACGCTCGCTGTGTGTGATGTCGTCGTGTCCTCCAGTGCACATGCGCGACACTCTTGGGGTGTTTAAAGTTCACACTGGAGATCATATATAAGTCACATTTAACTGGAAATGTGAACGACCTCACAAAAAAATTGGATTCCACAAAAAAAATCCAAATACAACAGTGCAGTCTGAACATAGACTTAGTATCACAGCCAAGATTTAGTTTTTATTGAACCGTATCGAATCGATTTGAAATATTTCATATCCAATTGAAAGTGCACTGTATCAAGATATGTATCGCATCATGGCCTGTGTATCGAGGGATGTATCGTGTCTGCAACTTCTTAATGATACCCAGCCCTAGATATGAGCACATTTTTCATTGTATTCTTTAATGTTTTTTGGTTTTAATTTGCTAAATGGTTTATTGCTATAGCAACAGTTGTGGTTTTCCATCATTCTGAAAGACGTACAGTTTAAAACATCATTAAAATACAGAATTCTGACTTTAAAGAGGTTTATTTGACTTCTTTGTGGTTGTAACTGCTCACACATAACAGATTTACACCACCATGTTACCTTTTATTGAAATATGTTTAATAAGTTTCACTTTCATTTTTGATGCTCTGAGGTCAAAGGCGCTCCTCCTTCACAGCCCAATCAGCGTGCATCCCTCTAATGAAACTACTGCACATCAGATCAGGTTTGTGAAGCTTTAGTGTAATGTTTTGTATCATGTTTGTGCATATTTATGGAGAATTGTCATGTGGGAGCGTGGGTGATGTAGACTTGCACAGGACCTTTACTAACTGTAAGGACTGGGTCATTAGATTTTCAGAATTAAACACTGGGACACACCTAGGTTGGGATGGTTGGTATAAATAAAATTGCGAAAAGAGCGTGTAACATTGTCCATTCTCAACTCACTCTTTTTTCTTTTTTTTTCTTTTTTTTTTGTCTTATGGTTGTTTTCAAGCATAATTTTTATATTTTAAAGAAACACATCACAATATATGCCCCTTTTTACTGTTGGTGGTGATCTGATTGGTTAAAAACAGGGACACCTGGGACATTTCTGGTATAAAACTGGGACAAATCACTGGTTTGGTATAAATCTGCTGGGACAGGGGACATAGAGCTCAACACTGGGACTGTCCTGGGTCAATAGGGACATCTGGAGGATTCAGCTAATGCATCTAAAACCTCTTTGGGCATATTTTTGATGAGGAAACAATGTTATTAAAAAAAAAAAAAAAAGTATATTTTGCATCATAGCTACTGAAATGATGATGATTTGAAATGTGCAGTATTTCTTAGGAGGGGATATGCTCCTTCTCAATCTTCTGTTCTTATTCTCCTCTCTTCTCTTCGGGAGGGCCTACATGCAAACAAACTAACTGAAACTAACTGATTCGGTTCGGCCGCAGCCACACACTGGTCTCCACTTAAAGAACAACGCCCTCTAGCGTCCACTGCGGCTACTGCACCCTGCAAAATTCTGGGCTTTTGAACACACGGCCTCAGACTTCAGATATTTGCATGTATATTGTAAAAACAGTTGTGGACATGAGCTGAGCCGAAGTGAGCCACTTCTGGTCATCGTGACTCGGTGTCGCCTCTGGGATGGATTCTGCAGAGCGTCATTAGAGCACGCGCACGCTTAAATGACTAAACCAAACGACTTTCACTAAGGAACAATGTGATGATGATGATGATGATGATGAGCGCCATTTAATTAACACGCGTTTAAAGGAGAGTGTGTGGTGGCATCTCACTTGAAGCCATTCACCTTGGAACTTTCTCCATAGAGACAGATACGGTTCATGCCAAATTATGGAATATTAAAACATTAACATGGAAAAAAAGTTACACACTGTGGCTTTTTGAAACACGTGACCTGTAGGCTAAGTATTTTTCTCTAAACACGAACTGAAATCCTCAAGTTAATTGGAATGAAAAGACTCACCTGGAGAGCGGATGGAGCCGTGCGCGCTGTTCGTGCGTGGGTCCGTGTGCGTGGGTCCGTGTGCGTGGGTCCGTGCGTGGGTCGTGTGCGTGGGTCCGTGTGCGTGGCCCGTGTGGTGATGGTCAGTGGCGGCCGCTATGTCTGTGGCAGCGCGGGGCTCGTGTTGTTGCGCACGGGGCCATTACGCACGGACCCTCTGACATCATGGTAATTAGATGGAAAAGCGCTGGAAAGTCCTGGGGCTGCCGTGTGTTTGGGTAACCTCTCCGTGCGCCGAGGCGGGCTTTGAGTGCTCCGGCCCGGAGCGTGGGTGGGCCCCGGGCACAGGGCTCCGGGGGCCACTGCTAAACGCGCATTTTACACCATTTGTCACAGTGTTACATTGAAGCGTGTCTCCATTCAAATGGGACAGTACAGTGTAGTGTCCAAAACACTTCTGTATCTGACTCCTCTTTGTCCTCGATCTGATCCTCTGCAGCATCTGACTCTTTTTTCTGCTCCTCTGAACCATCTGACCCACTCTTCTTCTAATCTGGACCATCTGACCCTCTTCTCTGCTCTTCTGGACCATCTGAACCTCTTCTCTGCTCCTCTGGACCATCTGACTCTTTTCTCTGCTCCTCTCTGCTCCTCTGAACCATCTGACCCACTCTTCTTCTAATCTGGACAATCTGACCCTCTTCTCTGCTCCTCTGACCCATCTGACCCTCTCCTCTGCTCCTCTGTACCATCTGACACACTCCTCTGCTCCTCTGGACCATCTGACACACTCCTCTGCTCCTCTGGACCATCTGACACACTCCTCTGCTCCTCTGGACCATGTGACTCTTTTCTCTGCTCCTCTGAACCATCTGACCCACTCTTCTGCTAATCTGGACCAACTGACACACTCCTCTGCTCCTCTGGACCGTCTGACCCACTTCTCTGCTCCTCTGACCCTCTCCTCTGCTCCTCTGGACCATCTGACCCTCTCTTCTGCTCCTCAGATCCTCTGCTCTGTTCCATCTCATTTATTACGTTTTTATCAGAACAAATGATTGAGAACAAAGACACAGAGACAGAAAAGTGGAGGCAAACGTGTTTTCTCAAAGTGAGTTTCATTGTAGCACATAGTATCTTCAGTTCTACACCCTGTAAGGTTACGTACAGTGGCACACCCCAGCGCACAGTTGGTCCCCAAAATATAGGTCATCTTCTTCTAACACAACAGAGAGAGAGACAGTGCAAATCTAAGAGAGAGAGAGGTGCTACGGGACGCTTGCATGGGCATGTCCTCAGCGCGGGAGACTGGCCCTGGTCTGGTCCTGATGCGGTTCTCGTCTGGTCCTGGTTCTGGTCTGGTTCTGATTTGATCCTTGTGTGATTCTGATCCTAGTTTGATTTTGGTCTGGTTCTGGTCTGGTTCTGGTCTGATCCTTGTTTGGTTCAGGTCTGGTTCTGATCTGGTCCTAGTCTGGTACTGGTCTGCTCCTGGTCTGGTTCTGGTCTGGTCCACATCGTACTGTCCTTATTATGACTGCCCGCTGAAACTGAGGTCCAGGGAGAAGCCAGGGATTGTGTAGAACGTCTGAGAAGAACACAGAGCAGAAGAAGGATTCTACCAGAGGTTTGAGACGGTTTGGCCCAAGTCCCACAGTCCAGCTCTGTCCACTCAAACATGGCGTACAATCATATATTTCATTAGAATAATCGTCCAGTCTGTTTAGTCTCCTGCTGCATGTACAGATCTCACTTTATTTTTGGATTTTCCCCCAAACCTTGAAACTTAACTTCAAAAGTGAGGCTATCATTTTTCATTTTTTGTATATATTTTTTTTATTTGTTCAAAAACCTCAGCTGTTTTCCAACCCTTTCAAACACTGATGCTTTCATTGAGATTTCCGTTGGGTAAAGGCGCTGTATCTGATTTTCACTGTGTTAAAAATGTGAAAAACAGAACTAGTGTTTTTAACAACTCTCCAAGAAAAAGCAAAAGTGCTCTGATTGCATAAAATAAGTGAGGAATAACTTTGGACCTCTGCAAACGGTTTCAAATGAACTAGTTGTGTTTTTCATGTTTTTAAAATGGTAAAAATCAGGTATACAGTAGTACAAGATTTTGCCCCTGAAAAGCTTACTTTGTTTGTGGAGACATTCTTAATAACTGCAGTTATTCAAATTGCGACTTTTATTGTGATAAGACCTAGTTTCAGAGGACCAACGATCTCCAGGCATCACTACTAGAGAACTGCACAAGTTAGATGGTTAGGTGGTTATGGTAAAGGTCAGAACTTGGGCTGTGGACTAGGTTTGGGCTTGGTCTGGACTTGGTCTGGACTAAGGGAGTGTTTGGGTTCCACAGGTAGCTCTGAATGTCTGACATAAAAAAACACAATCGCTCTGCTAACGGTACATTCATCTGACACTGCCCCCTGCAGGACAAAATAAATAGTATTCACATCTTCATACAAAAACAAGAAATCTACAACATAATTACAAAGCAAAAAATCATCGTCAAATGATCGTACACAAAAAGTACCTTTAAGACAAAGTGAGTATCCAGGACACAAACGAAAACCCCAGTATCCTGAAAGAGGGAGATATTGCTAACTGAAGTGTCTCCGCACCCATATAAGGTCAGACAGATGAGGGTGGATGCGGACACTGAGGAAGTCCATGTATGGTCTGCTGAGCCTGAGACGCAGAGGTTAGGGAGCGCTTCTTTTACCCTGCGGTTCAATTAGGACGGGCAGGGCAATAGTGAAGGAGCCCCGATGGCAGCAAAGGTCCACGCTGCATTTCTTATATTTTATCAATTCTCAAATTTGGAATATAGTCTGTTTAAGGGCCTATCTTCCACTGAGGGGTGTGATACTGTGTTCGATGTGTCTCAAAGAACCCAGTAGCTCTCTGTAGTGTGTTAAAAAGTGTGTGAAAATGAGCCCAAATAATTTTGCCTATGCATTAGGAATAAAAAGTATTTTGTTGAAGAACCATAGTGATGGGCAATACCAGTTTTTCAACAATTTGATACCGATGAGATGTCCAGATTCTCAAGCTTTAGACATGGCCACTTCATCCAAACACAGGCAATATTGTCCAAGTACATAGTTTAAAATATAAAAATACTGCAAAAAGAGCTGATGACAATGGAATGGTGTAACAAAGTGATCTTTCTGCATGTCTGTGGTTGCTTATACAGTCCCCTCCTGTGTGTGTGATTCTTAAACCTTTACACACATGTTTGAACACATAATATCATGTGAACATTGTTGTCAAATGGGACTGTAAAAGAAAATTAAGATATTCATTTATATATCACCCATATTGCCCATCCCTAGAACAAACAGTTTTTTGTCTTTTTTTACTCAGGACCGGACAATTCTATGCAAAAAATATTGCGATGCTTGCCCTAGTACATGCTGGTATCAGACTGAGATAAAAATAACTGGTATCTCCCATCACTAATTTGGAATAAACTTATTTTATCACATTTTGTCTAACATGGTTCAACATGTGAGTGATGAGGGAGTTTGTAGGTAGGGTTAAGTCTTCAAACTGAGCCATGTTTTTTATCATGGTTCAGAGTGGTGTACCCTTTAATATTTTTCATCATTTCTTAAACCCATCCAATTGTGACTAAAGAAACACTCACTAATCTCTGTTCACTCATGCGTCTTAAAGGGGAGTGATCCTGGCCTCTGTCATCATTTTATGGCCTCAGAGTCCAGCCCCTTTAAAAGCTCTGCTACAGTTTTCTCCCATAGACACTACAGAAATATCCAGACATATGTATATATATATATATATATATATATATAAAAACATCATAGTACTTAGAGTAGAGTAGTAGTAGAGTAACAAGTAAGAAGAACATTATTGTACTTTCTGTCTCGTCCGATTGGTGGAGCCCACAGTGGGAGGAGCTAGCCCTGCCTGCGTGTCCATCAGTCCCGGTGCGTGTTGACGTTCATAATTCATATTTCATATTTACAGCTGTGCACCTGCCTGTGCGTGGGGCGTCTGTGTGAAAGTGAGTCCTCTTTAGGTTTGTGCTATACAGAGAGAGTGGGCTCAGGGTCAGTCCACACGCACCACAGCCTCTGTCCGATTTAGACTACTGCTAAAACAAGGCGTCTGTGGAAAAGGGTGTACTGAAGAGGTTTAAATAGAGGGTATTATGCAAAATCGACTTTTTGGAGCTGTTCCCTCATAAAAAATGCCTGATGAGGTTTTAGATGTCATCCATGCATTGTTTGAGTATTTTTTCAATCTCTCCTGTCCTCAAACTCTCCTTATAGTTAGTGTAAGATTTGTCCAATGCTCCGCCCACAAGCCTACATCACCTATGCTCCCACACCACGATTCTCCATAACTATGACAATTCTCCATAAATATACAAAATCAAGATACAAAACTGTACACTACAACTTCACAAATCTGAAGCAATGTGCAGTAGTTTTATTAGCAGGATGCACGCTGATTGTGTTGTGACAGAGCATTCTGAAGGGGGAGTGACCATAGTGAGGGGGTCCTCAGAGTGTAAGAAACTCAAGTGAAACTTAGAAAACATGTTAATACATTGTTTTCTGCAAATATAGCCTCACAACAATAAAAGGTAACATGGTGATCTAAATATGTGTTGTTAATACCCCACAGAAGTAAAATCGCCTCTCTTTGTGTAGTGTAGGGTACACTGAGAGTATGCTCAGAGTGGCTTGTTCAGTTCTGACACTGGAGCCCTCTGACTGGATATTCAGCTCCGATACCAGGGACGCTGTCGGAGGCTGGATCTTTCCAGGTGCACTTATGTGGCCAGATTAGTTGTACTTTTTGGTAGTCTAGCTTTAATGCTACAAATCTATAGTTGGAAACTTTTTTGGCTGTTGGTTTGGCGCGTATCGTGGACTGGACCCTCTCAAAGAGACTGGTCTTATCAGGTCTGGGCTGGTCTGGTTTGAACCGGTGTGGTTAGGTTTGGACTGGTCTAAGGTTAAGGTACTTAATTGTCCCCTTTTGTCTTCTGCATTTAGCCCGTCCTTCAGAACTACTGGGCAGTGAGCACCGCAGTGGCCTTATCATGTTTGGACTGGTTTGATTAGGTTTGGTCAGGTTTGGACTGGTCTGATCAGGCTTGGGCTGGTCTGCTGTGGATCCTGACTGGAGGTCAGATTCGAAGTGATTCACTTTCACACAGTTGTGGTGAAAGAGTGCTCTGGTCTGTGGGGGTCAGACAGCAGAGCACTCCTCCTCCTGCCCCCCCCCCTCTGTGACCCCTGCCCCTCTAGGTGGCACTCTCCCCGGCCCCGCTGGACCCCCCGCTAGGCTTGTGCTGCTGCTGCTCAGGGTGGGCCTGTGTGGGGCTGCAGGCCGTGGGCGGGTCCCCTCTGTCGGCTCGCTCCTGGAGGTTGCGCTGGTTCCGAACGGCTTCAGTGAGCATCTGCAGCCGGCGCTCCTGGTACTCCTCTAGCCCCCGCCACAGCTCGGCACGCTCCCGCTCCCTCTTCAGCTCTCTGCAAACAGGGGGCCTGAAGTTAGCTCTACTGAATACCTGGCCAGCTAACATGTGGCACTCTGTACATGCTGCCTTTTACCTATATGGTTGTTTTCACCAGTCCAACTCACGGCTAAACTGTCCAGAGAGGATTTTTGTAAACAAACTCATAATTAAACACAACCTAAGAACATGGCATATGTTCTAACTACACTAACTACAGCACATTACCACCACAGTTAAAAGATACATACTGAAAAATGCTTGATTTAGAGATAATGTGAGTGAAAAGAGTTTCATTCACAAAAGCACAGTTGGACCAACACTGGCTACTGGTAATTGCTAATTTTGTCTTAGGGAGGGGATTCGAGCCCAGGTTCCCCATGTGAAAGTCAGGTGAGTAGACAGCTGATAAGTATGTCTGTGTGTATCTCTGTCTGTCTAGGACAGGCATGTCCAAACTATGGCCCGGGGGCCTCAGACAATTTTTTTTTTGGCCCTCAGGCTTCCAGGTGAATTGGCCCAAATTACCTTGCATCAATTAAAAAATATTTTTTTACTGCAAGATTTTTTGAAAAGCTACCTTGATAAAGCTAATATTTAATATTTAGGATCTTTTATTTTATATTTTAAGGATCTTAGCATGATTAAAGACTGATGGGTCATTCTAACATGTTAAACATGCACACATTTCAATTATTCCCTGTATAGAGCATCAGTCTGCTGCACTCAATCGGCCCTCTGCTTCGTCTGTGTTTAGATATGTGGCCCTTGATGAAAAAAGTTTGGACACCCCTGGTCTAGGACATAATGAGCAATTACCAACAGCCAGTGTTGGTTCTTAGGCAAGGCCTATCTCATACAATGATGAATGTAAACCATTAATGCCGAAAACAGGCTCCAGTTACTAATAAGCACAAGGTAAGTCAGAAGTACATCAAGGACAAGGCCCCAACAGAAGACATGTTCTAAAATAACAGAGTGCATAAGAAAAAGTGCAGATACCATCATGTCAGGACAAGCTCCTACTTGAGGTGTACCACCTGACCATAACTGAAGTAGCTGATATCAAGCAATCCTTCCATGAGCGAGCTGGTCTGAAGAACAGCACACCAGACAAGACCCTGAAACAGTCCAGCATTGAACTGCAAGGAGTACACAGTGTACAGTGAACAATGATCAGGCTGTGGGATTTCCTGATACCGACTAACAGAATGGTGATGGCAAGAGCAGAGTAAAGCCGCTGTAGTGGACATGGCAACACCAAATGATGAGAACATCAGGAAAAGGAACACAAGAAAGCGTCAGTGGTGCTGTGGTCATTGGAGCACAGTGACCTCCAAACTGGAGGACTACAGCAGATCCCAGGAAAAACAGCAGACTTCTCAGAAAGGTGCAGCAAAGCAAACAGCAAAGATATACTAGTATATATAGAGAAAAAGCATACTCACTTCTGTTTCTCCACCTTGTAGGATGCGGTGAGGTCGTCGAATAGTTTACTGTTCATCTCCATAAAAGTCTTGAGCACATTGTAGATGAGAGACACGATGGTCCTGAGACAGAGCACAGGGTGTGTGATTTTTAGTGTGGTGGTGTACTGGTGGTAGTCTTGTGGGGTCTGGTGGTTGTTGATCTTGTGGTGTAATGGTCATAGACTGTATAAATAAATGGACATAGCTAACCTGCTTGTCGTTGCATTCTAAATACGAAGTGGCCATGAGCATGTTTTGGATCCATTGACCCTGACCCCAATTCACTTTCTTTTGAAAATTTGTCACCGCTCTCTCTGTAACTGCTGCTGTGATTTTGGTCTTAAAATGTTTGTAATTAACTCGCTTTACATGATCTATGATTTATTTACTTATTTTGTGTCTAAATTAAGATATGAACACTAATAATGGACAAATCAGGTGCCTTCTTTCCCTGAGGTCACGATGATACTAATCAGAATTCCTAATATGTAACTTGGCACCAAATCCGCCCCTATAACTGCCAACCGCGTTGAGCTTCATTTGTCTAGAGCCAAACACTGTGGGTGATGTCACACTGCCTTAGTCCATTTCTTTATACAGCCTGTGGATGTTGTGGTGACGGTCAAGTGGTTGGTGGCCTTGTGGTAGTCCTGTGGGGGTCTGGTGAGACTATGGTGGCACAGTGGAGGTTGGTCTGTGGTGGTCTTGTGATGTGGCAGTCTTGGGGAGGTGTGGTGGTGGTTGGTCTGTGATGGTCTTGTGGGGGTCTGGCAGCAGGTGGCTTGTTGGTATGGTGGGAGCGTGGGAGTGTGGGACAGTGGTCTTACTGGTTCCAGTGCTCTTTGGAGACCCTGTAAAGCGTGGCGAACACCAGGGGAAGGATAACCTGACAGTTCTCCTCGATCAGACTCAGGATGTACTCATTGTTCCAGAAGTACAGGGCCCTCTCCGCCACCTGACACACACACACACACACACACATACACACACACACACACACACACACACACACACACACACACACACACACACATACACACATACACATACACACACAGAACACACACACAGAGAACACACATGCACATACAGAACACACACAGGACACATACACATACACCAGAAGTGAACACAGGCACAAGATTCAACTCAAATGCACTATCCTTCTAAGGCAGGGGTGTCGAACATAAGGCCTGGGGGCCGGATCCGGCCCTCCAAGACCTTTAATTTGGCCCTCGGCTGATTTTCTACTAAAATATTTAATTATATTTTCTATTAAAATATTGGTAATTTTCTGCAGTGCTGAGCACAGCAGCGTCTCCAGCGTCTCTGTACGTGGCCCCTCCCACCAGAGCAGCACAAATGAAAACTTGTCTCTTTCCAAACGCTCTTAAAGGACGATCGTTTTGACTGTTGACCGTGACACCCTCATCAGAAAAATGTCAAAAATGAGAAAAGGAGCCGAGTGCAGGATTTTCCAAGAAAAATTGACTTATTCCTATTTGCATACAAGTTGATTTAAGATGGCTTAAATCATAATATTATAATATTTTGTAAAAGAAAGAGTTCACCAATTAAAAAAAGATTTCTGTAGTAGATTTGCGTTTCTCTGCACAAATATTTTAACTTATTGTTATTTTTGGTATTTATATGACATGAGTTTTCTGATCCGGCCCCTTTGGGGTCAAAGTAGGTTGGATACGACCCCCGGACCAAAATGAGTTTGACACCCCTGTTATAAGGGCTGGTAGATATGGATGGACTTGAAAACTACTATTTTATGACATTACAAGGTGGAAAAGATCATTTTGAGCATTGGAGATGTACACAGACTACAGTATAAGGTAGTTTATTTATTATATATGTAGTATATTTTGATGAGGTAACAACATTATAACATGACTTAAAGCTCACATGAGTCTATTTTCCATAATATAGCATACCCATAAATTATGGCCCACCCCTACCCATAATTATTATTATGTAGTATAGAACTGCAGGCCAACATTGGTATTATATGGTCTTATTATTACTAAGTATTGTTATTATTGATAGACCTAAACCTGACCTGATATTGGTCCATCTCCAGGTTCTCACAACTAAGCCCCACTGAAGAAAATGGAAACTGACAAACGGATGTGTGGTGGACATTTTAAGCTTTTCCTGGCTGCTCCTGACTTCCTTCTGTCTTTAGAATAATGGGTGTAATTACATGTATTTACTCTGGTGAGTTTACAGATAGGAAAAGGCTGGGTGGATGTGTATCTCCAGCCTGGCCCATGGCTCCTCACATCTGACCTTCTCACAGGGTCTGATGAACTCAAGGAGCAGAGAAAGTGAGTCAAGGTGCTAACTGTGTCAGAGAGAGTGAGTCAGGGTGCTAACTGTTTCTGAACACACTTCCCTGTACGCCGTCAAGTCACACAGGAACAGGGTAGGGTCAGGTAGGGGTAGGGTCAGGATGGGGTTAAGGTAGGGTCATGGGAGGGTAAGAATGGGGTCAGGGTAGGATCAGAATAAGGTCAGGATAGGGTTAGGGTAGAGTAAGGGTGGGGTCAGACAGGAATGGGGTAGGGCAGGGTCATGGTAGGGTCAGGATGGGGTAAAGCAGGACAGGGTCAGGCAAAGTAAAAGTAACACTTGGGTCAGGGTAGGGTCTGGATGGGGTCAGAGGATGATCAGGATGGGATAGAACAAAGATGGGGTCAGAGTCAGTTGGGGTCAAGGTAGGGTCACGGTAGGGTCAGGAGAGAGTTTATAGAATTGGGTAAACCATGCTAATCACTTGACTATACTCTCATTATTTTCCTGTATCTGTCTGTTCTGGCTTTAGTTCACTTGCCATTTAAGTTAAACAAGAGTTTATTTTTAAGTTTATTTTTAGATAAAGACTCATAAAATTTAGTATCTGCTGTAGTTACCAAACACAATAAATATTACACTAATGAGTTGAACTCAATGTTGGCTCAGGTTTATGAACAGTTCACTGTTGTATTTTTATGAACGTCTGGCTCATATTTGACTTAAAATAAACATGTTTGAAGAATAAAACTAAATGATAGCATATTACATGTAGTCTGTCCGTGTATGTGTTGCCGTAGTGACCAACATTTGACCGATCGAATTCTGGCACAAATGTGGTATTGACTCAAATTGGGAAATCACAGGGTGAGGATGGTGTCAAGCAGGAGGGAGGATGGGGTCATGGTGGGGTCAGGGAAACAATAAGGATATGTTCAGGGTATTGTAAGGAAAGGGTGAGGGTGGGGCTAGGGTTGGAGTCAGGGTGGGGTCAGCTGCAGGGTAAGTTGACCTCTACTTTCCCTCCACTCTGTTTGATAAAACTGTGTCTGTGTCCAAGTGACCGTCCCCTGTACCTGTGCATGTTTGTGTCAGTGATCATTCTGACTTAGTCTGCCTTGTTTGTTAGTGTCAATAGCTGCTCACTGTTGAATATTGATCAAGTGGATATTGTTTTTTCAGCATACTCAAACTGCTTTACATTGCATCATCCACAGAGCCGTCACTCACATTCAGTGTGAGTGAAGTACTTCTTTAGCCATAGCTGCCCAAGGGCAAATGTGGCTCCTCCAACCATCACCAGGTGTACACAGCATTGGTGTGGCACTCAGGGGTCAGTTAGTCTAGAAACGTGCTTTGTAGAGATGTAAAGCAGGAGCTGTGATATGTCAGTGTGTCCTTGGGCAAGGCACATCTCCCTCCCTTTGCCTGAATGTGGCCTGTGAGTGTTGGTAGGAGAGGCTAATGGAGCAGATTGGCAGCCATCTTTTTCTCAGTCTGCCCCAGGGCAGCTGTACCTGCAAAAAATGTGGATGGAGGGTAATAGGGTAATTTTGTCCATGAGAATGTGCAAACCTGGAAGTGTGGGCTAGAGATACAGGCAGCGATCTGTCTGAAGAGCGGCTCCTGGACCCTCACGAACTGAGAAGGTTCAATCACATCCAGAATCTCCTCAATCTCCCCCAGGAACATCACCTGCACAGACACAGCAGAACACTAGTGTGTCACAGACACAGCAGAACACTAGTGTGTCACAGACACAGCAGAACACTAGTGTGTCACAGACACAGCAGAACACTAGTGTGTCACAGACACAGCAGTGCATTGATCTGTCTTACAGAGAGGGGCTTATGTCCTCACCTCAACTAACAGCTTCATAATTACATGTATGTATGTATGTATGTATGTATGTGTGTATGTATGTATGTGTTTATGTGTATGTATGTATGTATGTGTGTATGTGTATGCATGTATGTGTATGTATGTATGTATTTATGAATGTGTGTATGTGTATGTATGTGTGTATGTATGTATATGTGTATGTGTATGTATGTACGTATGTATGTATGTGTATGTATGTATGTATTTATGAATGTGTGTATGTGTATGTATGTATGTGTGTATGTTTGTGTGTATGTATGTGTGTATGTGTGAAGGAGCACCTGTGTTGCCCCGTCATCTCCCGACTGGCGCGTCTGCATCTGGCCAAAGAGCACGCACGACGCTTCCTTCCCTCCCCGTTTTGCGGAGCCAAGCTCCGATAGACTGGTTTATGCAGGACCGCTCGTGTGAATCGCGGTCCTGTTTTTTCCCCAACATTTGAACGGTTTCCCGGCTCGTGCGTTCGAGGGTGCACACTCGACGCCGACGCCGCTTTCTTACCTGCAGCAGCCTCCGCGCCGTTCTTGGGTTCGGGGCCAAACCGAGGCACTTCCTGGTTGTGCTTTAAATAGCGCATAGTGGCGCGCTCAAGGGGGGGACATGTGATCGTGGACTCGACCATTGTGGTCTATTTGGGGTCATTTGTGGGTTTTTTGAAGTTGTTTAATGGAACAATGTTAACCTAATGAGGGGTTCTTTAAGTTATTTTTATTATGTTTATTTCCAAGTTGATTTGTGTTCCTCAATTCAGTTTGCTTATGTTAATTCCTTAAAACCCCATTTTGGTTAATTGGTTAGCCCGGGGGGAGGGGCTAAGGGGGTATAAAAGGAGGGAGCTCCAGTCATTTGGGAGTTGGTATTTGGCCTGACTACGTGGGTGCTGGCAACTGTAAGTGTGATAATTGTACATATTTTTGTAAATACTTCTGACTACCACCTCATTTTTTGGTCACTGTAAATATTCCACTCTGCACTTGGAGCTGTGGTGCGAATAAAAACCCACTTAAGTGAAGTTTTTTTGACTGAGCCATCATTTTTTACATTGACCCGTGACAGTATGTGTGTATGTATGTATGTATGTATGTTTGTGTGTATATGTGTGTGTGTGTGTATGTGTGTATGTATGTATGTATGTATATGTGTGTTTGTGTGTATATGTGTGTGTGTGTGTGTGTGTGTGTGTGTGTGTGTGTGTGTGTGTGTGTGTGTGTGTGTGTATGTATGTATGTATGTATGTATGTACAAGAAGCCAGTGGAGATGTCCATGTTGTAATCTAAAGGAGCCATCAGTCACACACCTGTCTAACCGCTAAACCACCTGTATATACTTGTACAAATGTAAAACCCCCCCATCTTTTAGTTTGACCTGTGAGCAGAGCTATGGAGGAGCGGTGGAGGGTGGCTCTTACCTCTTTCTGCGTGCACGTCTTGGGCCAGTACTTGAGCAGGCCTCTGATGATCTGCAACAACAAAAACACAACTTCACATTGATGAATAGAGAGATATGCTGATGTAAAACTGCTACTGGTCAGCTCTGCCATGCCCTGGGTGATTGACAGGGAGATTTGACCAGTCACAGCAAAGTGTGGGCCAAATGGTGTTGATTAATGGTTTAGTTAAAGATGCTGTGCTTGATTTTTACTGTCACGAAATGTGACACACAACTGTTTTTGTGCACATTTGTGTGCAGTTCTTCTTCACTTCTGTTATTCAGAGCATCCTCATCCACGATGAGTTTAGAAGCACTTTTCACAACTCTCAGAGACTAGAGGGGAATTTTGCCTTTACGGTAAAGCTAACAACAACTATCATGCTAATGTGCACTTCCTGATTCTTGGAAAGTTAAACACTTTATAATTAGGTGCAAACAGTACACAGCTGACTTATTCTGACCTCGAGAGCTGCTTATACAGTACATCTGTACTGGTGGAAGGCGCATTTACTAAAATACATAATAAAATCATCACCTTGCAGGTTAATGCAACAATAGTACAAAAATTTTGGTCAAATGCAAATATTAGTCAAGGCTGTTAAAAAATCTGAATATTTCCTAAGCGTATGGGCCTGCACAGTACAGAGCACACTCCATCTTTAATGTGCATGTTATGTTGAGTTATGGCGTATTTTCTATAGCGCTCTGCGTTTGACCCTGTCGTGGTATCTGCTGCTAGGAGGCCAAACAATAACACAGGACAGACTCTTCTGATCAGCTGCGTTTATGAGATCTGATTTATGGACTGCGTGGCGGTGAGTCACAGCCGCCCCCGGGTCCCGGCATTGTTCACTTTGACATTTGGTTCCTTGGCGCTGCATACGCTCCCCAGCTCCACAGAGCCGACTGAACCAAGGATGGGTGTGTCGCCATCTTTGCTTTTGTGCATCACATGTGTTAAAGCTACAGAGTCATACATTAATATTTACTTTAAAGACTCATTCAGATGTCAAAACGATATACAATCTCTGCTTATCTCCTACAAATTAGAGTTAAACTCAATCTTTCATTTTAAAAGTCCCATATTACACTATTTTCTGATTACTGATCTGTTATAATGTAGTTTCCACATCACAAACAGACCTGGAGTTGTATTTTGTTTCATTCACACATGTTTGAACAGAACAGAAAACACTCTATTTCACCTTGTGATGTCATGTGATAGTACAGGCAGTGCTCCAATGTGTTTTTAAACTTCATACACCTTCACTAGAATTATTGGATGATTTTAGCCTTGGAATTGTTCATCTCTACTGAGCTAAAGGTTAAAGAGCTGTTCACTTGAAAACTACCATTACATGACATCACAAGGTGGAACAGACTATTTGGAGCTTTGGAGATGTAGACAGACTCATAATGCAGGATGCAAACATGTATGAATGAAGCAAAACGTGGCTCCAGGTCTGGTTTGGATGAGGTAATATAACATGGCTTTAAGCTCAGAGTCTATGTCACATACTGTAGGTCTGCCTTATTTATACTCTGTCCTCTGCTTTGGTCCAGACAACATGCTCTGAGATGTCTGTGAAACCATAAGGCGCTGCATGGGTGTATGAGAGTATGTGTGTGTGCGTGGGTGTGCGTGTGTGTGCGTGTGTGTGCGTGTGTGTGCGTGTGTGTGCGTGTGTGTGCATGTGTGTGCATGTGTGTGTCCAGTTCACTCACGTATTCAGTGACTGTGGCGTCCTTCTCCATGAACTGCACCACACAGTAGGCCAGCTGAGGACAGGGACAGGATAGAGACAGGGACATCGGGAGAGACAGGGGCAGAGACAGGGACAAGGTTAAAAGTTAGACCTCACATCAGCCATCGAGCCTGGATTGAGTGGCAGAGTGGTAAGAGCTGCAGCCTCACAGTCAGAAGGTCCCAGGTTAGCTTCCAGGTCCATGTGGGGCCTTCAGTGTGGAGTTTCATGATTAGAATCTGGTTGATTAAAACAACACCGACTAATTAAATGACTATTGTGGTCAGACTGGCCTGTCAGATCTCAGAAGCTCAGCAGGGCTGGGCCTGGTTAGTACTTGGATGGGAAACCACTGAGAAAATCAGGAGCCACAGCGGGGCCAGTAACAAAAATTGTTGTTGTGTCCTTAAGCAAGACATTGCACCCACATTGCCTAGTATGAAAGTGTTGTGTGCTTGAGTGATGGTGGTGGTTGGAGGACCCAATGGTGCAGACTGGCAGCCTCATTTCCATCAGTCTGCCCCAGGGCAGCTGTGGCTACAATAGTATCTTACCATTACCATCAGTGTGGAGTGAATGAATAATGTTCTGTAAAGAGCTTTGAGTGTGTTGAATAAATCCAATAAAAAGATGAGTTAAATGAGAAAATACACAGGTTACTTCACATATGCAGTAGTAGTACTTGTGATCATGTTAGAAGTAGTAGTTAGTAGTGTTCTGGGTGAGTCCCTAAGGCTGAGGCTGATCCCGCAGGATTACTCTGATCATCGGAAAGAGTTTTCCAGCAGTGAGGGCTGTGGGAACCTGCTCCAGTGTTTGAGGTGTGTGCGTCTCTGTGTGTACGTGTGTGTGTGAGGTATGTGTGTGTGTGTGCATGTGCATGTGCATGCGTGTGAAGTGTGTGTGTGTGCGTGTGTGTGTGTAGGGGGTGCCCGGGCCGTTGCCGCAGTGACAGGGCGCCGTGGCAACAGGGCTGTTTACTTGGGAAGCAGTGATGTGACACACGTGCAGGGCCTGGGGCAGAGAGAGAGAGAGTGTGAGTGCGTATGCGTGTGTGCGTATGCGTGTGTGTGTGTGTGTGTGTGCGTGCGCTGGAATCTCACTCTCACAAACACACACACATATGCATACACACGCGCACACGCGCACATAAACTGGTTTTCCATGCTCTGTGGGGACTCTGCACTACATGTATTACATTCATTTTTACATCCATGTCTAACTTTAAAATGCATGTGACAGGTTTTCAAGTTTTTCTAATTATGTCTTGGTTTGGTGCTAAATATTAGAGAAGAGGAAGTTTGTGCAGAAAACAACAGAAAACAAAACCATTCAACAGTGCAGAAGTAGCGCTGAGATCTATTCCACCCAAAATGACACACAAGAGACACATTTTACAGACACACAGTTTAAACATTCATTTCACAAAATAAAAGTGATGTACTTTTATTTATCAAATCATCACTAATGTGCTGTCTACAATGTCCAAGGCTTAAAATACTCTGTTCCACCTTATGATGTCATTTAGTGATAGTTTAAAGGTTAACATCTATTTTCAGCCTCGGTTGAACTGCTTTACTCTAAAATACACTCTAAAAACCTTATGTTGTTGCTTCAGTTGTCAACTGAAAGTGTGTAATATCTGCTGGTGCACTGAGGCAGCTTCAATGAGGCTAAAACAATATCTGCAATTTCACAGTTTGACAAATCCAGTGCTAAAATTATCTAAATGATTGTAGTGAAGGTGTGTGGAGTTTAAAAACAGAGTGGAGCATTTCCTGTATTAAACCAAACCTTAATGACATCACGTGGAGGAAAATGGAGTGTTTTGAGTTTGAGAGAAGAACTCCACCTAAATAAAGGGCATTATAACAGAGATCAATCAACAGTCTAACATAGGCCCTTTAAAGCATGTTGTTGATCTGATAGTTAAGGCTTTAAGATGGTCTTAGAGCTTTCAGACTCACACTGCTGAGCCAAGAATTGCTCTGTCACTGGCTCTTTGTGGCCCTGGTCTGCTGGGAGCTGGGGATTATGGGTATTGTAGTGCTGGATTTTCACTATGTACATGTGTGCTGATGACAGGTTAAACTTCAGGTTAAGTCCTCCTGAAGTCACACTTATATGAACTCATGGAACATTCTTAATGAAGGATAAACAGAATTAGTGATAGAGACAGCTCATTTTGTGCTTTAGGAAATGAAACGAGGGTTATGGGTGTGCCTCACAGTATCACGACACATCCATATTTAGACTATTTCACTAAACTAACAAATGGCAGTAGAACAATTTTAATGTAGAGAAAGTACACTTGATTATGTAAAACACATCAGAGTTTTAAAAAAATGAGTCAAAGTTGCACTATATGGCTTTTTCAGTGGAGTGTCTTCCACCTGTTTGTCTCCATGGAGATGTTATTACCTTACCTGGAATGTTCCACTTTATGGCATTAAACTTATTTTACATATATTAAATTATGTGTAAGTTAAGTCAAATGAAAAATGCTGAAAAATGCACAGTGAAATCTGGTCTCATGTAAAGTGTGTGTACAAAAATGTTATGAGACTTTCCACATTAAAGGTCCTATAATCCCACAAAACTGTGAGCCTTAAACCATGTTCTACTGCTGTTACCTCCTCAAACACACACGTGGAGTTGTGTTTTGTTTTATTCACATAAACTACATTAGGCCAGATCATTAAACAGTGTAATATGGGCCCTTTACGTTTGTGATCTCTATAAAGACAACTTGATGTGGAAATGCTCTAAGACAGAATTTTGAGCATCAGGACTTTAACAGACAAGGTGATATTTGACGAGAGACCATGAGCGACTTTGAGTGTCTATGTTCTATAGAGCTCCGGGAGCTGACGTCATACCGGCTCGTCAGGCACAAGGTGTTGCCATTTTGGCAGTAATCGGCAGATCGGCTGACTCGCGCTGTACGACTCCAGCGCAATAACAGATTGTTCTCCAGACGCAGCCGCGATTCATTTCCAAATTATTTTGCCAACAATTTTCCAATACAGATAATGTAATACACAAAGATCAGAGCAAGAACCAATGTGCGAACGTGTGGCTCCAAAGTAGCAAACAGCATTTGTTATTTTAGGCTTATAATTAACCAAATAATTTTATGGAAATAGGCAATAGCTTATTCAATTGATTCAACTTTAAAAATGCCCTGCTTTTAGCCTAGTGTGAGAAATGCTACAGTCGGACTAGATCCAAACCAGAGTCCTGAACCAGCGGGAGAAGCTCCGGTTCAGGCCGGGCTCAGAGGAGCTACAGCGGGGAGTGGTGTCAGGAGCCTTGGCCTGACAAGAACGTTCCCCAGGAACAAAGAGCGCGGAGGTCGGACGCTCAGAACAACATATAACCCACCAAACTATTCACGCTTCTGTCCGGATGCTTTGCATCACCTCGGAACCAGCCGCAGTTCTTGACCGCCGGAGCGAACTGTCCAGACCTGTAGTCCACAGTGCATTCTCGCTTTTCCCGCACGGAACCAGCGTGCAGACGATGACACGGAACAGCTCAGACCCAGCCCATCAAGCACTGGTCTTGCTCGCTACCGTCTGGAACCAGCACATGGAGGACGGAGCCTCCGGACCAAGGACCAGACCGCAGACCCCGTCCTGAGGGATCTGAGCTGCGGTGAGTGCTCCTCTTTATCGCTGTTGCTGCTGCTGTTACCCGTGCTTTTGTGTTTTACGAGTTCATGATGACTCTTGAGATGAGGATGTCCCGTGGTCTTAACAGGGAACATCTGTGTTGATAATTGGAGGTATCGCTGTTCTACCAGGAAACAGAGGCATGTCAATCGGACCAATTTTGGTTCATTTGGCGATGTACTGCGGATCTGGGACGTCTTCTTCAGCGGAAATATTTTTTAAAAACACCCCCGGGGCATTATACGGTCAATGTTTAATCCATTTAATTTTGATCTGAAGCTCAATGTCTTGTGAATTAAAGTGAGTACTCCGATGGCTTGAAAAATTCAGCGGTGGCGCTATCCATTTTTACTGCCAAAATGGCGGCCCGCCCACCGTGAATCACGTGGGGTCCGGAGCTCTATAGATGAGAGCCCAGATGTTTAACCTGTAACAACCAGTTTATCTCATATAAACATACAAACATAAGTTTAATGCAATACTGTGAAACATTCCACACAAAGCAATAACATCTCCACGGAGACGAGCAGGGGGCCACATTCTGGTGTTTACATTGTGCACCTTTAATAAACACATGTGCATGTGGTGGCATGTGTACGATCTATGGTAAAACAGCATTTAGAATAGATCACATTAGACCACAGTCATTGTGGAGATTGTGCTGTGAGCTGTGGACCGTGTGCTGTGGACCGTGTGCTGTGGACTGTGTGCTGGAGAACTGTGAGGGGTCTCATGATGCTCATGGACATGTGAACAGGGCACAAAGAGCTGTCAGAGGATTTATCATTTATGGGTTTCAGTTTCCTGTTTTACACAAAATCTTGAGGACTTTTTCACATTAGACCTGTACTCGATTAAAGGAATTCTTGAAGGACTAAAGACGTGCTGCCGATCGATTGGTGAACTAAAAAGGGTGCATGGCTGAAGTTCTCAACTTAATCAACTTCAGTGCTTCAGTGTTCAGAAGTGTCTTTATGTGTGCACATTTGGGAACTGCAAAGGCTGAATAGTAGCCAAAATAAATAAATACACAGGCTGAGACATTTTCCGGTAATAGGCTAATTGTATTCCCAATCCCCTTCTTTAAGAGAGTTTACTGCATTTGTCCTGATTTGAACTCATTCGATCTGATAATCGTGTTACCTGCAGCAATGTGGCTAAAATAGCAAAATATGAACTTCTCTTTATTGTGTAATGACTTTTATTTTAATAAAATTAATTTTATAAATAAAGTTAGTATAAAATGAAAGTTGTGGTTCATTGTGGGTAATTTCCAGTGCTCCGAGATGGCCAAGGATCCACAGGTGCAGCCTTGGTAAAAGAGCCAAATGGAGGAGTGGAGAGTGGAGAACAGGAGGGCTTTGGGGGAAGACCTGTCCGAACTGTTCAGAAGTCGAGGACCTGGTGATTGGGAAACACACCATAGCTCTGTATCTGACCCAAACTGCACTTACCAGACTACACCTGCAGGGGGATTCATGCACAAACTACTATTTATGCAGAAAAATATGTATTTATCATGATAAGTCATAATCTGACTTTTTAAGTACCAAAAATAAGAAATCTTCAGCTCACTCACTCACTTCTTTGTGCCTTTGTCCCATAAAACTCCTCTAAATCAAATCAAAATGGTTGATTAATTCACATATTGGTTGACGAAGTCTCCATCGACTGATTCATCAACTAAACCACTAAAGGCCTACAGCCTTTTGAAGAGATGTAATATTTAGTTTCAAGTTGTCAATCGCTATGGCAACGGTCCTTCATCATTCTGAGACGCACCGTGGGACTAGGAAACTGAGTGAGTCTGACTCAGTCTCAGCTCAGTGTGGACGTGGAAAAGAATGTGTGTGAATCTGCTCCTCACAGGCCCACAGCACACACACACACTCACTCACTCACACACACTCACATACACACACACACCAGCTCACACGGACAAACATTTGAAACACTTCTCATAGTTTCATAAGCATTTCGAGACACCATAGCATCAGTAGAGGTGGTAGAGTGGACAAAGATTGTACTCAAGTATGTATAATATTATTCAAGTACAAAGTACAAAGAAGTGGTCCAAGAAATTCCTCAAGTAAGAATAATTAAAGAGCAAATGTCAAGATGGAACATCTGATTTATAATGTTTATTTAAGATAAATACAAAAATGAGACAAACTGTTACTTCAATAAAAATATTACTCAAGTAAGAGTAAAAGTAGAAAAGTAACGTTTGATTTCATTTAAAAGTTACTCAAGTAAATGTAACTGAGTAAATGTAACTGACTACTACCCACCGCTGCTCATCATTCAGTGTCCCTCTATCCCAAACACACCAGGGACCAGTAAATACACTGCTGACCCCTACTGGACACATGTGCACACTGAAAATTAAAACGCCGACTGCTGTGTTTCTGCTGATTCTAGAGCTGCAGTCCTTCTCTCAGTCAGCCCATTCATCCATAAATTGTGTCTTAGTTGTTACATATGTATGAGACTCGACTAATCATTTTATTTGGATGATCAGCATTTCTATGGGACAACAGCAGAGAGGAGGTTTTTTTTGGTATTTCCCTGTAAAAAGTCAGATTAAACTCATGATGCTCAAGTTAAATCTGTCTTTCTATAAATACAGTTTCCTATTTTTCTGTATATATGGTTGTTTTTTTCCATCTCCCTTTCTTAGTTGACTAGTCCATTGGAAGGCCGTGTCTTTAGTCCACCAAGAGTTTCTTTCTTACACACCTGATGGATTCAGGTTCAACTGTCACTCCTGTTACTGTGCTAACACAAGATTAGCTCAAATGGGGAAAGGATCTTTTGTTTATTTACAAAGTTTGGTACAGAAGCAAATTTTTACCTCCTCAATTATCATTCTCACTGCAACAAATAATAATAATAATACACAGGATGTATACAGCACATTTGAAAACCAGAGTGCTTTACTTGAAAACATTCTTTCACACTCTTTTCTGTGATTGAGATGATGAAGCTAGGATACTATTCTGCACCATCTGGGTAGTGTGCACGGGTAGTGTACAGCAGTAGTGTGCAGGGGTAGTGTACAGCAGTAGTGTGCAGGGGTAGCGTGTAGGGGCAGTGCGTAGGGGCAGTGTGTAGGGGTAGTGTGCAGAGGTAGTGTGCAGAGGTAGCGTGTAGGGGAGTGTGTAGGGGTAGTGTGTAAAGGTAGTGTGTAGGGGCAGTGCGTAGGGGCAGTGTGTAGGGGCAGTGTGTAAGGGTAGTGTGCAGAGGTAGTGTGCAGAGGTAGTGTGTAGGGGGAGTGTGTAGGGGTAGTGTGCAAAGGTAGTGTGTAGGGGCAGTGTGTAGGGGTAGTGTGCAGAGGTAGTGTGCAGAGGTAGTGTGTAGGGGTAGTGTGTAGGGGCAGTGTGCAGAGGTAGTGTGCAGAGGTAGTGTGTAGGGGCAGTGTGTAGGGGCAGTGTGTAGGGACAGGGTGCAGAGGTAGTGTGTAGGGGCAGTGTGCAGAGGTAGTGTGTAGGGGCAGTGTGTAGGGGTAGTGTGCAGAGGTAGTGTGTAGGGGCAGTGTGTAGGGGTAGTGTGCAGAGGTAGCGTGTAGGGGCAGTGTGTAGGGACAGGGTGCAGAGGTAGTGTGTAGGGGTAGTGTGCAGAGGTAGTGTGTAGGGGTAGTGTGCAGAGGTAATGTGCAGAGGTAGTGTGCAGAGGTGGTGTGTAGGGGCAGTGTGTAGGGGTAATGTGCAGAGGTAGTGTGCAGAGGTAGTGTGTAGGGGCAGTGTGCAGAGGTAGTGTGCAGAGGTAGTGTGTAGGGGCAGTGTGCAGAGGTAGTGTGCAGAGGTAGTGTGTAGGGGCAGTGTGTAGGGGTAGTGTGCAGAGGTAGTGTGTAGGGGCAGTGTGTAGGGGCAGGGTGCAGAGGTAGTGTGTAGGGGCAGGGTGCAGAGGTAGTGTGTAGGGGCAGTGTGTAGGGGTAGTGTGCAGAGGTAGTGTGTAGGGGCAGTGTGTAGGGGCAGGGTGCAGAGGTAGTGTGTAGGGGCAGTGTGTAGGGGCAGTGTGTAGGGCTAGTGCGACTTACCTGTGCGTGGAAGATGGACAGGGACTTGGCTGTGTGCAGAGGGATGAGCACTCGCACCAGGAACTGTTTGTGCTCGGCCTTCAGGGGCAGAGCGAAGCCGTTTATGATGCTGCACACAACCACACAAGGACAACAATAACACAACTGCTAGAGCATTTTCAAATAAATCACTGAATATTGCCACTGACTAACATGTGTGAAATGTTTGGTTTTCTAATTAACCATTTCTCATTAACCAAGAGAAAGAGAGTGACAGAGGCAGGCAGGGAAGGAAGCAGAAAAAGAAAGATACAAAGAGAGACAAGATCAGATCTGAGGAGGAACACTGGATCTCCTATTTGTAACATTGCCCCCTGCTGGCATGTGCCGCCATGTGTGTGTGTGGGCAGCACTCTCATAGCAGGGAGCTTAGGATGCTTGTCTATGGACCGATTTAAAGGTTCACTGTGTAATTTTTCTAAACACCTGCCCAGGATGACCACTCTCAGCACAGTCCCAAAGTTTAGACAGTCCACAGCTCTTCAGCAAAGCTCCATCCACAATAAGAGGAGCTCAGAGGACCCATGGGTGTGTGTGTATGTGTGAGTCTGTGTGTGTGTGTGCGCGTACCTGCCCAGGATCTCCAGCAGCTCAGCCACACCGTTGAAATGCTCAGTCTCGTAGATGAACCTGGAGAGAAATCCACATCAGAAAAACATTTGAAATTTAGTGGATTTCATATCTGACAGATTTCCTCACACTGTTCTGTGGAGCTCTGGAATCTACAAACAAGAGTTCGAGTAAACAGTCTGCTCATAATACCCCCACATCTGCTCTGGGGTAGACTGACAGAAGTGAAGCTGCCAATCTGAGACCTAGTTCAGTCCTGATTTAGTCCTGGTTAAGTCGTGGTTCAGTCCTGGACATATCTACTGCCTGCCCATCCTGGTTGAATCCTGGCTCAATCTTGTTCCGTCTTGTTTAGTCCTGGTTTAGATTTGACTAAAAACATGTACTTAGTAGTGTTTTGTCTATTTTTTCATTTTTATTTTGCTTAAGTTTTTCCTTCCTGATTGGACAAGGGCAAAAGATAAGACATGCATAAGGGCTACGTTTGTCAGCACGCAAAATCAGATGGAGGGCAGGAAGTGAACTGACTGGAGGAAAATGTCTGTGTTGTGTAGTTTACGGCTGTGCCAATTCTTCTAACCGAGAGAAGGAAAAGTGATTTTTTTAGAGTACCGAATATAGTCGTCCACAAATGTCAGAAATGGGAAAAGCCGACAGAACAACACCGTAAAAAGTGGATTACAAACCTGTTTGCGGTCGGGAGGAGCAGAATTCGCTAATGCTCGTGTTTGCAGTGACCACTTCGTCAAAGGTTTGTTACAAAGCTAAACTGTTTTTTGTGGTTTACCTAAACATAAACGAATCATTAACGATTAACGACTAACAACGTTTGTTGACATTAAACAGTTCAGATAGAGGTTACTGCCGATACACTGCAGTTTTTCCATAACAGTCTATACACACAAAATAAGAGAAACACTCCCCCTGGCGAAGACCAAATGATAATCACCATTTAGGCGTTTTGCACCAAGGTTGTGGACCCATCCACTGACAAAAAAGTGATATGCCTCCAAACGTTTATACGCCTTCATCTGTTGTCTTGTGTAGAACGATGTCTGAAGAACTAGGTAGTTCGTGATATCCACTGCCTCGATTGTCGGCAAATCTTTTACTTTGGTCAAAAATTCACTCATTTTCATAAGACAGGGGTCGCGTCTAGGGCTGGGTATCATTAAGAAGTTGCCGATACGATACATACCTCGATACATAGGCCACGATACGATACGTTTTTTGATACAGTGCACTTTCAATTCAATATGATTCGATACGATATATATCTCTATATATTGATTTTATTATTTTTGTTCATTGATTTTAGTAATTTTATTTATTGATTCTATTAGTTTCCTCATGGTTGGAACATAATTCTGCAGATTTTTTTTTAAAGTAAAATGTTTCACATTACATGTGCTATACAAATAAAGCTGGATTAGATTGGATATATCAAATTGATTCAATACGAAAACAAAAGCTAAATCATGGCTGTGATACTAAAAGTCTAAGTCCACTGAGTTTGCGCAAAGTTAATATGAAAAACACCAATTTTACTCAAAACTGTAAAAATGTCAACACAATTATAGCTTTAACAGAAAGTAATTTAGTAAAATATTTCTAAAAATACTCTTGGCAAAATATCGATACAGCAGACTACGATATCAATACTGTATCATCAAATTAAACAATACGATATATCAATATTTCAATATTTTTGCACACCCCTAGTCACGTCCAATATATTTGTCAACTAACTGCTCGTACTTTTGCCTTGCTACTGGCTCTAAATCCTTACAATAAGAACTCTTCTCCATATCTGTGTTCTCCAGATCCGTGTTTGTCGTGTTTGTCTTCACTTCCTGCCCTCCACCAAATTCGCATGTCATGGTGATCACGTGACTGAAACCCTCCAATTGTTCCCTAGCAATCATAATGTAAATAAGGACCAAATTCTATCTGTAGTTATTATTAGATTAATAAAAAATACATGACGGCACCTTTATTTAGTGAAATGAAGATTTAAACTGTCAGAAAAAGTCCAACCTTGTGCGTAAAATGTCTCTGCATTTTGTTTCTTATTGTTTTATATTTGTTTTGAAACTCAGCACTATTTCCTGTGGGCGCTACTTGTGTGTGTGTGTGACAGTGTGTGTGCGAGTGTGTGTGTGTGTGTGCGCGTGTGTGTACCTGAGGAAGATGTTGTTGATCTGCTTCCGGATGTACGCCCGCAGTCCCAGCAGTTTTCCATAGACACGGTGCAGGATGGTCTTCAGGTATTCCCGCTCTCTGGGGTCCTCACTGTCAAACAGCTCCAGCAGCTGGAGGGAACAGAGAGAGAAGAGGAAGAGAGCGAGGGAACAGAGAGAGAAGAGGAAGAGAACGAGGGAACAGAGAGAGAAGAGGAAGAGAGCGAGGGAACAGAGAGAGAAGAGGAAGAGAACGAGGGAATAGAGAGAGAAGAGGAAGAGAACGAGGGAACAGAGAGAGAAGAGGAAGAGAAAGAGGGAACAGAGAGAGAAGAGGAAAAGAACGAGGGAACAGAGAGAGAAGAGGAAAAGAACGAGGGAACAGAGAGAGAAGAGGAAGAGAGCGAGGGAACAGAGAGAGAAGAGGAAGAGAACGAGGGAACAGAGAGAGAAGAGGAAGAGAGCGAGGGAACAGAGAGAGAAGAGGAAGAGAACGAGAGAGGAAGAGAGAGAGAGAGAAGAGGAAGAGAACGAGGGAACAGAGAGAGAAGAGGAAGAGAACGAGGGAACAGAGAGAGAAGAGGAAGAGAACGAGAGGAGAACGAGAGAGAAGAGGAAGAGAACGAGGGAAACAGAGAGAGAAGAGAAGAGAGCGAGGGAACAGAGAGAGAAGAGGAAGAGAACGAGGAAACAGAGAGAGAAGAGGAAGAGAACGAGGGAACAGAGAGAGAAGAGGAAGAGAACGTGGGAACAGAGAGAGAAGAGGAAGAGAGCGAGGGAACAGAGAGAGAAGAGGAAGAGAACGAGGGAACAGAGAGAGAAGAGGAAGAGAGCGAGGGAGTGAGAGAGAAGAGGAAGAGAACGAGGGAACAGAGAGAGAAGAGGAAGAGAACGAGGGAACAGAGAGAGAAGAGGAAGAGAGCGAGGGAACAGAGAGAGAAGAGGAAGAGAACGAGGGAACAGAGAGAGAAGAGGAAGAGAGCGAGGGAACAGAGAGAGAAGAGGAAGAGAGCGAGGGAGTGAGAGAGAAGAGGAAGAGAACGAGGGAACAGAGAGAGAAGAGGAAGAGAACGAGGGAACAGAGAGAGGAGAGGAAGAGAGCGAGGGAGTGAGAGAAGAGGAGAGGGGACAAACATATGAAAGTAGAACCCCCATAGATCATTAGTGTAGAGTTTGTTCAATGTAATATTGATCAAAAACATCTTTAAAACAGAAACAGGTTCCTACTGTAACTTCACTTCACCACAACAAGCTTTTTTCATTTATGTGTATTTATTATAAAGAAGCTGGGAGGCATTTTTAAACCCTGTATACAGTACTGTGCAACAGTTTTAAACAAAGTACACTTTCAAAAATATAAATAATGATTGTTTTTTATCAATTTACAAAATACAATGTTAGCGAACAAAGGTCAAATCTAAATCAAATCAATATTTGGAGTTACTACCTTTTGCCTTCAAACCAACACTAATTCACACAAAGGGGTTCACACAAAGTCAGGGTCAGGGATTTTGTAGGATTCTAGTCAGGTGTATTGTAGTCAGTTCTACCAAACAGGAGCTAATGATCATCAGAGTCACATGTACGCTGGAACACACTCATAAACTGAAACCAAAAGAGCTGGGACTGTAGGAGGCTTCAAACTGGGTGAGGAACAAGTGCTGGAGCAGATTAGGTCTCCAAACCACAAGAATTGTTCAGTTAGTGGTACAAGCACCAAATTTCTCATATATTTAGCTAACATCATTCTCTTTTAGAAAAACCCGTTATCCACCTGAAATATTCAATATGGCAATATTTTTCAAGATAGCCATCCAAACAACTGATTTCACATAAGTATGAGTTAAAAGACAAAAAGTCATCATGTTCTTAATCAAAATTAATGGAATAAATCACAAATTTGCAAATATATACATCTACACTAATGCAATGTCAGATATTCAAAAAATTTTACACCAAAATATATTTAATTTTGCACATAATTCATTACATTTTCTCACAATTTGAAACCAAAAGTATCCCAATAACCATTTGGGAAGTAGAAATAAAAACACGAGCAAAATTAAAATAAAATGCAACATATTGACATAGGTTAATTTCAGAAACCATTCATAGTGCTGTTTGTGCTTAAGAACTATCGAAAAAAGTTTGCCATCATTAAGATTTTTGGCACATTCGTTCAGCCTCATTTAACTGCACTGTTGATGCTTGTCTTAGTTCAGAAGCTGCTTCTGTGTTATCACATAAAAAAACGTTGCTGGGGCTTCTGCACAGTTCTTCTAATTTTTGAATGTCCTTCGTCTGAGTTCACTGGATCACAAGCTGCTCTTTTGTTTGCCCGTTCAGGTTTACTGTTACTGAACAATCATCTGCAGCTTTGATGATTTCATTTTTTATTAGCATTTCTTCAATGCCACGACCATCATTCAGTCTGGTACATCCTGTCAGGTACGGCTATTGAACTTTAATACTACAACTAATATTAGTATAACTAATACTAAAACTACTAGCTGGTGTATTTACAGGACTAATTAGATAGCATTTGGGATGCTACATCATGCTACATTAACTACATTAAATATTAGAATGTTAGTAACACTACAGAGCCGACACTGAACCCCATGCTGAGTTTCACAGTATGCACTGGTTGTGTTACGACCCCACCCATTTCTACAATAAACACATATATATTCTAACAAAAACATATTTTAGCACATTGTACTTCATATATTTAATGTTTCTTCAGGCAGGTTTCAATAAGATTTGTCCATGAGATTTCTTTCTACTGTGTGTTTTTTATTTTATGACATTTATTTGTAGATGTTATAAATATAATGAAAGGTGATAAATAACCATCAAAAATGATTTGATGAATAATTTCATTCAAAATAGAAATAATTAATTAAATAACAAACCTATGCTTCGACATTTATACATATATAGCTACATATAGTTATTATACATATATACTATGGCAGCCATCTTGAAAAATGGCCGCCATCTTGGATATTTTTGGTGGCTAACGGGCTTTTCATAAAGACCATGTTATTATCTATCGCCACTCCAAATTTTATGCTTGTACCACAAACTGAACGATTATTTCAACTACCAGCTCCATTAAAGTGAGGACAGAAACCAGTGGGACCCAGGTACACCCATCTACTGTCCAGAGAAGTCTCGCCAGAAATGGTCTTCATGGAAGAGGTGCAGCCAAAAAGCCAAATCTCCAACTTGGAAACAAGGCCAAGCGACTCAATTCTGCACAAAAACACAGGAACTGAATGCAGAAAAATGGCAGCAGGTGCTCTGGACTGATGAGTCAAAATGTGAAATATTTGGCTGTTGCAGAAGGCAGTTTGTTTGTTGAAGGGCTGGAGAGCGGTACAATGATGAGTGTCTGCAGGCAACAGTGAAGCATGGTGGAGGTTCCTTGAACATTTGGGGCAGCATTTCTGCTGAGAAATACAGGCAGATATTTCTCCATCATGCAATACCATCAGGGAGGCGTACGATTGGCCCCAAATGTATTCTGTAGCAGGACAATGACCCCAAAAATACAGCCAAAGTTATTAAGAACTATCTTCAGCCTAAAGAAGAACAAGAAGTTGTGCCCCCACAGAGCACATGGAGTGTGTCTGGGATTACATGATGATACAGAAGAATGTGAGGAAGCCACATCCACAGAAGATCTGTGGTAAGTTCTTCAAGATGTTTGGAACAACCTATCAGCCGAGTTCCTTCAAAAACTGTATGCAAGTACAGCTAGAAAAATCGGTGCTCTTTTGAAGGCAAAGGGTGGTCACACCAAATATTGATTTGATTTAGATTTCTCTTTTGTTCATTCACTGCATTTTGCTGACTAATGAAAATAAAAGATTAACACTTCCATTTTTGAAAACATTCCTAGTTCACAGAATTTTTTCTATTTTGTCTATAACTTTTGCACAGTACTGTATATCGATCAGAGTCTCAGTCATTTTGTAAATAACAAGTTGTAAGTACAGCATGGAATGGTCTGGTATGGTCTAGTAGAGTTAAATATGGTCTGGTCTGGTTTTATATGGTTTATATGCTATTGGGGGTGGGGGATTTTCACAAAATGATTTTGAAAAAGATTTTTGAATCAATTTACAAAAATGGGATCAATTCACAATTTTGATGACATTATTCTTAACTGGTTTGAATTTTATACATATTGTGTTGTGAGTGGGTTTTATGAGTTGATGATAAAATGAAGTCATTTTCATGACACCTTTATGATTTAAAAACTATTTCTGCAGTGTAAATCTCCACACATCACTATTGATTAATACAATATACTCAATATAGGCCTACAATATGTCTATTAAACTTTATTTTTATCATTTAAATTATTAGACAAACCTGGATCTACTTGTCTGTTCTGTGTCGCTCCAGCTCCTCCCCCCTCTGCTGCCTGTGTTCTTGGTGCACGGTGCAGTGGGACACACAGGAGGAGTGCTTCTCTCTTTTCTTTCTCATTTTAAACTAAGTTATGAATAAAAAAGGCCTAAATATCTCTTTGTGGATCTTATTCAAACGATGTTTAAGTTTTAAGTGTGAAAAACTGCATGCTCCACAGGGTGAATTAGATTAGCGTATATTTGATCATATTATTTCACAATAATTTTTTAACAAAATGTAGTACTGGTTGAGGCAACATCGGTCCCATCACTATGAAATGAAAAAATGCTTCAGTGTTTAAAGTGTTCGTTTTCTGAATATATGAGCTATAAGTCTATGTGGAGGAGTCTTTAAGCTACAGCTGCTCAAAGATACACAACTTTCCCGAGATTGAGGGAGGTGTAACCCTGTCATGCCCATGCCAATGTAAACACCGAGGATGGAGTCTTGAAGATTACCTGTAAGACAAACTTCTGGTCCACGTAGCGCTTGGCCATGGAAGGCTGGAAGTCTGGACTCTCCAGGAATCGCAGAAAGAACTCATAGACCAGCTGGAAACAAGGAGTTGATAGATACAGCGTCATTTCAAATTCACATGTTCTGCCTTAGATGATGTCTTTGCACACTCAGGTACTTGAAAAAACTGTAGGTTTAACATAGACATTCCATAAATAAATAACTGATGAACCTGGAGGTGTGGCCAGGATGCCTCCAGTGTGGGCTCGTCCTCCTCTGGGTCAAACTCAGGGTTCTCACTCGGAGGCAGTGTCCGAAAGATATTCACCGAGATCTGGACAAAAAGCCCAAGTGGGTTAAGATGTGGGTTAGGTTAAGTTAAGATGAGGTGTAGTTAAGATGAGGGTTTTAGTTAAGATGAAGGTGTAGGTCCACCACATTTTTTAACTGGACTGAAAAGTATTTTTTATGATAGTCTGAGACCTGCTGAAAAGGCTGAGGAGTTTATTTTTAACACATTTGTAGTTTCAGTAAACACAAATATACAAACAGAAAAAAAAGACAAATCAGTTGTTTCCATTAAACAAAATTCTGTACAAATTTGTATCAAAAAGAACTACATTTGAAGATTTATTAGATATCAAAATCTGTGTGAAACACTAATATGCTAGATATCTGTACAAATATGGACAGGGCGATATATCTTAGGAACAAAAGGAGTAATTTTATAGACACCCTGAAAATCAAAGTGAAATGATGCAGCAGGCTAGTCCATTTTGCCATATTTAACTTCTGTTCAAAACTGAAACTCAAAACTCAAAATGCCTCTCAGACTCTTGTGTGGCCCCACATGCTTGTCTGCATGTTTGACAATGTCGTGGCTCCTAATGAGACGACAGATGATGTCTTGTGGGATGTCCTGTGTAAGTGCATCCCCGAGCTCCTGTAGAGTTTGAGGCGCAACCTGGCGGCCTCTGATGGACCCAAACATAATGTCCCAGAGGTGTTCATGAGGGCCATTCAGTTGTATCAGTCCCTTCATCCTCCAGGTTCTGCCTACAGACTCTTGCCACAGGGGCCGGACATTGTCGTGCATCACCAGCGTAGTCTGACTGTGGGTTCAAGGACCTAATTTCAGTCAGACTGCCATCTTCCAGCCGTAGAGGTCTGTGCATCCCTCCATGGATCAGGCTCCCCAGACCATCACTGACCCACCACCAAACCGCTCTTGCTGAACCATGGTGGAGGCAGCAGAACATTCTCCTTTTCTTCTGTAGACTCTTTCACGTCTATCACAAGTGCTCAGGGTGAATTTGCTCTCATCTGTGAAAAGCACAGGGCACCAATGGTGGACTTGCCAATTCTGGTGTGGTCTAGTAAATGCAAATGGAGCTCCACGGTGCTGGACCATGAGCACAGCGCCCACTGCAGGACATGGTGCCCTCAAGCCACCCTCACGAAGTCTGTTTCTGATAGTTTTGGGTAGAGACACCAGTGTCCTGCTGGAAGTCTGTAGGGCACAGGCCTGGCCTAGCTCTCCTAGAGTAACTGCCTGTTTCCTGAACTCTCCTCCATATTCTGGAGATGGTGCTGGGAGACACATTAAATCTCTTTGCAACGCCACGTGCAGATGTTCTATCGTGGACAAGCTGTGCAGCTTCTGTAGGGTTAAAGAACAGCCTCATACTCCCAGTAGAGATAATCCATGTGGCCAAAGCAGCACTAGAGGAAAACCAGCCAAAAAACAGCAAGAGGGAGAATCTTGAAATGAAATGACCTCCACATGCAAAAACAGTCCTGTTTCTCATTGTTGCTACTCTGGTGCAACTGTTTATTTCCATTAAAAGGTGTGGCATCATTTTGTTTCTAAGACACTGCCCTGATCATCTCTGTACATGTTACGACCCCAGCCTGGGTCTGTGTTTTGTGGGTGTGTGTTTGTGCTGCTGCTGCTCTCCCCTCCCTTCCAGCTTCCACAGAGAGGGAGGACCAACCTAATGAGCTGCGCCTGATTGTGGGTGTGGCCCACCACCTTTAAAGCTGGCTGCTGGAGATTGTGTCTCTCTTCTCTCCTCTCCATCATGTAGACACAACTTTGTTTGCACCTTGTTTTGAATTAAATATCGATTTTTGTACTATTTTTAAACAGTAACAGTTAGTAACAGTACAGATATAAAACTTTTTTTTCCACATTGAGATCTGATGTGTTTTCAAAGTGTTCCTGTGTTAATTTTTTGGAGCAGTGTATGTTGTTGTTTCTGCTCTGCCTGTGTGACTGCAGTACTGTGGTTTCTGTGTCCTGTTGTATAGATTTGAATTAGAATTTATTCATGGAAAGACCCTTGAGATCCAGCATCTTCTTTTCAAGAGGGCCCAAGAACACACAACATACAGTTTACAAACACATACTACTAGTATATTGTGTTACATTGCATGTATGTATAATGTGTGTTATGTTGTGTGTTATGTTGTGTGTTATGTTGTGCGTTGTTACCATCTTGATGGCCTCAGGGTACAGGGGTTCGATCAGCACCCCTCTGCTCGTGGCCACGCTCTCCACCAGCTCATTGAGAGCTGCTCGTTTGATCTCTTTGCCCTTCAGGTCGGCCACACAATCCAGGAAGTCAAAGAGCACACAGCACTGCTGCAGCTTCTTACAGAACAAGTCATGCAGCTCTGCCACCGGGGCATCTGACGGAGAGAAGACAGAGGAGAGAGGAGAGGAGAGAAGGAAAGGAAAGAGGAAGAGATGGGAGGAGAGAGGAGAAGAAAGGAGGAGAAAGGTCAGTAATGACTCAGATTCATATTAAAAATAATGTGACATGTGTCCAACACCTCTATGTCTTTAAGCATTTGAACTTGTCAAACTGTAGCAGCTGTACTCTGACTCCTTTAAGAACTCCTCTCACCACTCTGACATCTGCAGAGCTCTTCCACAGGAGCACGTTATGCTACACACTAGAGCCCGACCAATATGGATTTTGTTGTGGCCGATATGAAACTGATAAAATGGGAGTTTAGCCGATAGCCAATATAATCACCGATATATTTAGTGATGTAAAAATTCACTGTAAATCTTGAATTGTTTAAAAACTTAGGTTTGGCTGTAGTGGATTTTAAATTGGGTTTATTTAGGGAACATTTATTGTTCTTCTGCCTCTTTACATCATATTTACAGACAGTAGATCACATTCTAGCTACTGGGATGGATAGCAGGACTAAACCAGAACTAAACCAGGACTGAGTGTCAGGACTTGGTCTCTATCTCTCTCTCTCTCTCTCTCTCTCTCTCTCTCTCTCGAGCCCAAGATTAGTCCTAGTTTATTTATTTTATGCTGAACTGCAGCCAAACATGCACATTTTTTTATCCTATGCACACGCAGATTTCTGAAAGTTTCGTTTTCAGCCGCTGCCACTGTCAAACTACCACGAGTCTGCACGCGGCATGAAGAGAAAAAAAGTGAGAGAAATAGAAAACACGGCTCCCAATAAGAAGCAGGCTCCCGTCGTTCGCTTCAAAGAGCCGCTTCATTCGCGACTGACCCAACACTACTATCTAGTAAAGAAACTACCGCTATTAGCCTTTAGCTGTAAATGTGTGCGCACCGCGGTAATTCATTATATGCATAAATGTGGATCATTCACACGTCTATTCACAGCTCATTTACATATCAATGCAGGTTCAGTAACAAATATACGGCCAATATAGTCACTTTACAATAAACCAATAGAAAACAGCCTGTTTATGTGCGGGAGCTACAGCAGCTAATCGCTAACCAATAACCAAAACTAGCTTCAGAGTCGATGTATTTCCAACACTCAGCGCTCACACAGGCTCCTCCTCACATCACAAGTCTGCACTAATAAATGTCCTTTTAATCCAGACTCAAACCGATTGTCCATAAAAAGAAAATAATCTCAGTGTTGTGCATGACTGCGGGTGTAAACAAACGCACGTGAGTGAAGTGACATGACTCTGTGGTGTGTTCAGGGACAGTACGGACACAGACACAGACAAATGACTCCGCAGATAAACACTGATGCGGAGCCACATATTAGGACATTTATCTGTCTGTGAATTGGATTAAATGAACAGAATGTAGAGAGTCTAAACTTTATAATGAGGTATCACATGCCCACGGGAAATATCGGCCCCTATCAGCACACATATTGCACGATAGCCGATATGTCTCCAGGAGCCCAATCTGCCGATAATATCGGCCAACCGATATATCGGTCGGACTCTAATACACACACAGGCTGCTCACACTCTAGAGCATACACACACACGCACACACACATGCACACACACACACAGAGGCTGGTTCAAGAGAGCACACACACACTCACACAGAGGCTGGTTCAAGAGAGCACACACACACACACACACACTCACACAGAGGCTGGTTCAAGAGAGCACACACACACACACACACTCACACAGAGGCTGGTTCAAGAGAGCACACACACACACACACACACACACACTCACACAGAGGCTGGTTCTAGAGAGCACACACACACTCACACACACTCACACAGAGGCTGGTTCAAGAGAGCACATACACACTCACACAGAGGCTGGTTCAAGAGAGCACACACACACACAGAGGCTGGTTCTAGAGAGCACACACACACACACTCACACACACAGAGGCTGATTCTAGAGAGCACACACACACACACAGAGGCTGGTTCTAGAGAGCACACACACACACACACACAGAGGCTGGTTCTAGAGAGCACACACACACACACACACACAGAGGCTGGTTCTAGAGAGCACACACACACACACACACACAGAGGCTGGTTCTAGAGAGCACACACACACACACACAGAGGCTGGTTCTAGAGAGCACACACACACTCACACACAGAGGCTGGTTCTAGAGAGCACACACACACATTCACACAGAGGCTGGTTCTAGAGCAGATAAAGTGTGTGTAGCGTGTGGGGGAGATGACGGAGCTGCTGCTGACAGAGGAGTGGGCTCATGACAGATGACTCACAGGACAAATATAACTGAGTCTATCCATATTTATGTGCATCTCACTGAGGCTGTGCTCATTCTAACAATACACTTTACACGTACAAGACTGATACACACACACACGCACGTACGCACACACACGCATCTGTGTCCTGACAGAGATTCCGTCTGTAAAGACACCAGAGAGATGTCATGTGTGATGTCACATCCTCCTCCTCTCTGCTGGCACCTGCTAAATGAATATTGTTCAACCTTTGGGGAAAAAAGGAAATAAAACTCTTTTTAGAACTCTCATTTTGGTCTGTACTACTTTATGAGCCATGGATCCAAACACACAACTGTCCCTAACAGAGACACACTGTCCCTGACTCTAACAGAGACAAACTGTCCATAACAGAGACAAACTGTCCCTGACTCTAACAGAGACAAACTGTCCATAACAGAGACAAACTGTCCCTGACTCTAACAGAGACAAACTGTCCATAACAGAGACAAACTGTCCCTGACTCTAACAGAGACAAACTGTCCATAACAGAGACACACTGTCCCTGACTCTAACAGAGACACACTGTCCGTAACCAGTGTTGGGAGTAATGTATTATAAAAGTAATGTATTACAGTAATGCGTTGATTTTTGCTGTAACGCAGTAATGTAAGGCATTACAGGGGGAAAAATTGTAATATTTTACTCGGTACAAATGTGAGTAACGCGCGTTACAATGCTTTTTTAACCTGGATTGAAGTGGTGGGTTTTTCTTCATAGAAATTCGCTAAAATCACCGTGAAATCAGCAGCGGTGAAACGCCGGAGACGCGGCCGGATAGACCTTCAGTTAACCGCGGGTGAAAGGACCGACCCAGAACTCTACGCTGTTTAGACCTGGTTTAGACCTGGGTCACTTCTGGTTTAGACCTGGCTTACAGTCGTCCCTTGCTCTAACGCGATTCACTTTTCGCGGTCTCGCTGTTTCGCTGATTTTTAGAATTTTTTTTTTGTGCAATTTTGCATGCCTTTTGTTTTTAGTGTATGAACACGTATTGCGTTCCTCCCGCTGTGTCCTGATCGGCTGAGGGACACCTGTCTACTGTACAGTACAGTACAGAATATGTTCAGCTGCCAAATTTAAATAAATGTTCAATCTCTAGCAGTGTGATTCTGAAGTGCTGTATGTCTGCAAGTTTTCTCCCCGACGAAACCCACAACGTCGACGAAATGTTCTGCACCGACAAAGTCTCCTGCGCTCACACCCAAAAGACAGAGGACGATGCAAACCATCGCACAAAAAGTTGGACTTCTGGACACGTTGAAGGAAGGTAGAAGTTACGCGCTGTAGCAGAGTTTTGCACTGGGTCTTGTACCCACAAATAGTTGCTGAAATCAGGACCGTGAGCCCGAGCAGCAGGGTGTCCATAAAGCGCGATCGGGCGACAGCCGCTCTTACCTCCATGAGGTGCGGAGCAAAGCCGGTCCTTTCTCCTGCGGTCACCTTCGAGCCCATCCTAACAGTGAGTCCTGTTTTAGTCCTAGTTCAGTTCTGGTTTAGTCCTCCTCTTCAGTCCTGGAATCAGTCTGAGGTTAGTCCTGTTATAGTCCTGGTTTAGTCCTGGTTCAGCTCTGGTTTAGTCCTGGTTTAGACCTTGTTTAGTCCTGGTTCAGTCCATATACGGCTCAAAAGTTCAGCTTTTTTGCAGTTATTTTGGTGAGAGTAACTTAAAGTAATGCAATAGTAATGTAATGCCTTACATTTTAAATGCAGTAATATTGTAATGTAACGAATTACTTTGAAATGACAGTAATAAGTAATAAATAACGCATTACAGTTTTAAAGTAACTTGCCCAACAGTGTCCGTAACAGAGACACACTGTCCCTGACTCTAACAGAGACAAACTGTCCATAACAGAGACACACTGTCCCTGACTCTAACAGAGACAAACTGTCCCTGACTCTAACAGAGACAAACTGTCCACAGAGACAAACTGTCCATAACAGAGACACACTGTCCCTGACTCTAACAGAGACAAACTGTCCCTGACTCTAACAGAGACAAACTGTCCATAACAGAGACACACTGTCCCTGACTCTAACAGAGACAAACTGTCCATAACAGAGACACACTGTCCCTGACTCTAACAGAGACAAACTGTCCATAACAGAGACACACTGTCCCTGACTCTAACAGAGGCAAACTGTCCATAACAGAGACACACTGTCCCTGACTCTAACAGAAGCAGGTACAGCATCTGAGGACAGAACAGATTCTCCACAAGTGTTATTAGGATCTTTAAGATTTGATTCCTGACACTTCACTTGAAGGTCTGTAGTTACATCTGAATAAATCAGAACAGACATTGGACTAGTGACAGAGTTTCTGAGAGTGTAACTGGTGTCAGTGACATGACTCTGACTCTGACTCAGTACGGCCTCAGGACTCACAACAGTGTGTATTACAGTGTGTTTCATTAAGACTAGGTGATTATAAAAGAGTTTCTTTGGATTCTTCAGTGTGAGCAGTAAGAGCCTCGTCTGGTCCCCTCTGAACTAGCCTCTCTGTCTGTGAGAGCCAGTGATGGGGAAACACTCAAGAACTAGAGGGACCAGACGTACTGAGGACTTATTTTCTGATAAACATGAAAAAGTGTTCATAGAGAGGTGGAGTCGACTGCCTGCAGCCCTGACTGCTGCCCCGGCTGACAGTC